GGGGTATAAAGAAAAAATCCCTTCCATGGGGGAGGTATAAATAATTTTTGGAACTGCACAATGCAACTGATGATATAAAATGCAAATTGTGGACTTATTATTTTTGCAGTTTGATGAAGTGACATGAGTGAATTAAGCTGCAGTTTGTGTACTTTGAAAAATAGCTACAGATCATTTATGGAATAGGCTGAAGTCTTTTCTTTTCTAATTGTACATGATAGGTTATGGACCATGGAGTGCAATGAGAAGCCTTTCCTAGAAATACTGTGATAATTTTATTTTCTATTTATTTGCATTAACTTCACATGTCATTTAGCAGATTTTCAATACTTTTGCATAATTATCAGCATAATATTTTTGCAAATGAATGCACAAATGCATTGTTAAATGTATGAGTATATAATTAACACACCTTGAATGATCTAGGTTCATGGATAGCCAGATCAGAGAGTACTTTTCTGTTTAATTGAATGTTGCACTGTTAAGCCAAAAGTACACAAAACATTCTATTAATAGCCTGCGTAAAGCCACCCCCTCCCCTAAATGAAAAATCGCAGAGGTAGACATCTATGAATGGGCAATTTTACAGTTATAGAAGGAAGCGAGGCTGGAGTTGACCTTGTTTGGATACAAACCTTCCTGCTTTATTATGTGAATCAAGTTGTTCTTATGCCAACTAGTATTTTTCAAGGACAATGTCCATAAGAAAGCAAAGGAGGTTTGTATCAAAACAAGGTCTGAACCTCAGCCTCACATTCACTTGAAGACCAGGGTGCTAAGCCCAGAGATATGTCCAGGGTTAGTCTTGCTAGAAAAATAAATAGCAAAAAAAATGATTCATAAGAAAATTTTGTGGGACACTCACTTGCAAATATTGCAAATCAGAGTAATAATAATAATAATTTACATTTATATAGCGCAAACCTCTCTATGAATATATTCGGTTGCACTTTACAATATTGTTATATTAAATTTATGTTAAAGGTGACTAAAGCGTGAGAATCTATTAAAAACTACAATAAAAAGTATTAAAAACTATAAAAAAAACCTACAATAAAAGCCAACAATTAAATCTATTATTTTAAAAGCTGAATTAAAAAGATGAGTTTTAACCGCAGTCTTAAAAGTGTCCAATGTCTTCATGTTGCGAATTGCCGAAGGTAATACATTCCAGAGACAAGGTGCAGCTGACTGGAATGCATGATCGCCAAGAGTTGGATGGGTCTCAATGCCTAGTAACTCGAGGAATATAGACTCATTTGACCTTAGAGAGTACCTGGATTGCTTTTTGATATTAATTAAATCAATTAAATAATTAGGAGCTTGACCATATAAGCACTTAAATGTCAAAAGTAGAATCTAAAACTTTATACGGTAACTTATCGGAAGCCAATGAAGGTGGAAAAGCAATGGTGTAACATGGCAGAATCTTAGTGTTCCAGTGACCAACCGAGCCACGGCATTCTGTATCCATTGGAGTTTCATGATATGTGATTTTGGGAGGCCATATAGTACACTGTTACAATAATCTGTTCTACTGGTTATAAAAACATGAACTAATGATTCAGTGACTGAACGACTTAAATATTTCCTAATTCTACGCATGATGTAAAGATAATAGACAGTGGATGAGCAAGTTTTGTTGATATGACTTAGCATTCTCATTTTAGAATCAAACCAGGTTCCTACGTTTTGAACTTCACAAGATGGAGTAATTTGGGGGTCGCCGACCAATGAGGTGCTGATATTACTGACTTTCTGAAGTTGTTGGTGCGTTCCAATCAGAAGACATTCTGTCTTATCCGAATTCAGTTTTAACTAATGCGAATGCAGCCACTGACTGATATCAGCGATACATGATTCCATGGCAGTTATAGCAGTGGTCTCCTCCAAATCATTTCCTGATCTAAACGTGATATACAGTTGCCTGTCATCTGCATAACGATGGGTATTAGGAAGATGTGATTCGATGATCTTAAAAAGTTTGCTAGCATAGAGAGAAAACAATAATGGCCCAAGACAGCTGCCTTGTGGAATTCCAGATTTAAGTTTTAAATTACTTGATAGAACTCCGTCTATATAGATGCGCTGGGTTCTGTTAGAAAGGTATGATTCAATCCAATTAGGTGCAGAGCCTGAAATTCCAAAATCAAACCGGAGGCAATCTAAGAGAATCCGATGGTCCACGGTATCAAACGCGGTGCTTAAATCAAGAAGCATTAACAACATGACCTTCTGATTTTCCATGTTCATCAAAATGTCATTCTTGACTTTAAGGAGGGCAGTTCCTGAGCTATGGTGCCGTCAATAGACTGATTGCAATGAAGGAAAAAGATCATGCTCATTTAAGTAGGACTGAATCTGATCAGCTGCCACTCTTTCAGCCAATTTTGAAACAAAGGAAAGATTGCTGATTGGTCAAAAGTTTTTAAAAACCAAGTCAAGACCTTGTTTTTTCAACAGTGGTGTAACAACCGACTCTTTCCAAATGTCAGGGAAAAATCCTGATTCAAGCGACAAGTTTATCGTAGTTGATAATATCAGAAGTAACCCATCAAGGCAATCTTTCAAGATATTAGTGGGAACAGGATCAAGTAAACAAGATTTCGTCGGCACTCTGAGCACAAGTTTTCTTAAAGAGTCCATGTCTACACGGCAAGAAGCAGTGAAGAATGATAAACAGAAACTGTCCTCAAAGACAAAGGGTAGTACACAAAAATGGAACAATTCATTCCTTCATCTCCTTATGTGGATTCGAGATCCACCCTTAGTAACTGGCTACTCAACAGCCAATTGGAAAATGGCAGTGACAAATGCATGACACGGCCTCAAAAATGCACATTAAGCCAGTCAGAACAGTTGTACCACTCTTGCCATGAAAATAAAAACTATGTTGCTCCCTACATGTATGTAGCAGTTGTCAACGCAAAAGAAGGAATGATAACATTTATCCCGCTCCAGCCGTAAGACTTGCATAATTCTAATTAACATGAAAAGGCTTGGAGTTGACTGATGCAAGCAATACTCTTGACCAAGTGACAGTGGAACTTTTTACAAGAGTAGGGTAGGGTAGGAGCTACAATATCATGCAAGCAGCGCTGAAGAGCTAAGACCAGCATGTCAAATCTACTCACTATTAAAATAACAATTCAGAAAGCTATGAAAACAAACCCTTATTAAAAAGGTTGTTGAACCGCTTTTATAATATCACTTTGTTCTAAATCGTTCAAGTGCACCTGTCACCCCCCTCCCCCTTTCCCTATGGGATGGAGTAAAAATAAAATACAAATACAAAAATAACAAAATAAAAGTATGTATTACCACTTATGGATGTACTCAAACTCTTGGTAAGTAATTATCAATTATTTGCTTTACTGTCATGTTCACCAGTTACATTACCGGTATGTATGTATGAATGTAAGAGACACAGGAAATAGAGAATCAACCTAGGTCAAAAAATTTTAACCTAAATTTAATTTTGACCTATAACATAAGACACATAGAAAGACAATTTAACAGATACCCAGAATTTAACTTTACCTGAGCCATTTGATTCACAAACTTGGAGTAAGTGACATTGTGTTCTCTGGTTGCCATGTTAATTCTGCTGATCCACAGCTAAAAAAACAACAGGAGTGAACTCAGTAATGTGCTGTGATGAATCATTTTAAGAGAAAATTCTGCCACTTACTGATCTCATCTCTCTCTTCTTAAGCCTTCTACTAACATACTGATACTGAAGTGCTTTCTGTACTCTTCGTACTGCAATACTATAACAGTTTTTAGAACGTCCACGGAAACCCTATAATAGACACAGATTATGTCAGTAAACAACAATATTATTAGCTTACACTGTAACTCATGTTTATTGTGACATGCAAAAACTATACAGAAATAAAAGATTCAAATCAATTTACCAATAAAAGAAAAGTTGATAAAAATGTTCTTTTAGTCATTGACACTGGTAACTCTCACTAAAAGTTAAAGGTTTCATAGTACATACAGTGTAGTTTAAGTTTTGTAAACTTCATTTGTGATTACAATCATCTGACAGCTGAGATCATGTAACTTGTTGATCATGTAATCTACCTAGACTGGTTACTAGTGCAGATGCTCTACCAATCTGGATGAGAGACATGATGCAAGGGCAGTGACATAGTGGCATAGCTGCTTTTGCATTGCAGAGTTTGAAAAAAAAAAACATATTAATAACTGAAAAAGGATGGGAAGATTGCTCAAAAAGACACTCAGAGAATTTCTCACTGTAGACTCCTTTTTCAAGGATATCTACAAGAAGCAAAAATCCAAATCCTGCTGAGAAAATAGCAGAAATTATTATAATTATTATGTTTACAATAAATTGAATGATTCTTCCATAGGTAAGGTTGCTTGAGCTTAAAGGTCTCACGGGCCGAAAAAATGGATTTGCACAAATTTTCTCCTTGTAAAAATATGTCGCAAATACATGTATATATATACTGAGGAGTGAATATGATGGCAAACATGGTAAATGCCACATTTGCCTAGTTATTTACAACCCCTTTGTTTTGGTATGCAAATGTGGCATTTATCATCTTTGCCATACATTAATTTTTTTACTCCTCAGTATTTACATATTTTCGACATATTTGCAAAGAGCAAATTTGTGCAAATCCAATTTTTTGTCCAGTGTCTGTAAAGTGAATAATAAAACAATTGAATCGTAGCTGGCATGGTGTGATTAATCCTCGGAGACCCAGGGGTAGTCAGTCAGGCTGGGAGGAAAGGCGCGAATCAAAACTACCTTTGCAAGTGCGAAGATTTTCGCTCTTCTCACAGTGCGGTCCGCCTGCCCTCCACGAACCATTTTGTCCCTTTCAAAAATTTATCAAATGCCCTACTACATGCGGTTCGCATCCGCCATCTTGAAACGAAAACGGTACTACATATATGATACACGACATGTTACCTGCGCGTCCAGTTCGTGCATATCTTTTGAGCCCAACCGCTGATTTTTTTGACGGAGGGTCCCATGCGAGGGAAAATAATGGCTTGAAAAACTAGACTAAACTCACTGAGTGCTGTGCAAATGTGACCCACAAAACGGCAAATGCAAGCTCTGTTAGACTGCGTTGACGAAATAGCCCTAGATGGCTTGGATGGTATGGAAAAATGCAATATTTCATGGCTTTCCTGTTTATTGAGGAAGAGGCTTCCAGGCACTGGCTGCAGCCCCTGCTAAACTCTGTTTCTATCATATCAGACAAGGAGTTAATCCAAATTAGAGTATTTGGATTTTGTCCTTTAGAAATATAATAGACCATTTAACAGTTGTGGGCTCAGTGCCCCATGCAGCCTTTGAGTCAACGTGAGGCAAAGTTGACCTTGTTTTGATACTGTTCAAATCTCCTTTCCTTTCTTATGGAAATTATGCTGAAAATACTCGTCAGCATAAGAACAACTTGATTTACATATGCATGCATATATAATAAAGGAGAAAGGGTTGTATCAAAACAAGGTCAACTCTAGCCCCATTTCCACCCGTAACTGTGCAATGGACACCGACTATTCTGAAACCATAGTCCAAGCGATGTTTATTTATAATTTATTATGGCTTTCACCTTAGTCACCTGCTAAAACCATGCTTGCTTGCTTGGCTAATTTTTGTTGATTTACCTAGTGCATCCAATGCTCATTTGCTTGCTTATGTGGAGTTGGTAATAGTTGAGCTCAAACACACTGAAAGAAGTCTTTTACTGTGCTAGGCAAAAAAAGGCCATCATGTTTTCATGAATTGACCGAACAGAAAGTGGTGTTTTGAAGATCTTTGCGGTCAGTTCTTGAATCATTTTCTTGGTTTTGGCACGGAATTTTGATGGTAATGTCTGTGAGTTTGTTTTTTGTGGTGTGTTGAATTTGAAATATAATCAAAAAATCAAGCCATCACCTTATGCCTCTAAAGTATTGATCTTTTCCTTTTGATGGGTGCATGTGGAATAGAAAGAAGAAAAACATGCACTCAAATGAATGTCCTTTCTCATATCCAAATCAAGCAAGTTGCTTATCATTTTCAGTTTGACAAAGGCTTGCTTACTTACTTTCAAGGAGTTGCTTGAGCTTGGTTGCCTGGCCTCTTAAGCAAGCATGCTTGGAGGTGGTCTCTAGTGAGGGTGACCAAGGGTTAGTCAATTCCAAGACAGTTAGTGTAACCACCAGCCCTTCCAACCTCACTCCCAGATGAGACAATTGTTCAGGGCATTTGTCAAGTACAGTATTATTTCACCATGGCATGTTTGTAATCAAAGGTCTAGTTGCTAGTGGCACATTTATCCTTGTTAAACATCCTATTTTCTGCTTCTTTTAAAAAGGAATACCTACTTTCTCTTCATGTTTTCCACAAAGTTTTCTAAATTCTAAAGTGGACCTATGGTCTTCTTTATGCAAAAGGATGCTCTTCTCTCCAAACTCTTCTGCAGTGGCTTTGCTTATATTGTACCCTCTCTGCACTAGACTGTTGTTCATAAAGGGTGGTAATATTTGGACAAAATATCAAATCTCCTTATTGCTTATGTATTCATATACCCTACAAAGGTATAGGCTGTACAGTTAAACAAGTTTTCAATTTACACAAAGCAATGAATTATTGTTCTACATGATTCAGCAGCATTAAGTGTACAATACCAGTCATGATAAATATGACTATACCTGACCAGAGGTCTGTTTTACTTTATATTCTTTCACTGGCTGCAAATATTTGAACAGAATGGTTACACTGTATTCAACTTTATGCCTTGTTTTGGTCAATGAACTCTTTGTTTAAAGGCCCATGTTAACCCAAGCGGCTTTGCGTGCCTGTGTTTTTGTTTTGAAACGCTTCTTTTGTCAAATTCAGTGTTTTGATTAGGCAGAGTGTTCACTTTTTTCACACTTGGCCGAAGTGTGACTCCACACACACTGAAGATGGCAATTTTCAACTAAACGAAATCGTTTTTCTGGAGTACAGGGTGCGCAAAGCCTCTTGGGTGAACATGGGCCTTTAAAGACCATGAGCCTGTTTTCATTATTGCCTAATATAACAGTAATATTATACACCTTTTGATAACCATTTTTTGTAGGTTGCCCTATACTGGAGCTGTGGAAGCATCTAGAAGAAAAAACACCTCCATTTTGCCTAAAGTTAGATGACTCTGCAAAACGCTTTTTGTGGAAAGGCATTGTCCAGACCAAAGAAGTGGAGTTTTTTGTTCTTGATGAACCCTTGGCTCATTTATTTGATCCTAAATGTGATAGTTCGATTGACAAAAAAATACTTAATGCAAGCAATCCTCTTGATCAGGTATTTATCAGTGTTTTTGGTTTCAAATGCAAGAAAAAAAGAAGATGATGAAAGTGGTGCAATTTGTTATATTTGAGGGTGAAGCATTCAAACAAAAATCAATTGCTATAGTCGTTACTTTCAGGAACAAAAGTCACATTATTTCTCTGTTGGGGGATTTCTTGCACAATAAAATAAAATTTAAAGATGATATGACTTTCAAGGGATGTTTTTTCAGTTTCAAGGTCCTTTAAAAGACAGCAATGAGTTTAAGTTGGTGTCAGAACAAGGCATTAAAGGTTCATGTCCTACCTACTCTGTACGTAAAAATGTCACACAAGAGATACGAAGTCAGGCCAAGTATCTGGATTTAGAAGCTGTTTATCAGAGGTAAGCTTCCAAGTATCGAATTTGTTAAAGTCAATTCTCAATAGTAATTTTAGCTTTAAGCTTTTAGCCTCTCTGATGGGTGAAATTTTATGCTTGGCTGCTTTAGTTTAACTTGAACTACTTGCAAAATATGATGTCATGTCTTTACCTTGTTCGATGCATGTTTAAGAAATGTAAAATGTAAAAATAAAAGTGTTCTAGAAGTTTTAAAATCCTGGAAGTATATTTCGCTCTTTGAGCCTCATCAGTCAATAAAATTTTATTGACTGACGTGGCTCAAAGAGTGAAATATATTTTGAGGATCTTAAAACTTCTAGAACTTTTTTATTGTTTCCATTTTGCATTTCTTATACTTGTATGAAATGTGGTAAAGACGTGATGTCTTATTTTGCAAGTAGTTCAAGTTATTCAAACACATTCCTAGTTTCGGCATTTACAATTTCTCAAAAATTCTTTAGTTTAGGTACATACATATGTAATTTATTCAAGATGCATTAAAATACAATGGAACCTCTATTTTGCAAATTCCTTGGTATAATGAGTAATTTTGTGTACCCCAGTAATAGTAAAAGATATGAAAAAGAACAATTAACAAAACATCGTTATACCAAACAAATTTTGCCAGTTGCTTGGCCTTTCGTTATATCAAGGTTCCACTGTATATACAAGGTCTAACAGTTGAAAAAGGACATCTTGAAAGGAAAGTTATGAGGTAACTCCCCAAAATAATAGTCTACTTGAATAAATAAAAAGTTATGAATAATTTATCATAATAGCAACTACAATAATAGTAAAAGGCCATTCTTAGTCAAGCATTGTGATAAAGTTTTAGCTTGGTTTTAAATAATTGAAGGCAGCTATCAGCTTCTGCCTTCAACAAATTGAAAGCCACAAAAGTCAAAAGGTAAATTGGCAAAATTAACTTAAAGGAAAGTGGAAAAAAAAGTTCAAAATCTGTTCAATATCATTATTGCTTGAAATAATACTTCATATACCAAACTAAAGAAAGAACGTTTAGTGTTATTAGTGGTGTTTTAGAAAGATTAACATACAGTGTTACAGTTATGTATGGATTGTAAAGCACATTCTTTAAATTTGTAGTTGAAATTGTATGTTCTTTTATGGCTAGGAGGCTTTGAAGGAGTAATCTACTTTCACAATTTAAATCTTATTGTTTTAAAAGTGGCATTTGCCAAGTTTTTCATTGTACTAATAATTTATTTAACTTGTACAATCATGCAAAGTTCTAAAATAAACATACTGTGTCTTGAAATATACAAGCACTTTTCTATATACATACATACATTTTTTTACATACATACATACATTTATTGTTGTTCCCTAAAACGGCTTTTTAGCACCAATATTACGTGTAAAAAAGAATAATAATCGTCAACTTTATATCATGAATGTATAATAATTAATATGTTAACATAATATCCTTAAATATTCTCTAAAAATGCACCATTTAAATGTGTCTGAGTTAGTTAATGTCATCAGGTGCTTCCTTAATCCATTGCGGATTTTAACCCTTCTTTATAGGGAAAACAACGCTGACTAGTTTCTAAGCGACAACGAGGAATATTTAGGTTTTTTCCGGATTGTGTTACGGTCTCATTTGAAACTGGTCGCATAAATAATTATTTATTTACAAGGTTGTTAAGGCATTTAAACACCCTTTATTTCTAATCTATCTTTTGGACCTTTGTTTTTCACAGATGGGGAGACTGCCTTGTTATGGTGGCTTGCCAAGAGCTCAGAGAGAAAACTCTTTTAGGAGTTGACATTGATCCTAATGTACCAATTGTTGACTTACAATACTGTTTACTGGAACACATTGGACAGGCAAGATACAATGGACGCATGCAAAGAACAATTGCCTCACAATATATGAAAATTGATTCAAAAACAATCTTTCATCATCTGAAAAAATTACGGAAATTACGTTTGATTACTATGCAGGTGAGTATTAAGTAGTTGTTGTCACAGCTACAGTGGGTTCAATAGACTTTTTGGGGGAAATTTTCATGCAGTTTTTATCAAGATAGTGATGAATTACTGTAAAATAATAGAACAATAGAGTGTATTCACATGACGTCATGGCAGCCATATTGGTGTTCCAAAACAATGAAACAGCGGCCATGTTGGTGTAACAAGATAACCCTGTGGGAATTGAACTCTTTTTTCATGTAAAAACTTTCTTTTGTTCATATAAATAGAGGCTGGCCACATGAGTGAATATGTTGTACAATGTCTTTGCATGCATAAACACTTTTGTTGATTACAACTTACTGCAGACATCAGTACATAAAAAACAGCCACACTTTGCTAATGCATAGTACTTCCCCAAACACACTGCATACTGTACCTTCCTTTTAAAGTTACACCCTTTGTAGTCCACACTTTGGTTTGGCTGTACTGTACACTCAGTACTAATATACAACTTTAGGATCACATCTGCTATTTTACAGAGAGGTGAAGTGTAAGTGCTTCTTTGGCAGCCATTATCTCATTAACCAGTGAAACAAGTGTTTTATTTTTAGCATCTAGTGACAGATTGTCTCTATAACAGTCTGCTATTAAAAATGTTTGTACAGTGTACTTGAATGTCAGAATATGTAAATTTATTTAAGTCAATTTCTTATAGCAAAATGGCTGAATTATGTCTATAACATATAATTTTAACAAAAATACTTAGGAATAAGAGATCTAAAAATAATTGTTTTTATTGATATCAGCTTGTTTAAGTTTATCCTGAATTTCAGACGATTACTTTGAGTTGTTTTTTCCTCTCAGCAACTTCTGAATAGACAAGATATCCAAAGAAATGTTTTACCAAAATTAATTTTGTAGAAGTTTGCATGGAGTCACCATGCTGGTTTCCATCTGGATGGGCACCAACATGGCAGACAGAAACCAACAGAAACAATCATCTGTTATAGCGTTTGGTTACAAAAGTGTGAATTTATTCTTCGAGGAACACATAAACATGAAAGTAATATTTATCCTAAAATGTGAACTGTTTAGATACATGTAGCAAATTCCTTGAAAAAAGTCACTTTTTTAACCTGTATGACAGCTTCTCTCAGTCATTCATGTAAATGCTGCATCATGCAAAAGCTTAGAAATTCAAGCGTACTCTACCACAAATCAAAGAACCCATTTCAAAGTGAAAATTTGTATGAAAATTAGTTTTCACCTGCTCTAATATACATCATGAAAGAAAAATCCCAGTAGGATTGATAGTTTTTTAGTTTGAATTTTACTTGTTGTTATGTGAAAACCAACGGTAGGTAACATATAGTTTAAGTATAAAAATTTTACTTAAAACTTTCCTGTTGCAGCAACTTGTAATTACTACATCTGATCAAAGCAAACCACCTCTAAAGCTAGGCGTGAGAAACTTTACCACTAACATAGTCAGACTAAAGAGATTTCATGTGCAACAACACCACAAATATGATGTGCTGGCAGCCAACCTCTGCCAGCTATTACTAGATTCACCAAACCAGGAATTACCACTTATGGATGTGCTCAAACTCTTGGTAAGCAATTATCAATTATTTGCTTTACTGTCATGCTCTCCAGTTTACATTATTTACTTTTCAAGTATGAAAACAATCAATGCTTAATGACTGGTTCTGCAGAGATCACCCCCACAGCTACTCCCAAAATTCCGTGATTAAGTTATTTAACACACTCAGCACTAAGCTGATTCTCAATTTCCTTTGTCTTGAGGCCCTAGGCCAAGAGCTAAGAGACAAAGAAAATTGGGAATCAACCTAGGTCAAAAAATTTTATTACTTCGGCAGAGGTCACAAATGAAAATCTTTACACATTTGTGGTAAAGCTGAAGATTATTATGTTAGTGCCAAGTGATTTTTGGTAATAATTATCCCCTGCTGTACAGTGTAAGTAATAGGCTGTCAATACAGCACTTATGTAATAAGCAGATTCAATTCATCTTGTTAATTTACAGAGTGAGTCTAAGAGCATGATTAAGAGAGTAAGGACATTTCTGCAGCAAGCAGGATACGTGGTTGAATCAGACAAAAGTGGAGGGACAGGTGATTCAGGCAACAATGAAAGCCCTCCGGAGAAAAAGAAGAAGAAAAAGGAGCCAGGGACTGTCACAACAGGCATTAAATTGAAGCTTGTTAAACCATTTGTGCTAAAGAGTGCTAGCATTTGGCATCCTAGTGGTGACGAGGAGGAAGATTATGGTGATGGGGAAGATGATGATGATAATGATGATGATGATGATTTTGATGATGATTCTATCAGAAACCATGATAATGATGATGGTATGCTACACTGGTTATGCCTCATAGTAAAGCTTTGTCAGTCTTTTATATCTTGTCAATAATCCAAATTTAAAATTGATTGGCTACTTGTGAAATATTTGATAATATGTTAGCCCTTTTATTGCAGTTTTTTTTTATTTCCTAGTTTCCCCATTCTGTAGCCAAACAATGACATATGTGGCTCAAATAATCATTATTTGACTATGTATAATAATAATTATTGCCTGTATTAAAGGCTACCTTTTTCTGCTCAATGTAGATTATAATTCAAATCTTGTTGCTGAGAAGCCTTTGTTGAACCAAGTGTATAATGTCATCTGGCAGGCAGGATCCCGTGGCTGTACTCTTAAGGTGGGTTTGTTCAGGCATTGGAAACATTAAAGGATAACCTTGCCACTCGTCATCTAACAGAAGGACAAAACAACTTACTGTTGAAGACTTTTTAACTGCTAAAGTATTGTTAAATGGGTAACCAATCAACAATACCCATATATTCTCAGTGGACTCAGTTAAAATATATGTCACAGGTCAAAATGAAATTCAGGTTAATTTTTTTCAATTGAGGTTGATTCTCAATTTCCTTTGTCTTGAGGCCCTAGGCCAAGAGCTAAGAGACAAAGAAAATTGGGAATCAACCTAGGTCAAAAAATTTTATTACTTCGGCGGAGCGCAAAGTAAAGGATTCGCGACGCCCAGGAATGTATCAAAGTTACAATTTTTTGACAAGATTGGGCATGCAAAGTCTGTAGGTTTTCGGTTTTATTGGGCTATTTGACGAAGTGAGAGCCGAATTAGTCCGAGATATCTCGAGATCACTTCGATTTCTTTGATTTATTCTCAGTTTAACTTTTTCGAGGAAGAAAGAATTATTATTTTGGCTTTCCGGGGGTTTGGACCGACTCACCTGTGTGACCCGTCAGATCAGAGGAGACTCTAAGTTGAGGGATTAGCCGATTGCGCTACTGCGACCCAAGGTAGTTCGGGATATGAAAAATAGTTATGAAATTATGCACTAGTTTCGGGACAAGATTGGGTGTGCAAGTTCGCGACTTTTCGGCTTGTGTCGGTTATTTCATGAAATGAAACCGGACTACTTTGTGATATCTTGAAATCACTTCGAGTTTAGTCTTTAATTTACTCAATAAATAGAGGATATTAAGTGGCTGCGCAGAGACACGAAATTTCTCTTCGAGTGTCGAAAAAAAAATTTCACGAGTGACCCCTTCTTTCGAACTACTTTATGATGAATTTAAAGTTACAAAATGCTGCTCAAAGACATGTTGTCTTTATTGAGTGTTACGTAGTAAAATTGCTTTCATGCGTTGCATGACTTTCTCGAACGTTCTCTACTTTTTTGGATTATTCATGAATAATTGATTAGGGCATGTTTACATTTCAGCATTAGTCAGCAGATTTGCATCAGTTACTGAAATCATAAAATATGTCGAAAAGCTACTACTATTCGCCCGTTTAGTATTTTCTAGAACCTTATGTCAAATGGTATACAAGTTCCAAGCGAGGTCTTTTGACAAAATAAGTTTTTTTCCCACGAGTTGGACTGCTGTGTTTAGTCAAGTGTGACGAAGGCCGATTTTCAAGTTCTGTGTTTACAAGTTGGCAGAAGCCGTAAGATATCTGAAGTTCAAGTGAGAGTTTGTTAGTATTGGTAGAGGCTGTTTAGTTGTACTTAAGTTCAAGTCAAGTTTGTGTTGGCGGATGCTGTGTTTTAAAGCTCTGAAAAGGCTATGTTCCTTTGGTATTAAACTTCCTTGAGTTAATCTGACATCCCTGCGTGCTGATAGTCAGTGAATAATTATCCTCAAAACATTCGACCTCGTAACAGCCAATTCCATGCTCAATGTAATTGACTCCTTACCCATGCCTTATATATCTTTAATCAGTGCATGAGACTGCTATGCTGTTTTTGAAGCCTGATGTGACTAAGAAAAATAGAGAATTCTTTTTTCACTGTTTGTTTTGTTAGACTTGTTATTCACTGCCAGTAACCTCATATTTGACTCACGTCTAAACGTTTAGACCCAAGTCAAATTTAGAAGGATTTGTATGGAGTCATCAGGGCATTACTGGGCTAATATCTCAGCGACAATTTGTCCCGAAATGCTAGTTTTTGGAAAGTAGGCCTCCTGGATGTTGCCCTTTTCAGAATACCCTGACAAATCTCATAATTTCACAAATTAACACCTCACTCTTACCATATTTCATTTCTTACTATTCCTCGGCATTTACAATTAATCAGTTCCACAACCACGATGCCGAAGTGTACGCTCCTTAACATCTTGTTCTGAATTTCATTTTGACCTGTAACATATACATATTCATTCATACTTTGTGATGTGAACATTGCAGAAAATGTTCATGTGTTTAGGGAGCATTACGGTACTTATGGTCTGCTTGTGAATAAACCAATTTATGAGATCACAATGTTCATAGTGTGTGACATTATGTTGCCTCGGACGGTTTGGATGGTCCACCTGAGCTTTATCTCATTTTGCTCTTTTTGCAGAAAATCCAAAGCCTGTGTAGGCTTCCATTTTTTGATGTCAGGCTTTTTGTCAAAAAACTAAAGTCTAAAAACTTAGTGCAAGAAGTTTTTGAAGACATTGCCAAAATAAGAGTTGTATGGTAAGTGTTGCCTGACTTGCGTGCATTACTTTTTGTACCATGAGAGTAAGATTTATACAGTACAGCACAGCACAGCGTACACCTCTTTGCTTGTTCAAAAGAGACATTAATGTCTGTTTTGTGATATATTTATCCAAGGGTCCCATGGACACTTTGACTTTGCAAACAGCATCTTCTTTGTCAACATATTGTTTGGACAATAAACAGCATCCCCATGCATTCATCTGATTGCTTAATGAAATGAAGGACAACAATAAAACATCCAATAATACTTGGACGATGACTTGCATGTTCACTTCGTTTGTTTCAGGTGTTAAATAATATTCTGTTTTTACTGATATGTCAAGGTTTGTGGCAACTCCATTTGTAGAAAGCAATACTCAGACAGTGAAAGTAAAACAAGTACAAGATCAGCTAAAGCATATAGAAACAAGGGCTTTGGATCAGACACACGACCAACAAGGATTAATATCAAAAGAAATATCCCAACCATCACCCAGTGGCCACCCTCCAGCTACAGCTTCTGGTTTGTCATTTTATTTTCATTTTTTCTCCCTCTTTTTTTTTTTTTCATTATTTTTTGATCAGCAGCACAGAATTTCATATGGAACAGTTGCAATGCACATGTCTTTTCTCGTAAATAAGACAGTTACAATGTTCCCTGCTAACATTACTCTTAGATACAAAAATGAAAAGGAAAATATATCAGTGTGTGTTTTGCAAAGTATTGAGCACGATGTTAGTGACCATTATTTTTTAAATTTGTATATATTTGGTGGTAGTCCATAAATGGTGGTTTAGTCAGCTACATTAAACTAAAATTTTGCGACGTTTTTTAGTTGTAAAAATACTATAATAATTTTTAAGGCAATCTTACACTTACCTTTTTATAGCATGCCTTGATGTATATTATATTTAACAAATAATAATTTTCTCACCAGATTTACTGGATGTTAGAGAAAGAAAACCAGTAAAGGGTAAATCTCTGCTAGGTAGGAGTGATTAAGTTTGTCTTACATTATAATGTAGCCCCAGAGCTAAGTAAATCTATCCATCCTAGAAAATTTGGTAATCACCTGACTGTACACCAACTGCCTGACCAACCGACTGACTGTCCGATCGACCGTCCGTCTGCACCACAGGGAAGCCAATGTTTAATCTCATACTTTCTAGCTAGTTTGGGAGCCCAGGTGCAACCTGATATTGTCCATCCATATTGTGATCAACTGGCAGCTGTCAAAACAGGGTATATGCTGAACAGTATCACCTGACCTAATCACAGGCTCAGGTATCTACCCATCAAGGTCAAGTATTTTCTTGAAGTCATATCTGCCGACAAGTTACTAGTCTTAAAATGATCGCAGGCTCAAGTTCAATTTGTTTTAATGCATAGGAAATAAGTGGTGTTTATGAGCTGCACTGGTAAAATTTTGATTTCAAACTGGCCTTGGACACAAAAGTTCAGCCAGCTATAACAGGCAGGAAGGCAGTTGCTTTTGAAATTTCTTACCATGGTTTCCATCAGACTTTTACGCTCTGATTGGTCAAAGTTTAACAGGTGAGTTCATTCACAAAATATATGCAGTATCTGGAAACTTGTTTACTGACAGATAAGGCTGACAGAGGTTTGGGTCATCTTGTGATCCGTTTTTATCTGTCTTTTTCCACTGGATGTACAAAGTGAAATGCAGCTGCTATCAAGATTCTGCTGTTGTTCATGGCTGGTTTGTTTATTGGCTTTTTGGTTGGGAAATGTGCCGCTTGTCAAAGTCATCAGAAATGCGATTTCGGATGGCATCGTTTTCATTTTTCACTTTGCTTGCACAACTCACAGCTCGCACAAATTTGGCGCTTGTCAAAAGTGAGAACTGGATGTCCATATAGGTAATATCATGCCACATAGGAGCAGATTGTTCTGACTGAACAGTCCTGACATGAAAACGTTTTATAAGGTGGTACTCAATTCTATAACTTTTTGTGCAAAGGAAGTGCATGCTCCAATTGTCCTGCCTATTGAATGAGTGCAATTGGTCTTGTAAAATGGTGAAAAACTGCATTCTGTCCGGGGTCTGCCTCATAGTACTGTACTGTACTCGGATGTGATGGATGAAAAGTATACTAGCACTAGCCGTTGGCTAGGAAGTGCGGGCAAAACTGCTTTCATATGTAGGTGAATGCCTTTCACTGTGCATCATGGAAACTGGATTGAACAACACAGTAAACGAGACTCGTATAATTACTTAATTTAACAGTTTTATTTGCAGTTGATTAGATACAATAATAGCCTGCAATATTTCTGAAGTGATCAGCGAGGAAAGGCATTTGTATTTGATTCACCGGCAAAGATACATTGAAACAGTAATGCGTGACACAAGTAATGCGGGTATACAGTTATGCACAAAGTCTTGTTATTCTGAATAACAAATTTTTAGTGAAAGCAATGTTAATTTTCATCATTCATAAGTCTTAAACAAGGTTCTTTCAGGAACTGTGATATTAGTTTTATTAGTTCTTGGTCTCAGTGGTTCTATAAATATATGTTAACATTAATTTCCAGGAAGATGTAAATGCTCATATGATCTATATTACTGGTTGTTTACAATAAACATTTGTTATTACCAACACATTTTAGCTACTGTGTGTAAATGATTTTCAGAATTCTGAATGACTTACATTTTTTGATAGCAAAAATGACTCCTTGAAAGTCAAATCTAAGTCCTTAAATACGCCTTAAAAAGTCCTTAAATTTAACTCTAAAATTCCTGCACGAACCCTGATTCAATTGAATACTCAATCCATGTTCAATGACCAAAGGCCGTTGATATGCGATATAATGAAACAGCTTAAATTACCACTGGAGTTTAAGCCTTATTAAAGCTTTCACATGGCAGGTGACCTAACATGCTTGAAAACAAATAAAAATATAAAAACCCTAAGAAACCATGCACCGTAGTGAAACCTGAATGAACATTATACTTTACATCGATTTCTAGAATTTGCTAGCACTCGTATCTCACCAAAAACTTATCCCACACTAAGCTGAGATCAGGCTCTACTTTTATTTTTCTGGGTAAAAAGATTCTAGGCTAGCAAGGCGAATCAAAAAGTCTCCCATTTAGTGTAAAACTTGTGTACCTGAATTACCTGTGCTAGCAAATCGAATGTGTAATAATGATTGTTGCAACACTATAAAAAATATATATATACTACTAATACTAATATAAAATATTAGTAGCTGGCCAATCTTAGGTGAAAGCCAGTTGCCTTCTACTTATGTTAAACCCTGATAAGTGAGTATTTTTGCATCATGACATGCAGAAACATAACGATCATGTCATGTATCTGTTTATTATCATTATGATAATAGATATTGCTTTAAGTCTGTGATAGTCTGACCTGAGACTTTTTACGGAATATATGACTGTACAAAAAATTTATTGCTTAACTAACGTTACAACATAGATGTGTGATTTAATTTCAAGAAAAAGCACAAAAATATAATGACATCGCAGATTTACTAAAACTCACTTCTTTTTCCTTTGTATTGTTTTGTTTGAAGGTGAAAGAGTGACTTACAGGAAACTTAAAAGAAGACAAATGGTATTGGAGTACATGCAGAGCACAAAAGTGGTTGAAGGAGCATTTCCAATTCAAAAGGTAATCTACATGTAGCTTAATCTAAACTACTGAAGGAATATTGTTTGTTATTGTTGTAGTTGCACTGTTCAGTATCTGTAATTAGTGTTATCCAGTGTGGAGGTAGTTTTTGGCCTTGTTTTGTGGTTTTACTTAACCAATGCTTTGTTACCAACTAGCAGCTGTTGCCTCAGACATGGTGTTGGACTCTCTTTACTTGCTTGTCAACTGTTACTGCAGTGTACAGCTTTAATTAATGTTATGTTATTATAATTGTGAATAATAAAATAACATAATAGTAATGATGGCTACTGAAAATTTGATGTGATAAAGTAACACCTATGAAGATCGTTTAATTAATATTTTGTTATTTATTATAAAATTTTTGTCTTAAGGCTGTGATGGCAGGAGAACAAGAAGAAGGGCTGGAAGGAAAAATAGATAGAAAAGGCCTTCTCAGGTATAATATTATCTAATATGAGTCTAAGAGGAATCATCCAGTCAAGCAAATGAATCAAATAACTGCTTTGGAAAGATTGAAGTATAAACACTGAATTGTTTAATATTTTAGGATCCTTGATGATCTCATCAGTGAAGGGTTAATGAGACAACTTAAGACTGTCATAAATCATGGCACTGCTTCACAAGTGGTAAGGTGGCAAGCTAGAAAGAGTGATTCTTGTTATTAAATAAGGATATTGATGATCACTATCTTAACCCCATATAGCGACTATGCTATTAATGTTAAATACCAAGAATGATTAGGTTATAATATGGGTCAAGGGAAACCAGGTGATCACCACTGGGGGAGACTAGCTACCTCATTGTAGTCTGCAAATAAATATTAACAGTTGCCTGTGAGAATATCATGACCTAGCTTAAGGAGACAGGGCTAAATATAATGGGATACATAACACTCAATGACGGGGCATAGAACTCTTCATCAGAGTATTATGTTACCAGTTTTTTATCTGATTATATTTGATTACCTTTGATTATATTTACATAGATATTGCACTCCATAAATTTTTGGATTAAATTAATTAGTTATCTCAGGGAAAACTTATCAGAATAAATGAAATCAGATCAGTGTGGTGTATAGCATTTGTTTCTTGTATTCTGCTGGAAATCTGATTCTTGCAGCATCTTGAATGTTAAAGCCAGTTGTGTTTTGTGTTCAGTTCAGTTCAGTTTATTGTTTTGCCAAAAGTTGTACAAAGAGAAGAAAATCTACAATATTTAAAAAGCTATTGGCAAGGAAGCCCAAGGAAAACCACCGGGCTTATAAGGAATGGGCTCCCTCCCAGTTTAAAACAAAAACGTTCCTTTTCAGTGGATGGCTTGACTCCAACAGCACGATAATAACTGGATGTTAATTACAGTAAAAACCCGCGAGTAAGAACCTGAAAATTAAGAACCTGTTAGCCTAGAATTTGCCATTTATACCCCCTATAAACAAGAACCTGTTTAGCCTAGAAAATGAAAAACAGGTTCTTATTTTTTAAAATCATGTAAGTGAAATGCAGCTGCAAAGCTGTGCAAAAATCCTGTTTGGAGAAATAGGAACTTGGCATTGCTGTGCAAATAAAAGGGCTAATTTATTGATGTAATTAAAAAATGTAGTGCAAGAGGTTAATAATGTTGTATCGCATTTTGTAATACTATACATCAATAAAACACAGCAATAAATCAGCATATTATGCAGTCTTAGGTACAGTGGTAAGCGAACAATATAAAGAGGATCCCTCTTTGATCTTAGAGGTAGTTTCTCTGTCAACCTCAAAGTTTTTGTTACAGTTAAGGCTAGGCAGCGAGGCAAAATATGTAAATGTGTATGTTATTGTTCTTGAGGGTGGTGGTGCTGGTGTTGGAGGGGGGTGGGGATGATTGAAAAATAGGCTGATTACCATCTTGTTTTGTAGCTTTTTTTTTTTTTTACAGAAATAAGAACCTACCGGTATTTAAGATTCTAAATAGCCTAAAATTGTGTTAACTACCATTTAAATTAGAATCTGTTTAGGCTAACTCCAGAAAAGGTCGGTTCATACGCGCAGGTTTTTACTGCATAGTGCAACTACTGTAACCAGGGCCACTTAGACAAAGTTGACCAATGGGATTACGGGAAAATAACAATACAGTCCAAGAAAGTTGGTCATGGGCCAATCAGCCACTCGTTAAAGCACAAAGTGTTACTTAAAGCACAAAATTTAAATTATTGACAGCAAAATAATGTTTTTCAAGAGGGCAAAATGTTTCACCAAAAAACGTTTTTCTATTCGAAACTTTATGTAAATTTTAACACCCAGGAGACATTTTTGTTTGGCACAAGCTGCTATTTTATCATCTACCAGCAATTTCATTGCTACCAGCTGTGCTTTGCATTAACATCATGACCTCAAGTAAAAAATTAACTAACATTTACATTGTTTGTCTGCATCGTTCACTCTATCGGACCTCTCAGGAAACTTGAACTTTCTTCAGTAGGTTCAAAAGGTCACATAGGTTGTAATTGGTTGATTTCAATGCATGTTGGTTATTTCGATTACAATTGACGACTAACTTTCTCGGAATGTATATTATTTTCCTGTAATCTGATCGGTCAACTTTGTCTAGGTGGCCCCGGTTATAGTAGGCACACTGTAATACATAACATTACTTTTAATTGCAGGCAGAACTTTACTTGCACCCATCTGTGAGTAATGGTGATTCAGCAGTGTTAAAAGCCTTGGAACAGTGCCGTGCTCGGCTAAGAGATGAATCATTCAGAATGGCAGAGGTCAGTCACAGTTTCTTGTCATCAAAGGTTATGGAAGTTTCAATAGTTTACAGTTTGGGGGCAGTGGAATCTGCCTGAATGTGTTACACTTGTAATATAAAAATAATAAAAAAGTAGTACACAAAATTAATCATTTGCACTGGTTATAATATATATGAAAAAGGACAAGCATCACGTTCCTGTAGAGAGGATTGTAAATTAGACTGCTTGCAGTCGGTCTTTTCTCTTAAAATCCCTCTAGTTCTTATCTCATCCAGCACGATTGCAAACCACGACTTTATTATTACAATTGAGACGAGATGAGAAAAGACGGACTGCTGACTCTTTTGTAGTAAACAAACCCTCTGTCAGCCCAGAAACAGAGTAACTGATTGGGCAATTGCACAGCTGTTGACAGAGCATTAACTGGTCTGTGGTGAGATTGCAAACAATAAATATAGTCACGTGTTACAACCAACTGCAAACAATAGTGAACCAAGCAGTAATCTCAGTAATAAAACTTTTAAGGATATCTTACAGAAGGAAACTGGTGTAAATTTCCTCAAGAGAAACGAATTCAAGGCAATGCTACCGGATTTAAAGAAAGTGTAATTTTTTCAGTTGTTTATGTTCTATTTATAAATCGTTTCAAGTTACTCGGGTTTAACTGATTAATTAAATTACCTTGACAGCTTTGTTGTCCCCAGACACAACAAAAGAGTCAGCAGTCTCTTATTTTTTCTTCTCGGGCTTATGCCCTCGTTTCTCACGGCTCGCGTGCTTAGGTTTCGCATGCAGTAAAATTGCAAAGAAAAACAAGAGACTGCTCGCAGTCTAGTTTTAAATTTTTTGTATCATTGGAAGTCAACTGATGTTATGTAAACTTAAGAAATGCAGACTACTTATATGGACAGCAAAGGAGTAGATCCAAGTGTGTGTCCAGATTGCAGAGTAACATGTCCTTAGGGTGGAGGTACACAGTTTGATATCTTTGAGGACAAAACTGGCTGCCCATAAAAAAGAGTCTGCACACATGATGTCAGCCTAATGGAGGATTCTTCCATATAGGTTACACTTCTCAGCTATTACTAGCCATTTTTTTAGTTCTTGCTTTCTCCTTTTTTTTTAGACATCTTAGTTATGCAGACACTTGGGCTTGTTCTTGAGATGTCTCTCTGGGAAGTGTTACTGTACTTTTTCTCTACTGTGTATTACCATTGATATTATTTCCTATCATTATACTGACCGACATATGCATGACATATACTGTTACTTACCTTCTTGTTAAATTCAACAAATAGAGAGAAGAAAAAGCAAGGCAAAATGAAGAGAGAAAACGTGAACAACAGTTAAGAGCAGCAAAAGCAGCTGAGGAAAAAGAGAAAAAGAAAGCTGAAAAAGAGGAAAGGGAAGTTCAAAAGAAAATAGCACAGAAACGTGAGAAGGTACAGATCAAAGGAAGTATTAATTTATTTTTAAGTAGTCTGGTAGCTATGTGATAAAGTTTCTGTAACTTTTCATGTGGAGAAAATTAATCTTTTTCAGGTTCCTTCTTTTAAGTATGGCTTTCTCCCACGATATCCCAGAATTCAAATTCTGCATGAACTGATATGGAAACTTGTTTATGGTAATGGTACTAACCAAAAGATGTCAAGTACAGTTGAAAATAGTCAAGTGGAAGGAAACTTTAGTGAAAATGATGAGTGCTTGAAGAACTTAAAACCCATGGAAAAAGTGCTTGATGAATACGGCAAGCCTCTCCAGGGCTGGTTTCGTTTTTGTGACGTTTTTTCAGTGATGCCTTTGGTGATAATTTGCAAAACAGTTGACATCACTGACGAGGTAGGTGTAGGTAATCTTGTCATTTATTATTCATTTGTTGCACAAAAGACTTGCGTTTCTGGGCACAGTATTTGGGGCCCCTGCAGTGAGTACTCCTTCAACTCAGGGCTCAAAATAATGGCTGGTCAATGGACAATGTCCAGCCAGAATCATGGTAACTTGTCCAGTTCAAAACTTCACTTGCTGTTCATGTTGACTGATCATGCTCTTTATCATTCTTGAACAAACAGTCAAATCCATACCTGTAAATCTTGGTTTTTTTTGTCTCTTTGTAAAAATAAAAATAGAAAATTACACAAGGATTAGTTAACGTTTTTTGCCAATGTTTTGACCGGTCAGAAACAAGCCTTGACCAAGCAAAAACTTCTTTGGCTGGTCATTGTGTCTGGCCTTCATCCAAAAATTATTTTGAGCCCTTCAACGTGATTTATTTACTCTATTTCATTCATATGGGAAAACTCCAACTGCAATGCAGTGAACGTTTTATTTGAGAATCTACAGCAACTGATAAAAAATACTGGAAGTTACACAAACCATCAAGTAGCCTTTTGCCAAGATACAGAGGCCTGGCAACATAGTACTGCTGCTGCTGCTATGGACTTTTGTGTGCTGATCTCTCAAGGATAGCTGATGATCAATCACTTCTAATGAAAGGGCTGAAAAGTACAAGGTTGTGAGAAAATGCTCAATTGAAACTGTTTAATTCCCTTTGTGCATTTTTGATGTCATACGTCCATTATTAACGCTTTCTTGTAATTTAATGTGCTAAAGTAGAGACTGATGAGGTCAAAAGCTTCCCACTTTATCAACATCCCCCCCCCTCTTAACATGTATGCATGCTGATCATTCAGTTTTATGAGCTGCTTTCCGCCCTTAGATTGAAGGTTTTGATGAGTATGTGCTTGATCCTGTAAAGAAGTACACTCTTCTTTGTGATCTTCCGCTGCCCCTTAGAAGCAGAATTACTGAACATAGGTAAGCCAGTAAGATAATATTTTAACAGTCATCTGAACTGAGGCCCCATTGAAGGAATAAGCATTATATAATACGGATTTTTTGCAGAAACTACTAAACAGACGACTACTGGACTGTGAAGCTAATGTTTTGTTTTGTTTTCCATTTTGTAGGAAAGTGAAATCAGCTCCACTGGATTTACTGGTTGTAATGGCTCAGATGGGTTTAATTACCCCTTCTCTACCATTTCCAGTCTCTCACAGAGATGTATGTAATGATTACGATTGTTTCAGCACTTTAGTATTTAAAGACAAAATCCTCCATTTTCATTTCAGTGTTGCAATAATTACAATCTAAATGAAAACACACTTTCTGTTGTTCTACCAAACTTTCGTTTTGTTGTGGGTTTTTATCTTCTTTCAGATAAAGCTGTTTTTAAACAAAGGTGTTAAACTGCTGGACACATCAGTATGTCAGCCTGGCTGGTACACTGCTCGCCCACCAGATGGTACGACATCTTTTGCTGTACGTACCCATATGTTCACAAGCATGGCTGCTCTACGGAGTTATTGGAGTGACCTCAAATGTGTCTGTCTCAACACTCCTTTGGGTAAGTGGAAAAGATATTGATTACAAATTAATCATTTAAGGCTTTCAAACAGCAGTGTGGATTAATTCTTGCCCCCTCCCTCCAGGCCCCACCCACCTCATTCGAGTTAAAATGATTTGATTTGGTTTTTATTTAATGGCTGTTTTCTCTGCATTTGTATCCTTCCCCGTTTTCTAACATTAAACCTCGAGTCTTCAACTTTTTTAGGTTCAGTCAGTTTCACTTGAAAGTAAACAGTTGATATAAATTAAATTCCAGTTGAGACAACCAACTTTTCTGCATACTCTGTATACTACAGTCAATTTGTTTGTTCGTACATTAACATTTTCAGGAGTAGCTCGTAATCTGGAAGAGAAAGACATTGAAGGTCGTAGAAATACAAAACTAGTTTCCCTTGCTAAGAAGGAGGTCGATGAAAACAGGGTTGATCTTCCACCTGGAGACCAACTTGGTGCCGGAGGGCTTGACCGTCGTCTGTTTGCCTACTTACCAAAGAACTGGGCACGCCTTGTCACCTCTCTTGCACTGCAGAAAGCAGTCCAAGAGAAAGAAAGGTCAGTTAATTGATAAGTTTGCCTGTTGTATAAAATAGCGTTCCAGTTTAAGTTGGTTTATTTTTAGTTCGACAGTGTGATGCACTGTCTTTAACTTTGCACCCCTCGAAAAGTTTCCTCCAAACCAAATTTGAGTCATACGTGACATTGAAGTAACTTAATCTCTGGCACTTTTGGTATACTGTTGACCCGGTGTTGATACATTTCTATATATATAATTAGGACGTCATTATCGGCACCATCCGTTATCCCTGTAGCAAAGACAGGTGTGGATACCACAAACAAGTCTGGCAGTATTCGCGGTCCTGACCAGGGGAAGAAAAAGTCGTTTTTGAGCCTGGGAAGAGCAGAGATGAAGAAAAAGGCAAAGCAGCAGAAAAAGAAAGTTTCGCGTAAACGAAAAGCCGAAGGTAGGTTGATTTAGACTGTACTGACATGCTTACAACGTATTTATTCCTTTGATACATAAAGGAACAAAATGTTAAGTTGCTGCTGTGCACTATAATGAACAAAGATGTAGTTAGCCTGTAATTAAAATGACTTATCGTGTTGTACCTACCTACCTACCTTGGCAAGCAAGTCAGGCAACGTGTAATCTAGATAAATAGGTTCTTGTACGAAATAATAGTTTTTTACAGTCATATAATATTAATATGAATGTCCACATCTTGAAGGTCACTGTGTTTTTTTATAATTGCAGATGCGCAAAAATCTGAAGGAGTGAAAAAAATCCGAACTAATAAAGCGAAAACGTCTGAGAAAAAGAAAGATCGTAACACACATGTCAGTAAGTATAAAGCATGGTAACTTAATTTCGTCCACGGAACAAAAAGGGCTTAATGGTGTCTTAAACTTAGAATAATCGCAAATTGTATCTTATGTTTGCAAGAAAGTGATGCAATGAACGAACTATGAAAATTGATTTATTTTTCACTCACATGTAGTGAGGTAAGAGAGTAAGTGCAAAGCGAATTTCAGTTGACTGCAGACTTTGTATCAGTTTTGTTTCAATATACACTCCATATTGCCTCAGTTTTGGACTCGCAGCATTCTAGTATCAGATCTCAGAGTAACATATCTCACCAAAGCTGTGTGTGTGTCGCTGTTTAAATAAAAGAGGGTCATTTTTCCTTTGTCTTGTTTTTCTCTTTTTGTACCTTCATTAGCTGCTGTTGATGAAGAAGACAAGAATATTTTGGCAAGGAAAACTTGTGAAAGAATCCAGTTTTCAGCCGAGGAGGACAGTTGGGTAAATTAACGTTTTCACCTCGTATATAATAATCTTTAAAAAGGATATTACAAATTTGGGCTTCCACAAAAATTAAGTACAAACAACGGCAATTTGCACATTACTACAAAGAAGGTATAAAACGGAACTAAAAATTCGACATAATCATTGTCGGGTTACCAACGCTAAGGGCGGTCAACCATTATGGCGTACCTCTGCCGGCGCGAAGGTAGACACACCACGAGTCATTAATGAACACCGCTGAGAAAAGGGCTGCTAGACTCATTCAAAATGGGACACTTTGGCATGGAACTGTTAAGGTTAGCCTCTTGCATAACTCAGGCACAGGCGACACTTCGTTATTGTAAACATTCTCAGCCGAGAAACCATCTTCAATCATGCAACTCCTTCTTAGCAAATTTAAAACGTACACACGAATGCCGTGTCCCAAACGTATGTGAATTTCACACGAATGATTCCTTTATAGTCTGATATGATTTTCCCTTTCGTTTTTGATGATATGTAGTTACTGCTGTTCCATATTGCTCTTGGAATCATGAAGAAAGAATCGACTGGTTTTGGTCCATCTGTTTATATGAGAAACATTTTACACAAACAGTGTGCGGTAGGTAAATATGAGAAGACAAGGCGTGTCATTCTTAAGTCGGAGGCGCCAGCGGCTGCTACTATCAGTTAGACTTTTGTTTACCTAATTTACCTACATTCCCTTCCTTGCCCTTCGAAGTGACTGTAACAAAGGATGAACGGAATAGACGGACGGAGTAAAAAGGTTATGTTAAGGTCTACGCTATACCGGATAACTTATCATGCCGGCATACTATGACCACTTGTTCACACTGCGCTGCCCTCACCTATCCCGGCGATATGTGACGCCGATCCACTTTTAAGATGGGCGCGGCGCAGCCTCGCTCTGTTATAATCATGAAGCCCAGTCATCCGAAATGGTTTTCTTATCGGCGCAAAAGCTCAGTATCCGGTATAGTGTAGAGGTAGCCTAACTGATTTTTGAGGCCCACATGTTATCCTAGTATCCTTGGCGGCATGTTAATTACTGATTTGAAGATTTAGAATTGTTGTATTTTCCACTAAGTAAGTTCAATAATTCAGTACCGGCCATCGTTGGTCTAACAGTAGGAAATGGTTCGGTAATCTCCCATGACTTGCAAGTTGGTGCGTGTTTTCCTTTTGACGTAGATGTAATTCCATTGCAAAAAAAAAAGAAAGAAAAACGTAGAAACCTATACCCTAACCATTCAGATCAAATGTCGTATTTTAAGTGCTGTGAATTTCTAGTTTAGTAACTTGAAAACATAAGGGACATGGGCTGTTCAAAAGGCAAAATACAAGATCACTAATAGGAGGAATTTAAGAGTGTGAAATTTGGAGATTTTTCAATCTTGTCTCACTCGCTCCTGTCTCGCTCTATGAGGCTACCAAACATGTGCCATTTACCTGGTGCAAGGACCAGTCATTTATTCAACCTGATTTTATCTTTGTTGTTTTGTAGGCAAGTTTTGATAAAACAGCTCCCAATATTCATCGCAGGATTTTGAAACTGATGAAGTATCCTCAGTCGCAAATGACTGTTAAAGTTTGTTCTGTGGAATGTGCTCATGATAAGGTGCGCCTCCGGAATGTATTACAGTATTTCTATTTATATGCTCAATTGAGATTACGAGTCGGTTCGGGGCGTCTGTTAATGCAACTTAGCCGGCAATTGGTAAAATAAGCGTCAATGGCACACCATGAAAAAAGTATTTTTGAACTTTTTTGTCATTGATGGGATGTTGTTTGAGGCTTAAAACGTTAAACTTAGTACCAGGTGAAACAGCATCTATATGTTGATTTTTTTTCTTTACTGATTTATCTCCATTGTCTTATTTAAAATGTTGTGGAACTGTTCATACGTTTTCAAGTTACAGTCTAGTTTGTTTTTCTCTACCAGCACAATATTGTGTCTTATCACTCTCAAGCGATGTGTTTTGCTTCTCTTCTGCAGTCATTCCAAGGATTTGACGATCCAAATGCTGATTTTGAAAAGACATTTAAAGAAGTAGTTAAGAGGTTAAGGCAGAAGTTCAGGTTAGTTTGTTACCTTCCCGGCTCCACAATATACTATGCAGTTGTTCAGTCTAGCTGTGCAGGCACACTTCAGACAGAGTAGCACCGACTTTTGTCGTATGAATATCGCAATCTCTCAAGATCTCTTGTGTGTGGCTAAATAATTTTCGCGCCTTTATGTTACTCAATAATGCAACTGGCTCACATTTTTAGAGACCTGTACAGGGTGAAAGGAAAGTCAGTTTTACAGCCTGCCATTCGGGCAAGCTGTAGCTAAAATGTACTAGCCCACAAGTCATTTCAACTAGCCCCAAAACCCTTTTTGATTAGCAGGATTGACTTCCATCCTTCTGTAATTTGAATTTCCCCGAAAAATTCACTTGCCCGTCGGACAAGTTAAGAACAGAATTCACTAGCCCGAAAGCAAAATCCACTAGCCCCGGGCTGTCGGACACGACTTTCTTTGCACGCTGCCTGTAGCTACATTTTCTTTAGTAAACAATTTCATGGTAAATAATCTACCAAAAGAGTTTTAAAAGTCTCTGCCATAAGTTCTAAATTCTTCGTACTTATGGTTCCTTTTTCCTTCATTTTTTTTTTTTTTTTTGCTATCCTGATACAGCACTTCAAGTTTGTCTTGGGATGGAGATGGCACGTTAGTTGCGTCGATAAAAGAGCTTCATGACAAGTACAAAGTTAAACCACTGGTTTCTAAGGATGTAAGTTTTACTCTTGGATTTAGCTGAAGAGTAACATAAACCAATGAATGTATTTTCAAGGAAAACAGTTGTTGTCAAATTTAGTTATAAATGTAATGTGCCACTTGTTGACAAATTTAAACCAATTTAGTGACCACCTCGTTTCCAAAGGATCATTTAGCTTTCAGGTTTTGACCATTCTCGTATCCCGAGGCCGCCATCCTTTTGATCATGATTCGAGTTGCGTTTACGTTGCTGACCAAAAGAAAGGCGAGCTCTGTGAACAAGAGTTTTTCTTTTACTGAGTCTGGTGCGCGTGCCTAGTTTTATACCCATATCCAATCATCAATTGACGAGCGGCTTGTGGTGGAACTAAGCTTTATTTGCTTGTTTTGTTTCAGGAATGTCTGTCAATGAGTTCTGTGATCAAGACTGTCAGTGATATTAATAAAGCAGCTCTGAGGGATCAGATACAGGTTTGTAAACTAAGGCTGTTGTCCGCCAAATAGAGCGGTCATTTTCCTTTTTGTTTTCCCTTCTAGGTCTTTGTTTTCGGCTGGTAGGTTTTTGTTTTTGATTTTATAGACACCCATTTTTGTGCGTATAACTACTTGTTATCTGTCTGCAGGTCGTGGCATTTCAGGTGGTCTAAATTAAGCCCCTAAAAGGAAAGAGGCGGAAGTGCTGCTAATCAACGTGCTTGATTGTTCTCTACAGATTGCTTTAACAACACCCCGAGAAATATACGATGCTTACAGAGTGTTCCAAATGTTTAACTCTTTTACTAAGGTAAGCTTCTTTGTTATTTTTCAGTCGCTGTCAGTGTCTACTATTGATCACTTTCACGGCTCTTATTTGGGTTGTTCCTATCCGTTCTATTTCACCCTGTTACATGGTGCATCTACTAAATCCTGGTTTATCTTGCTGCTGCTCTTGGCGTATCTGGCGTTTAAATGTGGAGCTACGGTAATGGAGTCCAGACAGACGGCCTCAAGACCCAAGGGCCCGGATAATTCGTTCAAAAAATGCCCTGCAGCTCCTCCCGCTCCCGCTACCCCTTGGGCTGGATCTGCCACTGCATGGTGTCATATGAATTAACAAAGCATTAAGAAAAGCAATAATAATAATAATAATAATAATAATAATAATAATAATAGTACTAATGAAGCTGGTGCATTTTTAGGTCCATTTAATGGCTCATAGTTTTTGTCGTTATGACTTTGCTTGCTAGCTATGTTACACTTATCTCGTTACACTGATTGGTTTAACCCAGGCTACTGTTGCTTACCTATAACATGCAATTAAAACTGTAACACCGAGTTATTCCCCATTCACGTTTCAGGTTATGATAAGTTTAAGATTGCCTTTTCTTCCAACAACACTGTAATTTTCAAAGTAGCTCACCAACGTAATCCGTGCATGTTATTCCTTAGGAAGAACTTACTGATGTGTTTAAAGAGATGCAGAAAAACAACCTGGTCAGGAGAAGGGTAGGTTCAGTTTCTAAGTGCAAGAGTCACGCTTCCCTAACGGGTTCTCCGTTCAACATTCAATCCTTTTTTGCGTTCTCTTTTGGTTGTGTTTGCTTATCGGAGGTGAAACGAAGGTTGAGTTTTAGTTACAATACAGTTTTACCTTCCAAAGCCTATTACAAGTTTTTGGACTGGATAAGTGGTGAGATGATGACCCTGAGTATGTTGTTGTCATGAAGGTTTGAATGAATAATTGAATGAATGATTTATTTAATGTCGAAGACGTGGGAAGTGTTTGCACAATCTTCCGAGCCAGAGGCTCATGTTAAAAACGCTCGACAAACTAAAAAATACAAATCAAGGTAAAATGTGAATTATGCATATACAGATATTAAGAAAAACCTAAAAACATCGTAATTTTGGGAAAATTTTTTAAGAAACTATTTTCTAAAAAAAAAAACCTAAGAACATGCATTAAAAAAAGTTTAAAACGGACTAATCGTCATAAATTGATTAAAATAATAAAAAGTATAATTAGATATGATTATATATCTAAGAGTATGTAAAAATGTAAACATAGATAAAGTTATATACAGTTCATACACTGGCACCCTGTGAAATTGACATTATTCATCTCTGACGCACTGTATGTATTGTTTGTTTCTCGCTATTCCTGTACAGAAAACAATCGAGGATCCTCAGAGCAGCAGTCAGTTTTCTAGGTCCCTTCCTTTTGCTTCAATGACTTACCAGCTCAGCCCTCTGTAAGTTGCTCTCGGCTGTTTCTTGTTTTTTGTGTTACTGTAAACGAGAACATGAGCCGTCTATTGTCAACAAGAACAGATTACTGCAGAATACATCAGTGCACAAAGTGTTCCCTGGCGCGTACAGGGGGAACCTGAACGGATTTACACATTACACCATCTGTCTGCAAAGTTCTCTAACAACCAAAAAAAGGAACTCTTATTTCTCGAGAGAAAACAGTTAATGTGGGTTCATTTACATTTTGATAGTGTTAAGTAGGACGATGTATGTCACACTTAATACCTAGAGAGCCTGCCATAATACATTTGACCAGAAATCATCATTGTTTTGCAATTTACAATTAACTGTTCTACTCAGGTATCACCGTCTGTTCTTACAAGCTTTCAAGTTGGTTACATTGCACAAAGATTGTGCAAAGTTCTGGACTCGGCTTGTGAAAGGAGAGCAACAGCTATCACAGCCTAGCAACACAGCTACTGATAGCTGCCCAGGCTCCTTAGAAGTGAACTCTAAGAATACTTGTGGTGGAGACGTGGCTTGTTTTCTCTCTCTTCTGGCAACAAACAAGGTCAGGAAATGTTTTGATACCTGAAAGGATTTATCTCCAAATCATCACTTATTGTTCGCTTCTTAAAATATCAAACTAATCTCAAAAGTAGTAGTGGGCCTTGCCTCTTTGAATATGTGATGTGCACCAGCGCAGCACAGAACTTCATGTTTGCATAGCTGAGGCTTTAGTGATTGGGCCGGGCGCGATCAGGCAGCCTTAGGAGTCAATGAAGATTCAAGTGATATCGGTATAACGCAGTAATATGCTGATGCCATACGTTGAAATGATGAATAGGAAACATATAGAACGTTTTTTTTTTTGTATTTCACGTACGATCCAAGAATGTAGAATGGTTCAATGGCAAACGTATTAGATAACTTGGGATTTTTTATTTTGCTTTTCGGTTTTAACAAATCATCATTGATGAGAACAGATTTTTATCTCATTTAAACTCAGGTGTATGTTGAGATGAACATTCCTGATACCATCCTCAACATGGATGCGTCAGGATGTAACACGAATGTACAGCAACAAGCAGATGAGGACACAGTTGAAGTGAGTGCGCCCAGCATTATAACACTTGTCGCTTATTCGTAACTTTTCTCTCAGCAGTTGTGTTTGCCACAGCTTTTCAGTCAGGGTGATAAAATTCTTTTTATTGAAGACAAGAACATCATTTTCCTATTTGTAATTGTGTTTTATATTACTTCATTGCCAGGTATCAGCTGAGGCGACTAATAGGGAGAATGGTGATGTATCACTGCAGAAGAGAAATAACACAGATCCTTGTCAAGTACCAAAACAAAATAAACCAGGTGCTGATCATGTGTCTCCATCCACTGTCACCTCACCACAGAGCGGGGAGAGTGGTGGAACATCTCAGACAACTTCATCAGTGATGAATAAAGGCCCGGATTCAGTAACTCAGTCGTATGTTATCACAGAATCCCCCGAAAGAACTGACTCTGGTCCATCAACACCAGTGAAGGAAAAACCAGATAAACGTAAACTTTTAACCTTGAGTGTACCTTCCTCAACAGTGGCAAGATTCACCAGTCCTTACGATCTTGCATCTGCGAAGGAAAGTGGTGACTTTCTGAAATGTTGCCCTGAGACTTGTGACGTGGAACTCAACACTTCTGAAGTCAGAAAAGTAACTACGGTTCCAGTCGCATCTCTAACATACAACAGCTTCACATCCCGATCATCTAGAACAGCCCTAATGTTAGCAAGGGGCGGTAAGGATCCCTATGTATCTATTAACCAGCTGCCAGCCAGGCCTTTCAATACACACGACTTTATGACTTTATATCACATCAAAAATGTTGTTAGATTAAAAGATGACAGTGATGGAAAAGTGCAAAATGAAGCTGACGCAGAAAGAATTACAAGTTCTGATAAAGAGCCTGGACGAGGAGTTAGAGTAACATCAAGCAAAGTGACAAGTTTAGGGAAAACAGCTCCGTTGAGTCAAGACGCAGTTAATGATGCTGTCACTTCACCTGTTATTGTCACCAAGAGTGAATCAATAGAAGAGTATTTGCTTCGGATGAAAACGGGGTTGGTTTTTAGTGAAGTGGATACTGCTTTGTCCAGAGATATTCACCATCTTGTTGACGAGCGCAGAGAGTTTGGTTTTCCTGTGGTTCAGTTACAGGTAGGTCATTAGGACCTGAGGCATGTCTCAGTTCAGTCTCGCTGAACATCAAAAGCTGGTTTTTTTTTTAATTAATTGACCTTGATTTGTTTGATGTTGTAGGAAAAATTCTATAAGAGCCATGAGCAAGACTTAAAATCATCACAGTACTCATTAGATGAACATGTACAGTTCTTGTGTGCAGCTAAACAGGTACCTGAAACACTAGACTTACTGAAACGTGGATGAAAATTTTTTTTTTTTAATAGCGTGTGCACAACCTTCTGAGCCATGAGGCTCATCTTAAAAACTTTCGACACGCTGGTGTTATACGGAAACTATGATACATAAAAGTGAGCCTTTACAAATAATCCTATAATCATTTTTAAAAAATCTTTGCCATGTTTCAGATGTACAAAGTCGGCTTTTATGAGATTTGTCTGGTTACTTCAAGCTTCGTGAAGCCGTGGTGTGTAACGTTACTCAAGGTAAAAAATTTTTTACGTTATTTTCTTCTTTGTTCCTTGTTTTTTTGTAACCCTCCAACTTTTTCCGTCCTTCCGTTTCGGTGCCACAAATGGCGCGAAGAATTTAGTTTAGTTTCCGGCAGTGAATCGGACAAATATTCAGTGTTTTCAGGCAAATCGCTCATTGTTGCAGTAAAAAATGTCCAAAACCATTAAGCACTACCAATCCAATCATCCAATCGCGGCGGTGTCAACTTTGGTTTATACCGTCACCTTTTCCTTCTGCTATCATTTTCCTAAAATTGGTGTTTGTAAATATGTAAATGGAACAAATTTGTTTAATAATTATCGTCTTTATTTGTATTTTATTTAGCCCAAAAGCAGTTCCAAAGAAGCCCCAAGCGTGATAGATGTTGAGTCATCAAACAGCAACGACGAAGAGGCGGGTGATATTACGTCATACGAAGAAAAAACAGAAGTTATTGGACAGGATAATACTGGTTTGGAAATAACAGGAATTATCACAGAAGATGCAAACACGTGTGAGGGAGACCAGCCGCCTGCTAATCCACAGCTTAGTACGGAATGCAGTGCGTCGCCTTCAATTGATTCGAAAGGAGCTGATGGAGATAACGATGACAATACAAAAGACGAGAATGAAACAACCAGTTTGTCCTTTGATCCAGTGGCTGGTTTATTATCCAAACAGACGGAAACGTCAGGAGTGCAAAAGAAGAAATCCAAAGATAGGTTAGTAGCAACTATACATATCGATCAACGCAAGGATACAGCTCAGTTTAAATACTCATCCGAGTCGCTGAACAGTAAACGAAAAAAGCTCGTGGAGAAGAGGTCCATACAGATTTTCGTTCGAGGGTTACACAGACACCTTTCACCCATACCTACAATAAAAACCTAGTGAAAAGCATGAAGGATTCGATCATTAGCCGTCGCAGAAGCAATTGGCGATTATGAATGGTTTGAAGAGGAGAAGAAAATAAGCGCCAGGGCTCGATAGGACTGCGTAGTTAAGACATCGTATTGGTAGCCACGCCAGACCCCTTTTCCAGCCTTTCGTTTGTTTTTCCAGGCTATCCTGTATTGATTTATACGCAAGACACGGAACGCGTGTCGTGTCGTGTCGGTGGCTAGTGGTGGGTATTTACCTCGTAGCTAACGCGGCCTCGGCAAATAACCACCACTAGCCACCTCCACGTCGGTGAATAATTTTTATTTATGTGTATCATATTTAGCCTTTCTGACCTCGTTTGAAAGTAAGAATTCTTTTGTATTTTGCAAATGCTATCATACATATTTAACAATTATTCCACGAGTGCGCGTTGGATATGAGATGGTAGATACGCGCCTCATCTCATATCCGCCAAGCGCGAGTAGACGAGTACAGTTACCACATTTGCTGAGCACGGTTATAATGGCTCATATGTCATGATGGCTAAGCCAGTCAGAGCTCTAGAATTGCATTATCCAATGATTCAGTTTTTAATAAAAAAGAATATATTAACAGGCGGCCATTATAACAGAGGTCTATACTTGACTGGGAAAAAGCTTGATAATTGATATTCAATATGTTGCAGGAACTTTGACCGCTACTCAGTGGTTTGTCGTCCGTGGATCACAATTGATGGCACCTCAAGTAAGCACTTACTGCGCATGTTCAGGGAAATGGTACTTATGTTAATTCTGGACAATCCCGGCATTCCAGAGGTGAGTGGTATGAGCAGCGTGCAAACAACGGTGAAACTGATCGGTTCCTAACGTGAAACATTCGTCTCCTGCACTGATGCGATTACTTCAGCATGATAAGATTGTCATTTCTCCAGGTGCATTTATCTCACTGGTTACGTCTGTTGATTATCCAACATCGCCACAGCCCCAGCCCTTACACTTTCATGTCTGTCCACCAATCGTAACTTCCATGCTAATATTATCTGGATCTCCAAACCTACTGCCTGGGTCCAGAATGCTCTTTCAGTGTCCGACCCTTAAGGTCTCATGGGTTTCTTGTCATGGTTTCCTTCTCTTGGATGGTTGCCAGGGCTACGAAGTGATTAGACCAACGATTCAATAATCAAAAGTTGAAATTTTTCTCTTGTCAGGCTACTTTCTCTCTTTATGTTTCACGGCAAATCCCTGCGTAGTCCCTAGGCCTCATTTTTCCGCGCTGCCTGTGCGTTTCGAAATGTATTGACCGAAAAGGCCTGGGAATACACCGTACAGTTGGGTGGAAGTGGACTGAAGGAGTCACTCGTTTGAATATTTTTTAATAGTACTTGAGATATTTGTGTAGTCATGTCTCGCCTGTTATTACACTGTAACGATTTTCCATTTTGGTTAATGACTATCAACTTTTGCGTTGTCGCATTCCAATTTTTTTGTTCGCGATGATCGATGTGTAAAAAATAGATAGTGAACTGGGGCCCATTTCTCAAAATGCCCGCTGACTTTTCGGGCCCGAGGGCAAATTTTAAAATCAAACCTGTTGAATAGTAGCACAGTTCCTAGCCTACAAACCAGTCAGTTTTGCTTTGTTAAGTTAACTAATAGTTTCATTTAATCATTACTCTGTTCTTGAATGCAAACTTGGCAAAAATTAAACAGCTTTCCGGGCCCGGAAAGTTACAGGGACTTTCAAGAAACGGGCCCCTGGTCTCCAAACATCTCTTAAAATACAAAAAATTGAGTTCTGCAAAATATCACCATTCCAAGATCGCGAAATTAGGGCCAACAAAGCAGCACATCCGGGTGATCGAGCAAGTGACGTAAAATCTAATCTAAACTGTAAACCAGCAGGAAAAGGAAGAGAGCTCGTGTAGTTGCAGCCTCTAGCTGGCATATTCTCCTCTTCCCCCTTAGGTAGTTATAGGTCGCACCTTTATCAGTTTTGTGTTCTTGGTATGTACAGGGTCAAATTGCTAAACATGTGTTTGAAGCACTACGGCCTGCGGCATTACAGGATATCCTCCAGGTAATTTAGTCACCTCATCCTACTCAACAAGGTATTGTTTGTAAGTGAACCAAGTACTCTAAAGAACAATGCAAATTCTGACTGTCTGTAGTAATTGTCGTAAATTACGTTCAACGTGGTCACAGTTTTGGTCATCACATTCTCCCCAACATGTCGAGGAGCCTTCCTTGAAGTTCTCTTTATACTTATAAGAGTTTGCGGAAGAAGTATCAGTCTCTTCACTCAGCCTGCGCTCAGTGCAGTGCCGAGTGTCACAATTTTTTAACTGTTCTATATTATGTTTATTGTTGTAATACCCACTTCATGATGAGCAGCAGCATTATTCATCTAAACTGTGTCTGATTGATCTTCAACATCCCTTTTTTGTATCTTAGAGTCTTGTTCAGGATGGCTGCATCGTTAAACACCTAAAGCAAGTGCCACCAAAGATGGCTCTTTTCAGTCCGTCGAAACGGCAAGGTAAGCTGAGGCTTTGAATAGTTATACATCGGATAAGCGGAGCTCCACGCGCGCGCCATCTATCCATTTGCTTGGTGGTCACGTGACTGCACGTCCTTCCACCCGTCCGTCCGTACCTCAGGGCAACCAATGTGAAATCTCACACTTTCTTGCTCTTGTGGGAGGTTGCAACCTGATGTACACCAACGCTGTGGTCAATTGACAGCTGTCAAAACAGGGTATCCGCTGTCCAGTATTACATGATTGATCGTGGGCTCAGGTGTCGACTTATCGTTGTTGGGTGTTTCTTTTTAAGTTATTTAAGTTACTAGTTTTCAAATGATCGCAGGCTCAACTCCAAGTGGATTTCTTTGCAAGTTTGTTTGAAATGAATTATGAATTTATTAACGGGACCGGAAGCTCCTAGCCCGTTGGCTTAATCTGCATATTAATCACATTATTAATTAGCAATCTTCTTACTATAGCTAACGTTTGGGATTATTACTTTATTACTTTACAGAGCCAACTACAACAATGGCTTACTACACGCCAACAGTTAACTGCATTTTTAACTTGGCGACAAGCAGAAAGACAGGCTATACGTGATGTCAACCGGCTCCCGTATATTGACTTCGTAGAGTGAGCCAAGACAGGCATTGCTGTGTGCAAGGCCGACATACTTTTTGAGATGATAAAAACATGTTTTAATAATTGTCAGATTTTAGTTACAGAGAGATTAAAGTTTGTCATGTATTTTTAAAATGTCGTATTATTTTTGAAAGTCCAGGTCCGTTTGTACTTTCCAGCATCTACGTCTGAAGGCAAAAAAAAAAGGTTTCTGCGCATGTCCGAACTTCCAAGATTTGAAATGAACTTTCAGTTCTCTATGGAAAAGACGTTAAAAAACGAGAATATATCATCATCATACACAGGAAATTCCTTATGTTGTTCAGATGTTTATAATTTAGCTCAAAAATTTCGTTCAAATTGTCAAGATTACTGGTCACGCAGGACGGAGGAAAGTTGTCAGGGGCAGGCGAGTTATCTCTAACAGAGCGTTTACGAGGCAGGTAGGGTAACCTTATTGCTAGGGTACCCCTAATACTTAGGTATGGTTACCGTAGCGCTTGGGTAACCCTACCTGCCCTTTTAAACGCGTTGTGTAAAAAAAGAAGAAATGTGCGAGTGCTTGGTTCACCCTCTGCTTCCTTGTATACAGGGTCTTAAGGTGATGTTATACGAGACGATTCGCAACGACGATTTTAGCGCAACACAGCGTTGCAATATTGTTGCGACATTGTTTTGAATGGTTACAACATTGTTGCAGCATTGCCACGCTGTGTTGCGCTTAAAATGGTCGTCGCGAATCGTACCGTGTAACATCACCTTTAAGAAACGACGACGACAACGGCAGTGAAAGCGTCGCTAAAAAACAGGAGCCGATTACTTGTAATAAGTAATCGGCTCCTGTAAAAAATGAATTTGCGTTCTTTCAAACTTAATCGCGTCCATATATTTGGACCAGCTCGATATGTCAAATGCAGCCGACTTTTCCTGAAGTTGAATTCTTAAGTATTTCATTCAAGTTCAAAAAGAGGAAGGAAAATTCGTCGTCGTATGTCCACGTCCTCCATAAAACGTCAAATTAGGTTTCACGTCGTAGTCGAGCAGTGGACGTCAAAGAAATGTACTAAAAAGCGTCATGCACGTGCAGAGCTTATGTTTTGATCATTAAACCTATTGTTTTTTGAAGTTGTCGTCGTTGTCGTAGTTGCTTAAGCTTCCTGTTTTATGGACGACGTGAGCATACGACGACGAGATTTCCATTCTCTTTTCAAAGTCCTTAACAAGTTAACTCCAGGAAAAGTCGCTTACATTTGAAGAATTACTAGCGGCTCCAAACAGACGCGATCTGCGATAAAGTGGACAGTCGATAAAGTGGTCAACCAGACAGTGACTAGAAAACCGCTGGACGGCAGAGAGGGTGACCAGAGTTTTCCCGCCTTTTTCCATTTGCCGGCCGCTGTTTCAACGCAAGGAAGACATTTTACCTGTATGGAGGAAAAACGTGAGTATTTGCAGCGCATTTTTACCGGCTTTTTCGTATTTTTTTATCGCTAGTTTTTATAGCTATGCGTTGTTTATCATCCTTTACAGTTAATTTTCAAATATTTTAAATATTTAGACAGTTTGGACACCAGTTTCCAATTCTGCAGTGTCGACGGGAAGCTTAAATAAAAGGGGGCTTACGGTCGTCTCGCCAACGAGTCGTTTCGCCTACGTCCTGTTCGCGTACGTCTTAAGTAGTTTCGCTAACATCTCCTAAGTCATTCTTGAATTAAGGAAGAAATTTTCGAAAATCTAACACGCACTAGGAGGCAGCGTGCCCGAGTGGTCAGCGCTTCCGACTCCCGCAATCCGGCAGTCCCGAGTTCGAGTCCCGCTCTAGCCACTTGCTGGATTTGTTGTCGCTAGCCCCGAGTTTAAAAATTCGGCCACGCTTGTAAATAGCTAACTGGTTGCCTCCTGCCAGTTAGGGTTTTTAATCCTGTTATGTTGTATTTGAATTATTTGTTTCTAAGTATTTGAGAGGAGTGCCCGTAAACTAGATTGATAAGCTAAGTGTACTTTCCACTAATATTTAGATTTAGCCAGGGCTAAAAGCGAAGCTCTTGATAATATTTTTAGTTTGTTCAAACAAAATTTAAAATCGTGTAATGCTAAGCGGCGAAGGGAATGCCCGAGAATGGTGAAAAACAACAATAGGTCTAATTAGCAAAAAGAAACCTTTGCACGTATAGCACACTTTTTCTGTACATTTCTTTGCCGTTGTTTTGCAGGACTACAAGGTGAAACTTCCAGAAACTTCTTGGTTACACGTTTAATGGAGGAAATGAGGTACGTGTTCTATTTCACTTCTTTTTTCACTGCCGCTCATTTTCACCTTGCATTGGTGGCCGCTAGCATTTCTTCACGTTGTTCTTCCAACAACGTTTTAGTCTTTATTGACTCTTTAGTTGTCTCTGCTTCACAAGACGCGGGTGGCTATTCGATTTCCCGTCAAAATAACCTCGCGTTGCATTTCGGTTGCCATATATATAAAATTTTACAACGCAAGATGGAAATAATATGAGATTAAAGAGAAAGTAAATGACGAGGAGACCTAAAAGAAAACGCGAGGCTTATAATGAGTCAGGTCTCCTCAACTTACGGATCATCTATTCTTGACATAATAATTACAATATGGGCTTAAGGTGGCTAACTTTGACCGCGGACTCACACACTCACATGTTAATTTATTAGAGCCATACTGAAGCTAATACGTACTAAGAAGGAATTCTTTAAGCTTTCTTTTAAAAGAAGCAGAGGAGGACAAACCAGTTGTAGTAGAATTCAGCGAATTATAAAACTTTGGACCATGGAAATAAATTGAGAACTGTCTAGTGTTCATTCTGCATAGTGGCAAGTGAAATGAGTGGGCATTCCTAGTATTATAATTATGGATTTGACTGTTTATTAGGAAGAGGTTATTGAATTTGGAAGGGAGTGTAGAGTTCTTGAGTGAAAACAAAAAAAACCTAATTAAAACCATACCTGTTGATTGAGTTATTTTACATTGGTATGCCTGTGGTGAGGACGGACGGTCGGGCGGGCGTACGGTCACGTGATCACCAAATTTTCTCGGATGGGTAGTTCTCCATAATTAGTTTTCCACATTTTCTTAGTCATGGTGTTCCGCTGCGCGCGCGAAAGCGCGCGAGAACTCCGCTATAAACAAGCCTTTAAACCTTTTTCAATGGGTACTCTCCTCGTTATTTTTAAAACCAAGGCGATGTAAATTTTGCTAAGGTGATACTTGCTGTCCACTAATCGATATTTACACACTGTATATTAATTGATCTGTCTTGAGAGTTAGGGCCCGCTTATATGTGGAGAAACGTTGTCCCGGAAAGAAAGGTCACTCTCCCAGCCGAGTCGACATATGCGATCGTTTATAGAAAAAAAGTTGCCCGAGTCAAAAGCGCCCGCGCATGCTCTGATTGTCTAAAACAGCGCCATTTACACTTTGCCACTTTGCTGCAAGCATTCATAAGTAGTATAAGAAGGACACTTTTGTGTTAGAATCTCATTACTTTGTTGGGTAATACCAGTCTCAGACTTAAGCTGCTTCTAAGACACTAAGGTCGCGTAAAAACAAGTTCCCTTTCGGGCAGCATTCCCCGCAACCCTAGCAAATGGCAGTATGGGCTATGTCTAGTCATAGTTAGTAGAGGACTAGCTTTATGATAGTATGAACAACAACGGCCCGGAACTGCAACAGTTGGTTCACATCTGTTGAACATCATTCCAGAGCGCTTAGCTAAGAGGGTCCCAATATTTACTTCCTACATATTCACCTCCACTACGCTCCTAAAACCTGCTCACAATGCACCAAAGTGGAACACAAAACCTGTCTAATACGTGATGCTCCACGTTTTTAAGATCGGCGCCGCACAGCTTCGCTCCAGTACAAAAATTGCACCGAAATCACCGTTCTTATGTGTAAACAGAAACCATATTCATTATGGTTTCAGTGCCAGCACAGAGCTATCCACTATAGAGTGAGCAAAACTATAGAATCATGAATAAATGCGGCTTATTTTAAGACCCTGTTCACATGGAGTGGGGGACCCCGGTCTAGTGGGGTAAGTTTCTTTTGTTTTGTGTCCCCCAGAGCGTGAAAACAAAAGAAACCAACCCCACTAGACCGGGGTCCCCCACTCCATGTAAACAGGCCCTTAGATTCCTTATTTAAGAATTGATTGTTAAATCCGACAAATTTATGCATGGCTTTGTTACATTTCTCATTGTTTTGCTTCGTTCCTTATTGTTATGCTTTTGTAGAGTATTGTAATGTGACGACAATACAATACAATGCAATGCATACATTTGCCGGAGTATTGAACAACCCTCACTATCTGTCTCTGCCATTTTTAAAACTATTGTGTGTCTGGATTCTGGACTCTGAGCACAACAGGAACAGATGTGCACGGGATCATTCCTACTTCAGTGATCACCATGGATACAAAATGAGGTGGAGTAACGTCATAAACTAAGTTCAATAAATGTAGTGAATTGACGTCTCTCCATTGAGATAGAACATCTGCGCTTTCTCTGGCCAGCGGTACTAGATCGTCTGGATCACCTACAATAACACTGATAATTAACAACTAGACATGGAAAGAGTTACTTTGCATATTCTACCAAAAAAATATATATGTAGGTTCATTTTGCTTGACTGTTTAGAAAATATATGAAGAACCCATGTTTTTAAATAAAAGCCTCTTCATCAAAGCGAGGCCAAGGCGAGGTTCTTAATGTGTGACTGTGAATAAAACGTTTTCCTAAAAAAAAGTAAGGATAAGCACCAGCCCCGCGTTGTTCAAATGCTGGATAGCACTATCAAGTGGATAAGGATTAGGAAAACCAATAGCGCTATCCAATGGATAGAGATTTATTCGGCAGATAGCACTATCGACCTTTTGAACAACTGCGACCAAAACTCGTTTTGAAAAAGCAGATTGAGGTGGTTTGAGAATAGTAGTAGCTGTTAATATGAAGTTGAGTGGCAAGAAGCAAGTTTGGCAAAATGGTTAATTTACTAATTAACTATTTTCGTCCATTTTTCTCTCCATGTTCATGTCCATGTTCTATTCCACAAATATTTGCCTTTTTTATAAAAGAAATATCTGTTTTAAGGGCAACTTACTCAGTTCATTGGAAACAAATGAATCAGTCTGTACTCTGTCACAGAACTTGTACGTTTCACAACAAACAAGCACTGGTACGTTAAATGCCTGCGCCATCATAGCAACCATAGAGGAACCAACACGTGACTTGACATAGCCATTAGCAAGCAAGGCATGGGCACCAAGGAAAACTTTAGATACCTGTAGAAGGGAGCATTGGTGCACATGTCAAGTCACAAGGCAGTAGGGACCTTTAGACTACAAGTGCAAGATTGAGTACGAGTATGAATCTCAAACCAAATTAGCTGAGTGTGCTTCATGTGAATACTTGTCACACTAATCTTATCCCTACAAACAGTAGTTGCTTTTTAGCAACAACAGAGGGTTACAGTGTTGGAATGCAGTAGGCTAAATATTCCATAATGCAGTTCCACTTGATTTCGATTTGACTTCTTAAATTTAGAGGTCGCTAAAATCAAGGGTTACACAAAACTGAACCTGCTCAAGTTACTCCACTTGAATTGGCAATGATTAATACTTTATGTGACTTAATAAAACCAACAACAACACAATTTATTACGAAACAGATAGTTAGAATTTGAATAGTACCTACCCGCAAATAGTTAAACCTAGTCGAGTCGGGTAGGTATGATTAAGTTAGGCTTATTACAACTAGGGTTTTTTGCACTATACATATTTACTTACAAGGATTTCAAATAAACAGCAGTTAAGATTACAATAAATAGTAAATTAAAGAAATGACAACAGCAATGAAAAATGGCAAATAAAATAGCAAATTCTTGAAGAAATTCATCAGGCTAGTGAAGTTAATAAGTCGATTTCAATGTTCTTAAAACATAGCCAGTCTTAACGTCTTAACGACAGTTTTGATCACTGTCAGTCATCTTTATCAAAACTTGAAAAACATTAAAAGTGTCAGAAGCCTTAAATAGGCTTCTGAAGGTGTTAATTATTGCGATAAACGCGCAAAGTCAGTCTGTAGACGCCCCCTCCACCCCTGGTTTGGGGGTGGAGATCACAGCCCTCCATACATGTAGTTACCCAGATTGGGCGATAAAGAAGGTCAAAGAGCAAATGAACAGAAAGAAAGCTATAGAAAAGATAAATCCAAGAAAGATAAAGCACAAGAAAAATCAAGAGGAGTGGTGACTGTCCCATATGTCCACTCATTCATGGAGAAAATACAACGTATATTCACCAAACACAGGGTAGCCACAGTGGTTCAACCTCAAAGCACCCTCACACAGCTTTTAGTTCACCCAAAGGACAAAGTTGAGAAGTAAAAAAAGGCTGGAGTGGTGTATAAAATTCCATGCAGGCAATGCGAAAAGGTGTACATCGGTGAAACAGGGAGACAGCTGAGAACCAGGATCACAGAACACAGAAAGGAAGCAGAAAAGATCTCTGACAGAAATTTCACAAGATCCACCTGCAGAGTTTCTACCAATGAACACCATAAATCAGCTATAACAGACCATGTTTGTCAGAACAATCATATTATGAATTGGGAAGAAAGTGAAATACTTGAGCAGGAAAGCGACAAATTTAAGCGATGGATCAAGGAAAGCATATGTATTAGATCGAACACTCCTACTATGAGCAGGGACAAGGGAGCCTATCAGCTTTCTCCCATATGGACACAAGTGATCTCCACCCCCAAACCAGGGGGAAGGGGTGTCTACAGAGTGACTTTGCGGGTTTATCACAATAATTAACACCTCCAGAAAGCCTATTTAAGGCTTCTGACACTATTAATGTTTTTGAAGTTTTGATAAAGATGACTGACACTCATCAAAACTGTAAGCATTATTAAGACATTAAGACTGGCTATGTTTTAAGAACATTTAAATCAACTTAAAAATAGCAAATTATAAAATAAAATAATTTACTACACAGAGGAAAGAGAAAGAAAGAGATTTCACTATACTGGTCGTAATTACAGGATTGCTAAAGTTTTACAAGTTTTTAATTATTTCAAGAATTGAAGGTGGCTGTAAGGTACAAATTCTCTTGTTTAAAAATATTAATATGTGTTTCATGTATTTGTTTCTTGAATAAGTTTCTACTGGCAGACATTTTAATATTTTCAGGTAAAGCATTCCATAGCTGTACTCCAAATCAGGAAAATGAATTCTTTAGTTGTTCAAGATGAGAAGACGTTCTAATAATTTATAGGCTCACCAAATCATTTTCTTTATCTTTCAGTTGCAACCTTCAAACATTATTACACTTGAACACCATGGCTAACTGAACCTCTCCTCTTCTTCTGTACATACATTCCCTTGCATATCATTACATACCTCTTTAATGACATATGACAAGGCGCTTATTAAGACATATGAACATCTGATCCCATGTTTCACCAGTCTTCTTAGGCATTCCCGACCTAGAAAAAGGAAAAATAGCTTGTGAATGTTGTCTGTTTTGCTTGTCCTGAAAACACAAAGGTCATACTGTCAAGTCAAATCCAAATGAGAAATTAACTACTTCATACAAAACTTAAGAGCAATAATAAGGAAGAGAAAATATCTGAATGAGTGGGAAAAAAATGGTAAATTAGAAAAATAACATTTAAAAAATGCGAGACTGAACTTAAGAAATAAAATACAAAAAGTCTGCTGCACTATTTCTTTTCGCAGTGATAAGTTTACTACATACAATTTTAACCATACCTTCAAACTTTGGTCTTGAGTCAACAACAACTACTCTGAAGTTTTTTCCAGCATTGTGAGCATCTTTTAAAACTTTTAACACTAGCGAAGAACTTAAGGCAAAAAGATAACAAGTTAGCAGTGAACCAAATAATAATATGTGAAGCTTACCCTGAAAACGAACACTTGTAGATGATTTAGTACAGAGTTAACTAGACTCACCAGGCATAAGTTAGTATAACATCCCCATCATTAATCTTGGTTCTTGCATATGTCTCAGAGATAGCGACTCCAGCTAAAATGATTCTTTCCTGGATAAATTTATCGATGCTCTTGATGAGATTGCCCTTTGCCTGAAAATAATTATTATAAAACAATCATCTTTCTCATATCCTTAGTATTAAATGGTATATATAAACATGAAATCAAAGGACAATGCTGCAAACATTACTTTTAAGTAATCGCTGCTTACAAGGTGATAGTTCACAATTACATCATCAACGAAAAGATATGCAACAGCAGGTTGCTCTGTACAATGTGTTATGTTACTCATGGTTCCTCAGTCAGTGATCTTAGGTTGTGTAAAGGTTTCTGCAGAATACCTGTTCTTCTGGCATGTCAGGAGGTGAATGGGTAATCTGAAGCTTCAGATATTTGATGGCATTACCCATACTAACAGACAGAGGACGACACTGTGTCAAGAAACTGCAAAATACAGTGTCACAACAATATCAACAACAATGACAAAAAGAGCATGACATTGTAAATGTTTATAATTATACAACATTTTTTATCGGGGAGGTCTAGTTTGGAAATGGTTCCTTTGATGAGCAATGTTTTGTTACAAATTACACCATCAGATTATAATAGAATGCAACTGCAACGTGGTCAAAAATAGGTATTACCGGTATTATTTATTGTGCAAGCCACAATAATTTGTCAAATATTCAATACCTTATATTTGGCTTAATCTTAGCATCCAAATCCCTGCACAGCTCCTTTTGAGTCGGAGTGACATAATCGGCTATTAACTGTGGAGAGAAGTGAATGTTACAGCCCCTGAAATGATTCCAACCCCTAAATGATCCGTTACTCATACATCCTTTTAAAATTCAACACCACTTTAGTAGGTGTTCCACCTCTTCATATTAACTACATAATCATAGAGTCATTCCCCCTCCCCTGGAGGCAATCATTATGGTAGTGTTTTAGAAATATTATAAACACTAAGTGGACTCGGGTTTCTTTTTCACACTCGTCCAATATATTGGACAAGTAACATTTTCTGCTTTGATTAAGTGATGTCCATGTATTATGTTAAAACTGACCGGTACATCACTAGTAACAAATTTTACGTACCACACTATGTTTCAACTAGTTAGAAAAACATTTAACTTACTGGTTGTATCACATCATCAACTGATGTGATACAACTCACTTTGACTCTAAAGATGACTACCACACAGGTTGCCGAAACATCAGTCACTGTCAGCAACAACAGTTCTATTCACGACTACGTTCACCCGGATGATCAAACTCAAACAACTTTTGTTGTATTAATGTTATGCATTTTGCTCAATCCACAGTTCTAGGATACCATTCCATTCCAAAAAGTAATTGGGGATCATTTGGGGACCAATTTAGGGATCATTTTAGGGTTGGGGATCATTTCAGGGTCAGAATCATTTCAGGGGCTGTACAGAACTTTGCAAAAGGTTACAAATAAATTTTAAGTCTTCTTGCTAAAAGCAGAGTATACCACTAAACCTGAACTGATTATTTTTAAGGCACTATTTTACCTGTTGCCATGATGCAACAGTTAAAGGTCAAATTCAACTTCTTAGAGGAGAAGTAGCCCGTGTAGAGCCACTGCCCCCAAATCTCAGAAAAAATCAGAGAAGGCTAAGGAGAAGAAAACATTTTTTGCACAGTAGGTTAAAAGGCTGTGTCAGACAAAATGGAACAGCTACTGAGCTGTTCAGCTAATTAGGTTTGGGATTCTTGGACCACAAACAGTAAGAAATAATCAATACAGACATCAGTCTTGCAGTCTACTGTTAATAGGTTTATCAATGCACATCTGCTTGTCTCATTTAATTATTTTATAAAATTCACACAAAGTGACACCCAACCTTTTTGAAGGCCAGCAAAAGAGCCACACATCTTGCATTTGACCCACAAATTATGCCTTTGGCATACTGCACTCCTAGAGTGATTATAGCTGGATGGATGTTACTGGCACTACCCAAACTTCAATCAAACAAGAAATGAACAAATCAAATTAAATTTCAATACGTTTCAGGTATCACTTAGACATCTGTCATACAATGATGATGATGATGATGATGATGATGATGATGATGTGTCAAAACTGTAATAGTGGTGTATAACCACTAAGTGAGGACACTAAAATAAGTTTAAAAAAATTAATCAATTAATTAATTAATTAATAATATATTATTCATAAAAATGAAAAAACAAGAATATAAGAATTAAGAAATTAAGAAAAACTATTGATTGCACAGTTTATACTTAATTGCAGGCTGTTCAAAGAGACTGCTAATGTATGTTGGGCACATGTTATTTTTAACTTTATACATTAGAATAGCTATGTCCTGTAGTCTCCGGTTGTGTAGAGTAGATAGGCCGGCCATAGATAGTAATTGACCATAGGACGAATGTTTATCACAATATATAGCCCTAAGTGCTCTTTCCTGGATATGCCGTAGTCGTCTAGAATCGCTAGCACGGCAAAAATGCCATATAAGATGACAGTAGGTTAAATATGGGAGAACAGCTGTCTTATATAACTATAACTTAGTTTGTGTCGGTATAAGGTAACTAAGCCTCATGAGAACGCCTACCCGCTGAGCGCTCTTCTAAGAGATACTACTTATACTCTGACTTCATGATTAATTTAAGGTAGAGGTTTCTCAGCCCAAGTTAACCTATACCCACTTCTCTACAGTTTTTTACCCTTTCAAAACTCCTTGTATTGATAGTGAGAGAGAGTGGTAAAAAGTCTTAAAAGGTAAGATAAAAATGGTTTTACAAGTTATAAGACAGAAAACTTCTTCACAATTTAAATGTTTCATTGAACAAAACTGAAGACTTCGCAAAGAATGAATTGCACATGCCATAGTGCACATGGGAGAAAGCAGTTACGTCGTGTTTGCTGACAATCTCGCCAATCAAAAATCTTGCCTTTGACTTCGTCAACAAGAGATCTGGGTACGAGATTAACAGACTTGTCTTTAACAAACTAAAGCTACCGTATTTATTCGAATAAGCGCCCAACCTCGAATTAGCGCCCACCTCGAATAAGCGCCCATCCCAAAGGCAGAAAAAGTTAATAAGCGCCCAGCCTCGAATAAGCGCCCACCCCACCCCACTCCCTCCCACACAAACTCAAATAAGACATAACAAGAGACCCTCCCGAAGACGGAGTTTTCTTCAGAGTATTTTACAGATTGGGCTGAAACCTTTCTTTGTTACTTCTTCGCTTTTTGTTATTACCATTTATTATTTTGTAGCAAAATAAACATACTACGCTTGCTGAGAATGGCGAAAATTTAATAAGCGCCCAGCCTCGAATAAGCGCCCACCTCGAATAAGCGCCCACTATCAAGGTCCAAAAATTTAATAAGCGCCCAGGGCGGTTAATCGAATAAATACGGTAAGTTATTACTGTCATCAGCAACTCACTTTTATATCTTACCTTATTCCTTGTGTTAAAGACAAATCCTTTTCATATTGATGAAGATGGGAAAACAAACCAACTTTCTTTTGAGTTGTAGTGCGTTGGGGAACCTACAGGCAAAACAAAAGTGTGAACAAAATTTTAATGCCTTTAGTTTTATGAACTTAGTTGATAAAGTAGATAATCACCAACAATGACTCAGTAGATAAATCTCAAGTTTGATGATCTGCTCTAGTACAATTTAGGATATAAGCAAGTGATATCGAAGGTCTTTGGCTGGTAAAAGTATTATTATAGCCTGTGAATACACATAAAAACTATCATCCCTTCTTCCTTCTGGATGTGTTTGACAAGAGAGAAATCTGAGTTTTGGTCTCAAAAATTCTATACTAATGGCATTCAGATTTAGTAGTAGCAGAAGTTATGGTGTACATAATTATTTTGATCTTGTGATCTTGATTCTCCTTGATCATTATAATAAAACTTTGGAGTCTGGCTGCCAATTTGGTGCAGGCTTAACTGAACTACGTCCTGAAAAGCAAATATCCAGTGAGAGGAAATCAGTTTTTCTTGTTAGACTTTGTACACTCTAGACTCAGCACATTGTACTTTTAATCTTTGCTATCTTATTAATTTTCATCTGTCATTTGTAAACAATAGCTATTTTTACTTCTGTATTTATACTTGGCAAAGGTTGCTTGTCATGCCAAGGTAAATAAAAAAAATGATCAAATAAATAGAATCACATGATATAATTTAATAAATAAAAGCTGAAATAGTAATTTGATCATAATCCATCAACAAATGACACCACCACTTCTAAATAGATTTACATTATCAGTGTGGACAGTATTAATGTATTAATTTTTATGGGCCAAAATCCAGGCATCTCTCTCATGAGATGTTCATGGCCACAAAGACTGATCAGAGGGAATTAGGCTTGCTCAAAATTGTCAGGCCCATGCATGGCCAACAATTTTATGAAAAAGACACTAGCTCCAATTAACTTATTGAAGTTGATATAATCTAACATCCCACTAGACTTGACCACCTGGGACCAGTATTTTATTGGACTCTGTATGCAAGATTTTGAATGAAAACAGGTTCTTAACGATTTTGAGTCTCTGTAATGGGATGACTATGCAATTTCAGTGATGCTAAGAACTTTGTTCATGTTAAGCCCATGCCATAAAGAAACCTCTCTTCACAGGGTATTCCATTATAAGCAAACCACAGTGTAACATGATTACTGTTGACAATGTCTTATCTTTATCGTTCTCACCTGTTGCCTTGCTAATTTCTTAGCAACCTTCTTTTGAACTTTCTCATCATCCGCTTGAAGATCATGTGCAACTTGAACACGATGGCCTACGTAAAATAAAGGCAAAATTCAACGTTAAAGTTGAGCTCAGAGTTTGATTGGGCACTAAAGGAGAAAGTGAATGTGACAAAGTGTTTCGACGCCAAAACTGGTGGGATCAAGTGGTATCTCAATTGCATAGCCAATGACACCATCAAGATTTAATAAATGATGATTCAATTTACAGAATACCAAAAAACTTTTAAGCACCAGCTTTCGATTCCATTGCGAATCTTTATCAAATGATGGACTTGGGCATTTTGTCACCTGATTTATATTGGGGATCTCAAGACAAATTGTCCTGACAGATCACAGGGAGTTTGTAACCAGCATCCCTATTCAATGTTGGAGCCCACCAAAAAAAGTTCACGAAAGTTTTCAAAAAACAAGGAGTTGGCCCATTCCACAAGCCTGTCAACACCATCAGGCAGCATTGGATGGGGTACGAAATTCAGTGCGAGGGCTGTGACGACTTCTGCATTGGTGAGAGAGCTAGACCTTTTAGAGTGAAATTCATGGAACATGTTGCAAAGAGAAGAGCATCAACAGTGGCAGTGGGAGATCATCTAAAGTGGTAAGGCCACACCCTGGATATGTCCTCCTCTTTGATCCTCATGAGAGAAGTGGACGTGTTCAACAGAAGAGTTAGCGAGGCCGCCAAAATATTTTATCAGGATCCAACATTGAACCGGGATGCTAGTTATGAGCTCCCCGCAATCTATCAGGACGTTCTGTCACGTGATTAACAGTATCAATCATATGACAAAACACCCATCAATGATAAAGATTCTGCAGAGGAATTGAAAGATTGTGTTTAGAAAGTTTTTTTCCTAACCTGTAAATTGAATCGTCATCTATTATATCATTATGAAAGGATTAAGTAACTCTTTCTTCTCTAATATCATCAAGATTAGTCAGGTGGCCAACTAGTGCACCACAATTCACTACCACACTTCTTCCATGTTGACAAACTAACCATGGAACCATACCTTCACTGCTGGATTTGTGTTTAATTCCTACATCAGCCTGCTTCTGAGCTTTTGCAGCTCGTTGTGCTTCCTTTTTTGACACGAAAAATAAGCTCTTGATAAATACACTAATACTTGATTTTCAGTCCTACAGTATATATGTTATGGTCTGTGATTTCAGGTTCAACTTTGATTTCACCTAGGTCGACAAATACTAAATGAAAATGAATGTTTACAGTGTACTCCAGGAGTTTAGATCACGTTATATTGTGCATGACTATAAATATACTTTTTTTTATTCAACCTACATTATTAGATTGTGCCATGTTTTTGTTTCAGAGGATCAAGGGAGGAGTCTTTACAAGAGTGAAAACAGTGGAAACTCTATTCAGTAGGGGACACCCTCAGGACCAAGGCAAGTGTCCCCTGAATGAAGTTTGGGCAGTGGTTTGTTAACCAACAAATATTTTTCTTTAATTATTCTGACCCAGAATCTGCTGCAGTGATTATTTGAAACAGCTAGATAATGTATTAAAAAAACCATGATTAACTTGTTTCTATGATATTGTGGGGGCGATCTGCACCTATTTGAAATATTGTTTGTGATTGGCTGTGAAGACAATAGGGATTGTGACATAACAATGCCCCTTTCTCTAAAAACAATGGAACTGCAGATGAAAAGGGACCAATGAAATAAGAGGTATAGAACGGTGCAGGTCAACTGATGCTGTGTGTTGAATTCCCACAAGTGTAGTACATTGATGTAAGTGAAATAGTTTGTGTTTTGAAAGCTATTACCATTGTGACTAGTGAAGACTTAAACTTAAAAATCTATGATTTTTGTGGTCAGTCACTTTTTGAGTCATTAAGTGTCTCCTGAATGGAAGTTAAACCCGGGTTTCAGGGTTTCAGGACCAAGAAAGTCTTTTTCCCGAATAGAGGTGTCCTTTTAATAGAAGTAACAAACATTTTGTGAACATTTTTCCAGGACCAAATTTTGTCTCCGGAATGGAGGTGCCATCCCTTGTACAGTGGTGTCCCAAAGGAGAGGTTGCACTGCATATCACAAAAACAAGTTAATAATGTGCTGGAGTAATAACCTGAACTTAGAACCTGAGCATAATTTCATGCTTCAGTTCTCTCTTGTGGGTTTATTACACACACACTGTCAATCGTTCCCTAAAACTAAAATTTTCTTATTCTACTCAGTGTCTGATCTAGGGTGCACCATTGTGGGATTGCTGCAGTTTGAGCAAAGATGCCCCGTTCAAGTGCCTGTTCTGGGTCATTTTGGCGCACTTTTGCACTTTTTCCTCGTGCAAAATCATAGGGTAGATTTTATAGATCCACGTGCTTAATTGAGAGCCCCTCTCTTGATGTATGTGAATGCAAAGTGGTCTCAAAACAAAGAAGGCTTTCAGCATTTTTTGGGCAACAACACAAAGAAGAAACTGCAGAAACGTCCACGGCATCGAAGTTGCCAAAATGAAACTTTGAACAGAGCTGGCTAGAGACGTACAAATGGCTGAAGTTTGATCCACCAAAGGGTATGCTCTGCTTGCTTTGCCAAAAATCAAAGAAACAAAATCCTTTTACCGTTGGCTGCGCAAACTACAGGACTTCAACACTAGTTCATAACACCCAGTACATTAGAATAAAAAAATATAAAGTGAAAAAAATAGTGACCCCCCCCCAAAAAAAAAAAAAAAAAATGTCCCTCTAAAATTAATTGACTGGAACACATTGCACCCCTAGCTGGAAATCCTAGATCAACACTGTGTAGAGCTTATAATTTTAAAAAGAATTTGCAAACCTGTTTCACTCTCCTTTCAGCTTTGAGCTCTGCTTTGGTTTTTTGCGGCAGTTCACCTGTGGCATCAGCCCCACCAACAGCCAGTGGCCTCTCATCTTTTTTCCCATCAAGTGGTGGCTCAGCCTTTTGTTGAGGTAATGTTGATTGTGGCTTCTGCTTCTGTTTTTTGTTACTTTGTTTATGTTTGGATCCCTTACCTTTTTCGGGTTGGGCCTATTAATAGGGAAGAAATAACAAATGCAACAAAAACAATGCTTACATAGAACATTTCCAAACAAAATGCGGAAATTCATTTTAGAGCTGAAACAATGTTATTTTGACATTATCGTGGCATGACATTAATTCCAATCACAAACAAGTGATTTTAGGGTATAGTTCAGTTTACGTATTACAAGAATCGCCAAAAGGTGATTTTAACTAGGCTGCCAAGGTGCAATTTTTTCTGAGAAGAGGGGGTGGCTGTACACACTCAGGCCACCACATAACTTTGTCGCCGAATCTCATGTGAGAGTGAAACATAATCTCATTTGAACATTGTACCCTTTTGCAAGCATAGTACGCTAACTTCAAACACATCTTCATTTAATGGCTGCCTTTGCTTAACATGCTCGTTAATAAGTTAATAATTGATAATGTTTATCATCATGACAATGAAAATCCCCAGGGGATAGTCCATTATATTTGCCTTATAGGAATTGATCTGAAATCCCGGGGGTGGCGGGGAGAAGGAGGGTACTCCCTTACATTTGCCTTATAGGTATTGATCTGAAATAAGGTCTAGGGTGAGGATTTGGAGCGTCGAATGCACACCCCCACCACGAATTACCAGGGATACACCCCCAGAAAGAAGATCAAAGGTATTTTATAAACTGGGCCAGCCTTTGGCCAACTCAGTTAATTAGCCTCCCACAAGAAATGTTCTCATCTTAGGACTTTTTCACATGACAAAGCCCTAAAAATGTTTGCATGGGAGATAAATGAGTAATCCATGTGTGAAAATGGATTGACAATGATGACCAAGCAGTTACGCGGCAGAGGACTGGGACCACCTTCCCCCCACTTCACCCCCTGCCACTTTTCCGATAAAGTAAAGGCTTACTAAGAAGAGAGTCTCGTTAGTCAGCCCCTTTCCTTGTTCCCTACTTAAATCAAGCTGCCCAAAAAAATACTTGCCACAATTTTCCTGGGGGTATCCAATAGATGAAAGGATAATCGATGACAATCGATATCAATCAATACCGATCAATATCAATTAATCGATTGCTACTGATAATCGATGACCCATCAATGGCGAAGATGCTTGTGGTAATATTGACTGGTATTGAATTTCAATAACAATCGATAGATAAATTGGTATTGATTGGTAATGATCGGTTGCAGATTGACTGAATCAGCGCATAAATTTCATATCTTTGTACGCAGTAATTGTAAACACATTTCATTTTAATGCTTTGAACGTTAACAGGAAAACGATACTCTCTTCTTTCTCTTCAATGCCCCATCCACAGGTATCCTTTTTCCTTTGACAACTCGAAAGTTTGTTCCTGTTCTCAGTTAAAGTTTAGAATGCTCCATGCATTGTGTAGTGCTAGTAACCTCCGCACAAGGGAGGAAAGAAGAAGAACCTCTGTTTGACGATGCACCTTATGTTCAGTGAAGCCTCTTCCTAGACTTCTTGCGTAGACATAATGACACGTAAAGACAATGATGGGCAACTGGGCAATTCAAGTATACATACAACAGGGTGTATTCTTTGTGTTGAGAAGATTGTGGGTCACAAAGGTTTTACCAATTATGCCACTTCCACAATTCCCATAATGCACCTTATTTGCCCCCCAAAATTTTGCATAACCATTGTTTTCCATTTCTCCCTGGGTATTACAGCTGTCCCAAGAGAAATTGAAAGCAATGCTTATGCAAAATTGGGGGGGCAAATAAAGTACATTATGGGGAATGTGGAAGTGGCATATTTCGTCCCCAGGGCTTCCTAAAAATGGCAGATGATCAGACAGGTAGTGTGCGTGACATCTGTTCGAAGGTTGCTGTGCCAATCGATAGCAATCAATGAACACTTTCTGTGTGGTTATTGACTGATCATCAATTGACCGATACCAATCGATACCAATTAACTAATTTTATCGATTGATATCAATTAATCAATCGGTTTTCCGATCATCGATTTCCATCAATTGGATACCCCGAGAATTTTCCTATCCAAAAAAATCCCGAAAACAACAATTTCAAACCGTCAAAAATCTTTTAATCATCCCTGTCACTTGAAATCCGAGGGCGCTTTCCATTTAGTCAAAATTTCCGGTTCGGCGGTAAATGGAACATGTTTCGTCGGTTCGTCCCACTGGGTCCACTGGAAAATTCCCAGAAAAATTGGAAAATCTTAAAAGATGGGCCCGTTTTCCCCGCTGGGTCGAGCCACCTACAATAACTTTTTCAGTGGTATTAGCTAAGATTATTTATATAAGTCATATAAAACTTACACTTACACTTCGTCCACCGGAGACTTTCGCCTTTTCGATTTCTTGGTTTTCATCCCTCTCCTCTAAATCAGAAGAAGAAACCTTGTGAGATAAAAAACTAAACAACTGCATAACATCGAACCACCAGACTTCTGAAAAAAATAGAAAATACCTCGTTTCCCTTTCATTGAGTTCGAACTCGAAGACTCCGCCATTTTGTGTTGGTAGGTACCTCATATATGATTCCTATAGTGTACCGATCCGCTGACCAGCGAAAAGATGTCAATTTTGCCTCGTCCAGTCCCCTCGGCCGTGTTTTCTTCGCAGAGGGCACCACAGGGCAACAATATAAACGCCATTTTAGCAAGTTTTAATGTTTTGGTTTCTCAACTATCAAGAAAAATACATCCTTGTAATTTGGCTTTCAGTAGGCTGTTGTGATTCTGGGCCCCCTGTGAGCACCAGACCAAAGCAACCTTTCGCTGAATGAGTGAGTCGCTAGGGGAAGACAACAAGACAGAAGATAACCAGGTGTTATTTTTTCTCGCCGGTTTGCGACTCAAATGCTTTTCGGTGAAATCCCTCGGACCAAGGTAAATGGCGTAGATGGCATATGTATACTCAGGCCCAAAACAGCGGTCTGTTGAGGATATCCTTCAGAGAAACCGAACTTAGTGGATTTGCTGTTATGTTTTAATCTCGGACACATAGAATACCTCATGGAAAATGCGCTCGTAAGGTTTTTTATTGTGTATAGCGAAAAATTCTTTGTCATAAAAGTAGAAAATGATACACGTCCAATCAGCTTCCTGCACGGCTTTTTGCTTGGCACGTGAAAAATTTGACCAATAAGAATTCAGAGTGGAATCACCTGGCCAATCAAGGCTTAGAACTAAAAGGGCTTCCAAAACGCCCATTTTGTTAAAAAAAATCACTTCAACTTGTAACATTTCTTTTTTCATGTAAGCTTAGATAAAACTTTGTCGACATTTTTAGAGGAGGAAGCAACCAGAAAAACACTGAGAGAAAAACAAAAAAAGATGTTTCTTTGCTTGAATTAGACTACGAGCAGTCTCTCTTTTTTCTTGGTCCGTCGGGCAAAACGTGCGAGACACGCAAATGACCACACGCGCGCCTAAAGGCCGCCCTCCTTTCTCGCCGCTCCACGCTCGCGCTCGCGTGCACTCCCCTCACTAAATTTGAAGAAAAAGAGAGACTGCTCGCAGTCTACACATGCACTGTCTGGTTGGTTTTATTTTTTTGGCCTGTTTAACTGAAGTTCACTTGTTTGGATATTGCTTGATATATCTCTCCCCATGCACAAGTTAGGTGTGGAGATTTCAAAACCCAATACAAACTATGACATCACAAGGGGATTGTGTTGAGAGAGAGTTGACTGTATTTGCTTCATCTTAGTACATCAAAATAGTCTTGCAATGTTAGTGTACATGAAAAATTTCTTTATTCATTACTATTCAACAACTGTAAATAAAAACAAAATGTATGCCATTTATATGTATATGTAATGTCATATTATATGTTATTTCACTATTATTAATTATCTTGTTGATTAGAGGAGTGACTTCTCAAGTGTTTGGCCAAGTAGCAAGACTGTCTAAAGCACTTTTTACAGTGATGGCATTGAAAAGGTCTCTCTCCAGTATGTGTTCTGATATGAATCTTAAGGTGGCTTGACTGGCCAAACTTCTTTGAACAGTGGGGGCACTGAAAAGGTTTCTCACCAGTATGGGTCCGTATATGGGTGCTCAGAGCTGATGAATGAGAAAACCCCTTTGTGCAAAAGCTACATTGAAATGGCTTTTCTCCATTGTGAATTCGCAGATGCAAAGTCAGGTGGCTTGACTGTCCAAACGTCTTAGGGCACTTAGGACACTTGTAGGGTTTCTCACCAGTGTGAACACGCATATGGGTGGTCAAGTGACTTGACTGGTTAAAGGATTTGTGACAGTGTGAACACAAGAAGGGCCTCTCTCCAGTATGAATTCTCAGGTGTGTGGTGAGTGAAGTGGAAGAGGAATACTCCTTAGAACATACAGGGCACTTCAACGGATCAATCTCAGGATGACTACGAAGATGTGAGGCAATATTATTTGGGCAGGAAAACTGTTTGTGGCACTGTGGACACTCTAGCTTGTGTTGCCGGACAGTAAGTTCATTGGACACACTGTTTGCTATTTCTGTATGGTTAGAATCAGAACCTAGGGCAGCAAAGAAGACATAAAGCTGTCAAAAATAATGAGGAGAAATGTTTTGTTTGTTTAATAAAAGGGTTGTACATACTTACATTAAACTCTAATTATCAAATTTAACATTATTTTGCAATGATTAACTATTTTCAAAATATTTACTTAAATACAGTTAAACCTTCATGCACAATAATTACATGTAGCACCTCTCTTCAATGGGCTCCATCTATTCAAAGTACTAGATTTTTTTGAACAGAGGGACTTCCACGGTTTGGTTCATTGAGGCATTTTCCTCATTATGGTTGTTTCTCCAGTTTCAATGGTTTTTGATTTGCTCTCATGGTATCCTTAAGTTGTTTTGGGCTTTGATTATGCCCTTGTGATTTGTCTGACTTCTTTGTTTAATGTACACTATGTAATATACTAAACTCCCTTACAAAATTTACAGCTTCAACCTCATATTAATTTTCTTGAGCACACACTCTTACCCTGACAAGTTAAAGGCACAAAAAAATACTTCAATCTTAACCCTGATTAAGTACCTGCTGGCTCCTTTGTAGTGGGTGGAAAATTGTTCTCTTCACCAATATCCAGAACATAGGCATTGCTCTAATGAGAAATTAAAATTATTATGTATGTAACAATTAATGTACTTGTATTATAAAATATGATACAAGATTTCATAAACCCAGTATAGATAACTTGTACAAACATAATTGAAGCTGCGACCGTAGTTCTGCATCAAATTGGTTTGTTCAAATCTGCTGCAGATACTACAATACATTATTTTTTATTTGTAGTAAAGTGGATAGAGAGGGACTGGTGACAACTGTGACTACTCTGCTCAGAAAGTCACCATCCCACCCCCTCCCCCCAATCCAAAATACATGCACACAATTTCACCCAGCACTCCTTTGCATCCAAAAAATTCATGTCAAATGCAATATCCATTAATTTACACATTAAGATTACAATCATACTGCAGTATTGAAACTATTGGTGATACAAAATCATTATTGCGAATCATCATAAAATGTTGTACAATTACTCACAACAATGGGTTATGGAGGAGATTAAAAGCATCAATAGCGGTCTGCAGCAAAATGTACTAAATTTGCACTTACCTGTACAAATGCAGGTACCTCTAGCTGTTTGTCAGTCTGTTTGTGTGCTATCAAATCCATCTCCTCTCTTTGAGCCACGCATTCAAGCTGTGAACAGCTCATAGCGTCTTCTCTTTTACAATATGAGACCTCACACTTGCTCTCCACACTGGGCTTTTGCACTTGTTGTGTTTCTTGGGAAATTGGCACTTGTGGGACGGACATAATCTTCTCTTTAGAAAGCTCCTCTTGAGTGCAGGGCTCTTTTCCATTCTTAAGCTGCTTTGAATGAACTTCCTGCTCAGCTTTCTGTCAAACAGAAATAAACTTAACTAGTACTCCCACAGGCAGCCCAGACTCTATGGGAGTTTGTGGTACTTAAATTTTCAAACAGAATGTATGACAATGGACAAATTATGTTCTTACCTCTACTTTTGGAAAAGATTGGAAATAAAAAATGACTTGCCTTGCGTTTATGTGGTGTGTTAGTTTACGATCTGTTTACTTCTAGCTGGAGCAAATCCAAAGCTGTACTGGTGAGTGCTAGATTTTGAGCTGTATTCTTATACGATAAGAAATCTAAGAGTTACCAAAACCACTTTCAAATGGCTCAAGAAGTGAACAGACAGCAATTTATTAAGACGCAACACAAAAACAAGATGAGTCACTTATATTTCTCACACATTCTCAAAAAATTCAATTTCCAACCAACTCCCATAGTGTCTGGGCTGCCTGTTGTTAAGCAATGCATTTGAAAACACACCACAGCATACTGAAGTAATACTGGCCAATAACTGACTGACTGCTACTAGTAAACTGGTGAAAATTGTTCAAAAACTCCTCATTGGTTTTTGTTCTACCTGCCATGCCCACCTAAAATGATTACAGCTTGGAGCAATGTCAACACAAGCTAGTTGCTAAGATGGCAAAATAACTTTAAATAAAAAAATTCTCCAATAAAAGAAGATAAAAGAATGAGACATTTCAAAAGAACTGGTCATCGTGATAACTGCAAACAGCTGCCAACATCTAACAATAATAAACATACCTTAGTAAGCTGACTCTGCCACTTACATTCTCCTGTGGCAGGATTAATATAATATAGAATTTTTCCTGTTTTTGTGGTGTGAGGAATCCATTCTTTTTCATCCATGGCAGTTGAATGACAAGTTAATAGCAGAATAAACAATTGCTACAATCCTGCAACAATAAACATGATCTTGTTAATTTCAATTGTAATAACATTGTACATACTACAGTAACAGTAATTCATCTGCCCTCCAAGATGTAGCCTCCCCAAAGATGTCCTTTGGGGTTCATTCACCATGCAAAGAAATGAATGCGTGATAAAAGAACCCCACGTGACGTCTGCGGAGAGGCTATCCAAGATGGTGTTTGAAAATGGTATGATGACAATGAGAACAAAAAATTGTTAATTGATAATTTATTGATTGATTAATAATCATTAATAATTCAGTTTTGTGCAGTGTCCCAAAATATTAAACATTTAGGACACCAAATGCTGCCTTGGTTGGGAATATAAATTTTAGGCTCTAAAAAAGAAGCTACTGGAAATTCCTAATACGAATAAGAGTAGCTCTCAAAAGTCAAATTTTTCCAAAGAATGATTTAAAACTGTGAAAGGTTTGAACCCAGGAGTCATATCAAAAGTAGGTTGAGTTTGATCGTCCGGGTGAACGTAGTCCTGAACAGGACTGTTGTTGTTGACAGTGACTGACGTTTCGACAACCTGTGTGGTGGTCATTTTCAGAGTTGACTATGAAAATGACTACCACAAAGGTTGACAAAACATTAGTCACTGTGAACAACAACAGTCCTATTCAGGACTAAATCTAAATCTAAATCTAAATATCGTTATGTCGGCAAAATCGTTTGGGACATGTTCATAGTTCACCCAGACAATCAAACTCAACCATTACAACTTCACGCCGATTTAAGTGTGTATTTCAGAAATGGGCATAACCGTTGGATTTTGTACCCTGAAGGCTCAATTTATTCCTCCGGACTTTCCCTTCGAGAGTGCTCGTTTTGACTCGGTTCAAAGAAGGTGAGATTTTATGGCGGAAGACTCAGAAGCCAATTCAAAGGAACTGAACAATGGCTTAATTAAGCTGCCCAGGGCTGAGAAGTTTGAAAGGTATCCTTTTGTTCTAAGTGTGTCAATAAAACTGCAGAGAATTATTGCACATATTGCAGTAGAAGTTTATGGATTTAAGTCTTTCGCAAAACTTCTTCGACTTGGACACGTATTTTTCAAAAAGGAGAATTTTGAGAGCTTCAAAAAGAGATCTTGAACGAGAAATTTCGACCACTGTGGACCGAGATTGGATTTTTTTTCTTGCCAAGGTTTCGAAGTACAAAGCAAGCCGCTGAAGCATTTTTTCTCGCCTATCGCTTAATAAAATCCGGCCGAGAGTTATCCATTCACTCAATCATAACAGTTATTCATTTCTCCAGAGCAAAGAAACTATACAAGCATTTCTACAAAATTATTTCGGGGAATTATGAACTCCGTCTCACTCGACTTCTCCGCGAATCAAGTTGCCATGCTAATCGGTGAACTGACAATACGCGGTTATTTCGGGCCCTGCAGTCACGTAACTGAAACGAAAGGTTTGTTCAACAAAAAAAAACTGAAAGGCAAGCGAAAACGTCCAAAAAAGTGAAACTACACTCTAATAAAACTGTGACATCCCGTTATATACATTCACCGCTTGCGTTGTTTACATTTAAAAAAAAGTTGTTCGCTCTTGATTGCAGAGCTACTGAATGAATAAAACGTTCTAATAAATAACTTCCGCAGCAATTCTTTAAAACGCCAATTTATTTTCAAGGCAAGAGAGTATTTAATAAAAAAATACTATCGGATACCAGGTATTTATAAGCTTTAATCAACTTCAAATTTATCAGGCTTCTTTCCTTTGTAATACGGTGCGTGACCGAAAATATGTTATGCAACCAGAGTTGTCCGCCACGCTTAAAAGACTTGTAAGTGTTCCCACAGACTGCAGCAAATTTAACAGGCAAGTCTGAGTATTTAAATGGATAAATTTAATACTCATCAGGTAACAATGGGGATTAAAAAGTCAATCAAGCAACAAAATTCGAAACAAAAGAGACATATCGCACCTAAATCAAAGGAATTCCGCTCGTGGATTCTTCGGAAGGTAATCGACAATGGCAAGAACAATAGCCTGAATATATGAATACTTGATAACCCCAAAATTTGGGGTACACACTTAAATCGGCGTGAAGTTGTAATGACCTACTTTTGAGAATGATTTAAAGTTCCAAAATTCTATTACTTTGGTCCAAGTGAACAAACATCTTCCAAAAATTTTCACTTTTCACTTGTTTGGTAAATGTAGTTTGGAAAAATTGCTTAGCTGGCACCAACTACTGTAAAGGTTAGTGATTACGGCTGGCTACAGGGAACTGAGAAAATCAAGGTTCCAGTTTGGGCCATAATATCTAAAGGGCAAAGTAAACCTACATAGACGGATCGTAACTTTTGTTCTTGACATAAATTAATGAACAAGGAGAATCTAGTAATCTACAATTGATCACGTTGTGATCTCGAATAGCAAACCATGTGTAATATCGACTTGTATAATGGCCTGTCAGTATATAAGCTTATAAGCTCGCGGTTATATCAGCTTAAGCTTAATCTCCGCCTTCGCCTTCGTTTTCTGGGCAATTTAAGACGACAGTAACTTTTCAAAGTTTTCAATCAAGTTTATGATCAACGACAATCTACGCTCCACCATTGACCCATGCGGAGCTTATGCACATCTGAATCATACATTAATATTTTCTAAGCTTAAGCTTTTCTGAGGTCCACATCAGCCTATGGCTGCTTTCCTTATGAATGTATAAAGCTTACTTAAAAAGACATTGCACAAAACCTTCTTTTAAGACGATGAACTTGAAGCCAGAAAACCCACAAGCTTTATGACTTTCGATGAACACGTTTCTTCAATGAAAATGCCACGAAATCTTGGACTTCTTCTTGCGCCGACTAATTGCTTTTCTTTATGTCAAATTTATGTCAGTGATGTCAGTCTGTTTTGTTGTCTATTGTGAGCCCACGCTCATTCTAAGTCAGGCAGCGAAATCTATGTACTTTAAGTAGGATCATTTAAGTGTATCATTATGTAATATTCTAATGTACAAGCTCTTACGATTGCGCGATTGAGGCAATGACCAGTTCTCCCAACCAGTCTGTCAAAACAAACAGCATTAAACTCACACATCAGTTTCAACCTCAAAACTAGGGGCCTATTTCTCGAAAGTCCGGGTGGCTTTTCGAACCCGAAAAACTAGTGTTTTATCAGTTGCCGTGTTTGCATTCAAGATCAAAGTTTCAATAATTTTGAAAATGATACAATGACAGTTAAAAAAAGCACAATTGACCGGTTTGTGAGCTACGAACTGTGCTACTATTCAACAGGTTTTGATTTTAAAATTTGCCTTCGGGCCCGAAACTGAGTTACAGACCTTTCGATAAACGGGCCGAGGAGACCGAGAAAGGCCAAATCCGGAGTTAGGCGGGCATGCTAACCGGGACTCTCTCCTCCGCAGAGGCTCCCGCTGGGTATCCCCATCAAAATATCAATAATCGAAAAAATAGAAAGCGCGGGGGACGATGGGAAGAGGGAAACGGCGGGAGCCTCTCTTCTCTCTTCCCCCTTCCCATCGTGCCCCGCGCGCTCTCTTTTTCTTTCTCCCCAGCCTCCCCACAACACAAAGAGGCCTCTGCGGAGGAGAGAGCCCCCTGGGAAGTTTTTAATTTTTAGGTGTCCTGAAATGGCTAAGACTACTGATCCTTTAATAAAAGTATAAAATGGACTAAATTTTTAGTGATTATAATACCACTATTATAGCTTTCAACATTTGAAGAGCTGGCGCCTCTTGAACTATCCCGTGTACAGACGGACGCCCACTCCCGGATTTTTTTCAGGGGAGGGAGCGTCTGTACACAGGCTACTCTTGACTTGGAAATAAACCACGTCCATGGTAATAAAATAGCTTTCAATTCCATTGATAAGTTACCCCTCGACTAAATAAGTCATTATGGCCGTCAAACTGAAGGTCCTTCTCCTGGTGCAATGGTTACATGACAGTACCAGAAGAAGCTTGCAGATCATCCTCTGCAGAGCTTCCTGTAACTCCTTCATTTTGTTCGAATGTCAGCGAAATATGTCATATTGATCACAACCATTTAGGTGGCCTGGCTGGATAAAACGCAGAGGTCACGACTAATTGCTAGTGTACAAGTTGTAAAGATAGTCGTTCTGATACAGGATCGAAACGGACCAATCACAAATTTGGATGCTTCGGCGAGGTCTACCAGCCGAATATGTTTATTCCATCAAAGATTCCTTTTCATTTGAAAATGTCTGTTTCTTAATTTTACTAGAATTTATTTTTTTTCATAAAGTTGAGGGACCCGCTTCCCCAGCGCGCGCCCTGAAAAGCAGAATATTTCTAGGTTGAAACTGTGACTCACACAATGATATTTTCAGTCGTAAATCTAACCGTGCTTTGAAACCAAGAGACGCAACTTGTTGGTTTTTAAGTCTGAAAGGATCAAATAAAAATTCCTGCTAATTCCACTCTCTTCGTTGTAAAGGAGGGATAGCTTTTGTCCTTTTTTAGTCAGTCATAGAGCCGTGTATAGTCTCATCGCCTTTTCTAACAGCTTTTTAAGGTAGGTAAAACTGCTTGTTAAAAAGTTCTCTGACTTGCCAGGGTTCATTGTTTCTACCTGCCGAGGTCACGTTATCTATCGACTCGAGCTGGAAATGTTCACAATCCTTCTAACGCTTCAATAAATTTCCCAAAAAAATAAGTGAAAGGTTACTGCTATTCTTTTTTATACTTCAACTTGGAGACCTTGTTATCCGCAATCATCATTTTAGGGGTTTGACAATGAGCAAAGGCGTAAATCGAAAGTACTGACTTTCTACTGATCCGACACACACACCACACTTAGTGCCTGGTACCGGCTGCAGAGAGCACGGCTGAACAGGCCTCAGTATAAGTGTCGTCTCAGTACCCTACATGAATGTCTGTGCTATAATAATAATAATAATAATAATAATCTGATAACCGACTAGTATAAGTACGTGTAACTAGTGAGAACAAGACACAGAATAACAAAAACAACACTGAAAGGGTAGAAACGAAGCCAAGTTTCACGGCTGAAGAGGTTCAGCAGGTGCTGGTAGTCTTAAATTTGATGCGAGTTACCCTGTGCGGCAGTAACACTTCCAAACACTCTTGATATCGTTTTGCACTATCGACGAGCATTTATATCAAACTTGTTGTGGCTTTACATCAAGGTAAGTTTTACTTTAGGAAACTCATTATTAGGTTATTTTGTTTTCTACTTGGTTAAAATGTTTTTCGTTTTTTTAATTATAAACTTTGCTGGCAGGTTCTTTTCACAGCTGTTGCAATAGAATTTACGGCTTACTTCAGTGACTAACACTACAATAAACGCGCTGTCGATAAGTAAACAACATGTTGACGCATTTTTTATGCCTTACTTTGATCTTAATATTCGGGGTTCATTTTGTTTTCATGATTCTTCAGGACGCAATGGCTGGACTGCAGAATCACTGGACTACTTTCACTTTGATTTTTCTATTAACAATGATAATAACAACAGGTAATGTATCCTATCGAAGAAGAAGAAGCGAACTATCAAAGGAAACTACTGAGTGTTTTAAATTCGAAGACAATCAAGAGCAAAACAACTGAACAGTTATTTTTTTATTTACTTTTGTAAAAATATCTTAAGTTCAAGTATTGAAGTGAAGAGCAATATAGACTATATACATAACTATAATGTTTTGTCGGAAGTGATAATGGTTTCGCGGTATGTAAAAGAAAAGGAACAACTAAGCCTCCAGGGTAAGTTACTCACACAAAAAACTCTTCCTGAGAAACGTCCAAACCAGGCGTTTTCAATTAGAAATTCAAACTTATGGTGCCCGTTGGTATGGACGGTAGGCGTAAGTAACTGTATCGTTCATACTGTGTCTCAGGATTCGGCATTGTACCCTCAGGCGCTGCTCTTTGATAAACGATACTTTTCCTCGGGCGCCATGAAAGAAGCCAAAGCTGGCACAGGTTGACAGAGCTGCACTCTCTGATGTTGGTATCATTTTTTGTGATTAATATTTATTAATGATAATGTCCGGGACGGGAATTCAGAAACGCTACAGAAGCAACGCATTTGAATCTAAACCTTGCTTTAATTTGTTTTGCAGTTTCATTGGCTGACAAGAAGTTCAAATGTCACAATAAGATCGACATGGTTGTCGTTTTAGACAGTTCAGGGAGTGTAACACAGAAACAATTCAAAATGAGCAAAGATTTCGTGGCTGACCTAGTTAAACACTTTGACATTTCAAAGAGCAAGGCAAATGTAGCAGTAGCTACGTACAGTCAGTACGCTCACACTGGAAGAACTTTTCAGGAACACGCTACTCTGGATTCAGTTCTGGGGGCAATACGTAAACTTAGGTATGAAGGAGCCGCTAGCAGACTGGACTTTGGATTTGGATTGGTTGAGTTTAAACTCTTTGATACGCAGTACGGATCAAGGCCAATTGATTCTGGTACGTGCCTTACTTGACTGACTACTGGATAAATGTTTTAACCTTCTAGGAACCCCGATTCATGAAAACGAAAGGTAGGGTAAGAAAAGACATAGGTAACGCGACGACAATGAGTAAAGTGCGAGCAAGCCCCGGGAGCAAGCGCACCTATCCTTCTCTCCTGTTCCACCTCCTTCTGTAGACTGCTATAACGCGCGCCACATCCCAAGAGCTTCTGTTCCTATTTTCGTTTTTCTTTTTTCACTGTCCTCCTCTATTTAATTCTTGATCTTTCTCTATTCATTTTCTCTCTGATGCCCAATTAAGTAATTGTCTCGAGATATGGCCAGTCTTTTTCCATTGTCTCGAATCAACTTTGTCACTCGGGGGTCATAATAGGTAGTGCTGAATTTGTACGAAGGATTCGCCAATGAATGCGTAACTAGCATTTGTGTGCCTTGTCTGTCTTGGGCACTAACTGTATTTGATGCACAATGTGTACAATGCGCACCTACCAATGCCAATTGTGTTCAGAAAGAATTGTGGCTTTTCCTTTATCTCGTTATATATTACAGATAAAACAGTTTGAATATATACTGACAATGATTTAGTTTTTACTCTTGTTGTTATGCACAGGTGTAAAGAAAGTTGCCGTGTTTATAACTGACGGATACAGCACTCGCGGTGTGGAATTCACCAGCGATAGTGCAGCTATGCTAAAAAGGAAAGGTGTGGAGTTATTCTCTGTTGGAATTTCTAATCGCATTAATAAAAAAGAACTGGATGTATTGGCCAGTGAACCACGCAAAACACATCAACTCTATATGACGACAAATCTTGGCGGGAACTCTTTCACAAAGGAACAAGTTCAAAACCTTGCAAAAGAGATTTGTAAAAGCAAATAAAAAAAACTGTTGGACTGTATTGGACAGTTTATTTGGTTATGGCCCATTATACTTAATTTTTTTGTAGAAACACTATTTCACCGATTTAACGAAGAGACCGCAACGTCCTGAACGAGAACACGAAAGCGCGCGGAAAAGACTGAATATGACTTCTAATGTTCAATTTACCGTTCTGCCATTGGTCAAAACTCTTCTCAGTAGATCTGCGCGCCCTGGCGTCAATGTTGACACCTGTTGACACATTCTCTTAGCTAAATTTCCCTAATACATCTTTCCCTCCACGTCATATATTTTAACTTTGAAGTTGGCAATATTTTAAATCCAATGCAATGGAGTTTTAACTTTCTCGCACTTAAATAAATATTTTAATTCAACGATGATTTCAAAATATGTAACACTGATGATGATCTGTCTGGAATCCAAAGAAATTTTTATGGTTTCTTGGAACAAGTTTATTGTTGCTGCTATCTAGCTAGACCCTTAACAGATTCACATTTTAAAATTCCGTGTAATGGACGCGCATATACAATCTGCAACGGGGCATTCCAATCGCGTTAAGATCGCACTGAGTTTTATCGCGCGCGGAGGCAGTTTCCAATTGTTTGATATGATTGTAAATCATCTTCCGCCTGTCACTTAGTGCTCCGATAGAACTGATCTCCAATGCAGTACAACATTACTCAAACGTACAATAGGAGCTCAGAAGTGATCGCTAAGATCATTCTGCTTTCCAGACAGGTATATAAGAAGACTGACCTGTTATCATACTTGTTTAGTCTATTGTTGTTTTCATTTTCATCATTATTGATAATTTTACAATTACTAATAAAAATCATCTTGTCCCTACAGTAGATGTGTTCGTTGTTTCGATGTCTGCTTTCTACTATGACAGCATTCACCTTTGTTATTAAGAATTAATAGTTTTAAAATCATCTTGACAAACGGACACATAGTTTGAGTCTGAAAATGGTGCACAGGAATACCAACTTGTGCACGGGAAACAACTTTGGACATTGCTACCAATTATGACTTCACGTTTGGTTTGTGACGTTAGCCTACGTTTGTGAGCGGCGAGAAATTGATCAAGCAAAGCAAAGTACCTGAAAGTTTGCTCTTGCAGCAATCTTCTTCAAAGAAGGTATTTTTTCCATTCAATTCTGTTAAATTGATGTCGAAAAGCTGTAAGCATTTTTTTCTTCAGCGACAAAGAAAAAGGCCAGCTATGGTAATCTTTTCTTCGCAACTCGTTTCCTTGTTCCAGGGTGTGTTTTACTTCTTGTCTGCAATAGTAACAAGTTAGGGAAGGTGATGAATGACATACACATGCTTAGTTTGGTGGCCGGAAAAAGCAGGAGATTTCGCACTGAAATTCTAAGATTTTGTATAATCTGTTCTCGCAAATGAGCCTAAGGTTAATGAAACAATTTTTTTCAACTAACCATCAGAAAACGTCTCGACAGATACATTGGTTAAAGTTAGGTTGGTTCGAAGGAGGAAAAAAGCCGGAACAAGAATGGGCATGAAACTTACTTATATAACAACAACAAAATGACAAACAGGGAGACATTCAAGCGTGTAAAATTCAAGATAATTATTTCTGGACAAATTAAGATCAATGACTATCAAAGCTTACCATCCCTTCATGCTTTTTAAGATTTTTACTGAGCGTGTGCGCGCAGTAAGGTGGCTAGGCCCGGTTTTTTAGTAAAAACACCTATTCTCAGTTTGAACATGAAACAAGAAGATGCTTTGTTTGTGCATTGTTGCATTTGCTTTTCTAAGAGAACTGGTATTAATGCTGGAAAAACGTTAGTTAGGAGTCACCCAAGTTTCACTTTAGGGTTCTCCCTAATTTTGCCTTTCAAAAGTTTTCTCCAGTGTACCTAAATCTTTATCCTGTTTTCGATTGATCTCACTTGAAATGTTTTTCTTTCTTCCTAGACTGAATAAATGGCGCCTTCATTTGTGGCCCGATCATTCTCAATGACTGATGTAAATACTATACGTCCTACATCTAAGCAACGTCTTGTATACTGCAACATTCTATCAACGCCATTTGATTTTTCTGTTGCAGTTGGTTTCGGAGACAAGAAAAACATCTTTAAAGTTATTCTCAGACCAAGGAGAACCTTTTTCCCAACCAGGGTAAGGAACATCTCTGTCGGTACTACCTGCCGACAGTAGCTTCCTCCACCTTTAATTTTATTTTAGAAGTGGAGCAGATCATCAGTGACCTGCCGTGAACAGCGACCTTTAGATTTGACCTAACAGAGTAAGGGATCGAGTACTTGTTTGGAAACTCGAGTATATTATATCCCCAGAAACTCTCCCTCTGTTGCTGGGAGTCAGAATACAATGATACGATTATGATGTTACTTGTGGTCTAAACTAGTCTGAAATGTTGTAACTCTCTCTTGAAATATGTGACCATAAAGTTACGTGACCCACTAAACTGATCCAGGCATTGCTGATGGTAGAGATCTCATTGCTGCTACTAAGAAACGTTACAAGTTCAAGATATTTGAGCGAGATAGTCGAATATTTGAACCTTACTTTGTTATGTAAGCAAGGCTACAACCAGACAGAGATAGACACCTTTTCCTTTTTTGACTACTATTGACGTGAACTGGAGACACAGGCACACACAGATAAATCATGTCGATTTTACTCTGTCTTTTTCTCTTGTAAAGATAGTCAGTCAAAAATACCCTTGAGAACTATTCATACCGCCTTTTAAACAACTGATGAAACTATTAAATCAATTGTGTCCATCAGCTGTTAAAAGGCAAGGACTTTCAAATCTGCTTTGTAATTTCTCTTTTAAGAAAAAATCAGTTCCGGTGACGAAAAATAGAAGAGACATGGTGGAGAACAATTTGGTTCCAGTTGGTGAAGCATTTTGCAAACACAGTATAACAGGTATGTATAGTAAACACGATGAATCTCTACGGACACTACAATCACCACCGTTTTTCTGTCACAACTGGCACCCGTCCACATTGACCCTTTTTCAGATAACCTCTCTATGACGCCAGTGACGCCCATTGCTCCACACTAGAGACAAATGTTAAGTCTGTTAAGTTTCGGTCCGAAATGGCAAAAAAACTCCTCCTCAACGGGCTGATTAAAAAACGGCAGAGCCCTTGAGGATTAAATCAATTGGTAAAGACAAAATTCTTTAGTACCCCAACCCAGAAAGTGTGAGGCGATGATCCTCAAGGGACAGAACTTCAAAGGTCAGTTTCCCACTCTTAAACTCGCTTAACGTATTATCAATAACCATCAAGTGGGTATCACAGTAAAGATTGCTAGATAACAAACTCACTTGGACAGCGGATTTATATGAACTGAAAACGATGTTGCAAGTAAACTGAATCTGTTAAAGTGGCGTCACTTACTCCTTATTTCGATGAGAGTATACTGACAAAGTACTCTTGCTCTCCATTACCTACGCTATAACAGTCTGTGGAGCCTGGCAGGGCTAATAAGCAAGGTCTTGCAATCCACTGTAGAAAAAAGAGAGTAATATAAAATTTACCCTGGGACACGCCTTTTGCAGACGCTCCCAAGGTGGAGCGTATAAAAACTGCAGTGGACTTTTATGGTCTCGAGTTTGCAGTGTTAACCCCTCATAGAGCTTAGGGTAAATTCTAAAGATTCTTGATGCATATTCCAGGCATTTACCCTCCCCCACCCCCATAAGAAAAAGATATTCAAGGATTCAAAACGTCTTTATTTCAGGTTCCAAAGGTGTAAAGCCATCACAAATCAGGTAAGTGGATCAACCGGATCAAGGTATAACTATGTATTTCACTCATATTCTTTTTAGGCAACCGATCATTTTCCCCTCCTTATTAAAGGACACGACACAATTTGTTTTGTTTTCCTCCTCAATGCGAGGAAACACGCAGGGAATTGATCCCTTTCTTGAATTAATCTGACAATTTGTAATGAAACCAAAGGTTTATTTGAGTCGCGTCCTCTACTAAGAGGTTCAACAGAGACAAGGTGTTTTTTTTGTCGTATATTACGTCTATCGCTAGCCGCGACAATTTTCCTGCATATATTCATTGTTTGATCTGCATATCTCATATTCTTTCTTTGCTTCGCAGACCAAGATCTAAGAGTGTGGAACTCCCACACCAATATAAATATGAAGACAAACCAGGCGATCTTCGCATCGTAAAAAGTTTGATGCTTCTACCGCATTTAGCGTATTCCAGAGCAAAACTCAGAGGAAACGAGTCCCATCTTATTGCTGGGTTTCCTGAGAAGTCAGTCCTGTTGCTTGCGCAAGACGAAGACGACCGATCTCAAATACAATTGTCAACTTCCAGCGTTGCGTCGCGTACTGGCTCCCAACAGCACATGCGCCGGCGCAGGGGAGACAGTGGCGTGCACATAAGTGATGAAGTGGTCCTAACATGGAGCAGGGAAGAACAAAGCAGAATAGAACCAACAAATCCTTCTACCAGTGGACTTCTAAGTAATCAATCTCATCTGAGACGAGTTGCAACAAAAAGTAGTTTACAATCAAACTATATCCCCAGTTTAGATAAGCTGGTAGAAGAACCAGTGCTTTCACCTAAAGTTTGTGGGCAGAGAGAAAGCAGTTCTAAGTTTGTGACTAATCACGCGCTGAATTCTGGATCAAATGAACGAAAAGAGTTTAATGAAGTTGTAGTCAGCCATTGGGAGAGAGCAGAAAAACATCAATGTACTCAACAGGAGCAGCAGCAGCAGCCAGCTATCAGAAACGGGCGCTCTCCATCATCATCTTTTTCCTTGGTCAATGAAGTGACTGAAGAGGTTTTATTTAAAAGATCGTCAAGCAACGTGAGTCATCTTCATCCAACTAGTGGTCTATTATCAATGATGCGCTCCGATTGGTTGAGCTACTACTAGCTACTATAACTTATAGCCCACTTTAGCAGCGATAAGCGCCGGCTTTTTGGCCGCTAAAAAGGATTTAAGTCTAGCTTTAACTAGCTAAAGCTGTTTTGTCTCGATATTTTTGGCCAACTAGTTGGATTGTACTGAAACAATTATTCCTCTCGCCCGCATGGCCTCTCCGTCCTCATGGGCTATTGACTCAGAGCCCTTTCGGGCTAGAGGAATAATTGTTAAACAGTAGAAGGGGTGGGGGATTGGGGCTATTAAAAGTAAATTCAAGACACCCCATTGCGTGGGTCAAGGGTAGCATATCCAGAGTGACAATATTTACCAATTTTACTTGAAAAAATAAAAATCAATATATTTATCGATAAAAAAAAAAGAAGAAAAAAGTTTCATGATTTCAGCACTTATTATTCTGCCGAGTTAGGAGTTTTATTCTCTTTTTAGAAAGTTGTTGGTAAATGAGACTTTCAAACATTACTGAGCACAAGTCGCAGAAAAGTACACAATGCTTGCAGTATCGGCTACCAGACAGAAGAGTAAAATTGTTAGAAACATACTGATTCGATCTCGACATTCGAGACATCTTACTCGTTCCTTTTGATCTGCAAATTGTATTACAAGTTTAACGCAGGCTTCACGGTGTCTATAATTTCAAACTTAATCGTTTTCACACGGGCGTTCAAATGGTTTGAGAGTGGTCGTTAATTTCAACATAACTCCCTTTTGGAACTGATCCCGTTATAAAGGCTCGCCCTTATTTGAAGTTATTGGTTATTATTAACTTATTCCCTCCTGTCTCAGATAAATGTATCGAGACCTGATCATGAAGAGGAGACGGCTAAATTCCAGAATAGGCGAGAAAGGCGAGTAACAATTGCAACAGAATCTCCGAGCAAGGAGCTGTCTCCACACTACGCTACTCAGTTGGAGAAACAAGCTTTCAAAAAAATCAAGGAGTGGAAAGAAGGATTTTCTATAAAGTTAGACCAAGTCTTACAACAGCGACAGCTTATAACACAGCGTCCAGATAACAAAACAAAAGTCAAAAGAGAAGAGCACATCTCCATCCCTTCCCCACCTACCCCTCCTTGTCTCCACGATGCTTTTCTGAGTCCTCCCTCCTACCCAAGTCATACAACAACTCCTTTCAAGCCGGCAGAGGCAACATTTCGAGTGGATACGCACCAACAACTTATCGAAGAGTTAAGAGGAGTGTCTGAGACTTCAATAACAAGGATGAGCAATGGCTATGATAAGGGAAGCACCATTCTTAAGGAAATCAAGAAACATCGCAAAGCTATTAAAGGGCTTAATGAAAAGAAGAAAATAATGGAAGAGTTAAGTTCCTGGCATAAAAAAGAGACTGGAAGAATAGCAAAAGATCTGTTTACGTCCAGTGGGTCAGATGCTGGAAACGTTACAAAAATACTGGCTGCTCTTAAAGAAACCGTTGACGATATTTTTATCGCTACTATACAGAGAGTGCAGGGGGACTTTGTTATTAGTTCCTCCTCAAACGAAAACAGTGCAGAGGATCTTGAACAGCAGGGTAATACCGACACCAAACATCAAGATATGTTACTGAAGTGGCAGATAAAAACTGCTCAGGAGGAAAGAGACAGACTTTTCTTAGAAAATATTACATTAAAAACAGAAGTAGCTGATCTACAGAACCAATTAAAGGAAGCATTTAAAATGATAGCGGAGTTGACTTCACTCGAACATGATCGAATGGAAGTACTGTATGGTCACTGTGCGCGTGCAAACCTTGAAAAGTACATTAAAGCAGAGAACTTCCAAGAAACCATAGGCTGCCTTGAAGAATATACCAGGAACTTACTGTTAAACAGTGATGGTAATAATCATGATATTTTGTTATGATCTATGAGTGAGTCTTCACTCCTGTAGGAACTGGCTGGCTACAAACCTGATCCCCTTCTCCCTCAGTCTTGTTGGCAGACGTGGGAACTACAGCCACCGAGATCGGAATCTACCATTTTAGTCGAAAAATGTGACAAGCCAGTCCTCTGGCTCTATGCTATTTTTTTGATGTTTTTGTGCTGATATGTTTCTTTGAATGCACATTGAATACAAACGGTAATCAAAATTCAAAACTTACATTGAAAGCCTCTTAGGTGAATAAAGTAAGTGTATGAGTAACGTCAAGATGTCTTTTTCCGTTGCAGACTTGTCAGAAAATCAGGATACTTCAGAACTTTTGCGGACCAGACAACTTAGCGCTGAAATAGAAGCCACGTACAGCGCTAAATTGAATTTATCTGCAGAGACGAGCCACTTTGACTGTGTGGAATTATTCTCGACGTGGGACTGTCCTTACATTATTAGGCAGATTTAGTAAACAAAACGCAACGTCAAATAAGAATGCGAAAGCTCACGGAAAGTGTTGAACCTGACTTCATCTTTTCGCTCTGCCATTAGTCACTTCGCTTTGTTGATCTGCGTGCTCAGCCATCTTCACTGTCGTCACGTTACCTGTTGCTGAATCTGCCCATCGGGAATAAACAACGGGCACTTTGTTCTTCTTTGCTCTTAGGCTCTACTGTCTCAAAAATTGTAATTAGAATTGTAAAGTTGCGAAAGCACAGAAAAAAGTTTATTCTTGTTTTCGATGTTTTGAAAGTGTTAAATTTTCGTTACTAATCATCTAAATGTTTCGTGATTCCCCCCACACAAATGGCTTGCTAGAACCGTTCAGAGATGGTCACGTCGGGTAGGCTGCAAGTTCGACAGTATAATCGGGTGATTACAGACAGATTCATATCGCGTCAATAGATAATCCTGATTGATAAAGCAGAGGTAAGCATAAGAGAGCTTAGATTCTAAGACGAGGACGACTACGAGTACGAGATTTTTAATGCTCGCGCATAAACTAGCGTCATTTTTGCGGGAAAACGTGACAGTAGTCGTTATTCTACTGCGAGTTTTAGCGACGTAGTGGCGGAAACAAGTTGCGAAGAATCTTGAAATTGTCAAGCAGATTCTTTGCTTCTGTTGTTTAAGGGATGATCCGTAAGAACCAAAGGGATTCTGTTTTCTCTTTTGTCCATTGAGGGGTTCTTTACAAGAGTTTGTAACAGCGTAGGTTTGTGTGAGTTGTTGTATCTGCCCATTTTGGGTATAAAGAACGGGCACTAGATCCTTAGCTCTTCTGCTCTACGGTTTAAAAATTTTCAGTGCTTTTAATGGGAACTGTAAAGTTCATCTTAATGGCGTAGCATTTGCAACAGTTTGGCACGCCCAAATTTAAATCCTCTTTTTTTGCCGTAGCCTCTTCGAAATATGAAGAATATTTAGTATTGACTAAGGGTAACCAAGCGGCCTATAAAATATGCTCTCTAATTCAGCGCCTGCATTTTGCAGCTTTTATACTTATCACTCCTGTTGAATGCCTTTTTATTCTGACAGGGAAGGTTTTTGGGTTCCTGACCATTCCCGCATTCATGTGAACTGGGGCTTAGGGTGACAAAATACGACAGTGATTTGTTTGAAGTTCTCCACTCAAAGGGTTTGGGCGCCTGGTTTGGGTTATTACCCTGGTTCAAGAGATTCTTGCCTAATTACGGTATCATAATATTCTGCAGATAAAAGTAAATCAAGGTATCAGGTGCATCATTAGTTTGGTACTTCCACCACCTCCCACTTCAACACTCCCACTATCCTGGCCGAGCACCGGACCTGAAGTATGAGAACCCTGGTAACGAGTAATCCCACATCACCTCACTCGATGTTTATGATAAATAAATTACCAAGATGGCTTCCTCAGGATTTCGCGAGAAGAGGAAGTTGGCACAAAAAGCAGAAATGTTATTCAAGTTTGAAGAAAAAGAGCGTTATAATAACATAAAGCAGATTTTAAAGAAAGATCCTTCGCTAAGAAATAAGGAAGAGCTTCAGTTAATTTCTAACTCGCAAGAAATAGTCCAAGAAATTGAGAAGCGAGTACAGCGTCAAGAACAAGTAAAGCGTCGAGTTGAGGAGGTACAGCAACAATTTATCACATTTTTTAACATTTTTTTCACTACTGTGCTTAATTCGGTCTTTTTACTCCAACAAAGGTTTTAGATCCGTGTGATGTGTTGAATGAAAAGGCAACTGTATTAGCTGAGGCGATTCTTAACGCCAAATGCCTGGTGGTTTACACTGGAGCTGGTGTCAGCACGGTGAGTGTGTAAACATATGCATACAATACAAACTTCAGTGGCCATTTGTTGTTATTTTCAAATTATTATTATTTTTTTAATGAAACGTGCTATTTTCTCTTTTATTTCGTAGGCGGCTTCTATTCCCGACTATAGGTTTGTGATACATTATCCTGTATATGATAATTTATTTATTTTGTATACTGGTACCGAAATACTGGTAGTGAACTCTTTGATTCCTTTTAGCTTGATCGTAACAATGACATAACATATGTTTCCTTTGTAAATACTTTTAGAGGCCCTGAAGGCATTTGGACTCGCCTGTCTCGAGGAGAAAAACTAGGGTAAATGAAGTGGAATTTTCATTATATTTTCTTGTTAAAAGTCATTTGCTGGTGGGAGCAGTCTCCCTTTTCATTATACATGCAGGAAGAAATTAAGAATCTGCTGTGAATTAAAGTGAGGGGATTTCAGTGAGGGAGAGTGGCCAAATGGTTTTTTGAGTTTCACAGTGTCACCACAAGCTGGAATTGTGGAAGGTCCTTTGCTGCTTGAAGACGTGTGATGTATCTCATGCCAAAATAATGGGATACAACACTAAAATATACCAGAGACTGAAACAACATCATCGCTTGTGGTTTAGCAGCCTACGTGTGGCTGCACCCTCCCCCTGACAACGGAAAAACGGAGAGAGGGAGCTCCCTCTCTTCCTTCCTCTCTCCGTTTTTCCTTTGTTGGGGGGAGCATGTGGCTAACCATAGGTGAGCAGTTTAGTTTTCTCATGCCTATTTGGCCTTTTCCTTGCAACATGATAACATTCTAGAAATATTTCTGGGCCCAGGTTTACAATTGCCGATTGGCATTAACCTGGGGTTAAATTTTAATCCTTTTAATTCTTTTTCTTTTGCTCATAAGTATTTTCCCTGACGGATTTCTCCATTCTCTTCAGAGTATCCAATCATAGATAAAGAGAATTAAGTTGAATTTGCTTTTTAAGCTTTCTTGGCTGAATTCAAATTTCTCTCTAATCCTGGATTAGTTTAAACTAGCTTTGAAGGACCCGGCCCTGGTGTTCATGGTTTTCTAAGTTTCACAGTAAACTCTAAATCATTTTATAAAATGGCCAATTAGTTTACTCCCTACTGGTCATGGCTGGCTATTACTTTGTGAAATTATCTTTTTACGTTGTAAAGGAAATATCAGTCATCACACCCCTTTGAAAGTAATAAATGAACTTGCAACAAATATTAATAAATTTGTGCTAACCAGCAAATAGAGGGCAAGACCTAGAGTTATTGAGAATTTGTAGTATATTGTAAAGGCGCATACAAGTCAAAAGTCCAAATGGCTGGAGCTTATCCGGGTTTCCTTGGCGTGAAGCATGCCTAGGAGTATTGCTACTCCCCCCTGCCTGGACAGGATGCTAGTCCATTGCAGGGTTACCCCCCGGCAGTATACCTCAGGTACCCATTTATACACCTGGGTGAAGAGAGACAAGGTGGAGTAAAGTTCCCTGTCTGAGGAATCAATGCAATGGGCAAGGCTTGAACCCCTGACCTCCAGATCTAGAGTCCTTGGTGTTAACCATGCAGCCACACACACCTCCTGTACTTACATGTATACTTAAACGTTTTTGTTTTAAGCTCATACAACTTGGCAGATGCAAATCCAACGTTAACACACATGAGCATCACAAAACTCTATCAGGAAGGACTGGTGAGTATGTTATCATCATCTTCCATGATTCTTGTTAATAAAAGCAAGTGGGAAGACGGTAGGACTTGAGTCATATGCACAAACAAATACATCAAGTTGTATTTGATTGTTACCATTCAGGGCTGTTATTAAGGACCAGGGACTGGGTGTGAATGTGATCCTCAGCTACTTTCATAGGAAAAAGAGGAAAAATGGAATCTAAAGAAATCTTAGCTGTTATATCTCCCACCTGTTCAAAATAAAATAATGATTTGAAAGGGTGGAGACAATAAATAATTGGGGACTTTTATTTTTTCATAACAGTGGAAGGGTTTAATATTACAGATTTATGAATATAGACAATAATTTGTTTATTCATGTGTTAAGCCTCATAGATAATACGAGCATATAGCTCTTGCCAAATAATTTCTGACAAAGATTTCAACAATTTTGAAAATAAAATAGATTGGATTGATAAGTATACTATGTCAAGTCTGCATCATTATTTTGCTTATTTCCAACTTGCACCATGACAGGTCAAACATGTGGTCTCACAGAACTGTGATGGACTTCATGTGAGAAGTGGGCTTCCACCTCAGGCTCTCTCAGAGGTTCATGGAAATATGTTTGTTGAGGTTTGTGTTCATTACATGGTTCTGAAAGATACTACCAAATTGTTTGACAATTTTGTGCAAATAAGTTTTTTAAATTCATTCTTGTAGGTTTGCACCGAGTGTGAAGAAAATGACACAATATACTATCGTCTGTTTGATGTGACAGAAAATACCTGCCTGAGACGACACCTAACTAACCGATACTGCCACTGCTGTGGTTCTCAATTAAGAGATAGTATAGTACATTTTGGAGAAAAGGGTAAACTACGATGGCCATTAAACTGGGAAGGAGCAATAGAGAAAGCTAAAGTGGCAGACTGTATTCTTTGTTTAGGATCAAGTCTTAAGGTGATTATAATGTTATTCAAAAGCTGTCTTTCCTTGAGCTGAGGGTATTCATTTGATGGATGACTTTAATTATGATCAATTGTTGTAAGCTTTTCTTGTGGAGAAGCTTTATCCTAGTTGCTTATTGTGACTGAGGGAGAACTGAAAATCTGGTGAAATTGAAAGAAAGGTGGTCCGAAAACCTGGACATCACATAACAAACTGGATGAAATTTAAAATTGATCATTAAAAAATGTAATTACTTATAACAAAAGTATAATATACCACTAACCTTGAATGAGGATGTAGGCTTCTGCTATTAACAATGGCTAGAGCTTGAAAAATGGTAGTAGTCTCTTGCTCTTTGATGTCTTTGACTTGCTTGTAGCTTGCCATTTCATTTTTGAATTAGAAAGAAGGAGATTGGTTCTGACTTTTACCCAGTCAGATGACAAGTTGCCTTAAAATTATGACTTTACATGGCACAAAGAAAACCCTCTGTATGTAATGTTACTAATACCAATAAAGAGCGGGTAATTTTACAGTGTAAGGCTGTACACTATTGTGACACAACAACATAACTTTAAGCTACGTGTATCTTACTTTTGAGCCCTGGTTACTCAAAATCCCAAAGGAAACAGACAGTTAAACTTAGCTGATGAGTGACATTGGCTAAAAAGGTTTTACTGAAACTTTTTATAGAATTTTTAGCATTGCCAGTTACAAAGTAATTAAGACACACTGAGCTTTTCTCATGATGGCAAATAATTTGCCTTTTTCTAATTTCCTAAAGGTCTTGAAAAGGTACCATGCTCTATGGGGAATGAATAGAGTAAAGTCAAGAAGACCTAACTTGTACATTGTCAATCTTCAGGTAAGTGGGGGGCACCTACAGCTCCTGTACAGCTATAATCAACTGAACCTCTCCACTACGGCCACCTTGGGGACAGAAGAAAGTGGCCATTGTGGAGAGGTGGCCGTTAGTGGGGTTCAACTGTAGTTGTTTATGAATGATCTAAACTATAGCTTTTAACCTGTCAAGATCCCAAATCAGTCCACTTACATTATGTATTTAGGCATTGTCTGTCATTTCAGTCAGCAAGGCATGCCTAGTTTTATTGGCTTTTATTGTTAAAGTACAAGTGTATCTGGTAGGTTTTTATGAACATAGTCTCCAATTCGGTGAAAGGTTTGAACCCAGGAGTCATTTCATAAGTAGGTAAAACATGATCATCCAGGTAAATCTCCTGAATAGGACTGTTGTTGTTGACAGTGACTGATGTTTCAATAACCTGTGAGGTAGTCATCTTCAGAGTCAAAGTGAGTTGTATCATGTCAGTTCATTGAGGGTATTAAACTCTGGTTATTGACCTAATTGGTCATTCAAGTCGCAATGTTATTACCTGTCTGTCAGTTAAGCTGTGATGTTATTGGCTATGAAGACTCGTTATGTCATTGGTGCGTTTCGATGTGTCTATTGTCACAGTTAAACAGTGTTTATGGTTAGACAAAGTTGTCCAGTTGTTCTCTTGTAGTTAGTTTTGCTTGATGCCATCAAATAAGTTGTTTGTACGGTGTCGGTAACTATTGACTACAATTCAGTGGCGTTTGTTCTGAGTCAGTAAACCAGCATTCTAAAGTGATAGTAGTCTGTAGAATACGCAATATATGTTGCAGAGTCTCAGTCAATTTGATGTTTTGTCTGTAAATGTTGCTCAGCAATGTGATTGTTGACGTCACTATTTCTTGTCCCTTGTTTGTGTTCGGTCAGTCGTGTGCCAAGGTTTCTGCCGGTTTCACCAATGTAAGTAGCCTGGCAGTTACAGCATTTGATCTTGTATACTTCTCTCTGTCTGTCCTCTGGTATGTCTCTGTCCTTGACATTAGTAAGTAGTCATCGTAAAGTGGTTATCGGTTTATGTGCAACACGTATATTGTAAGGTTGTAGTATACGTGTGATAGTTTCAGAGGTGCCTCTTATGTACGGTAAAGTTGCTGTCGTAACAGGACCAGAGTTGATGTTGGTCTGAGTGTTGGAATCAGTGTTACTGTGAGTGTTCTGTCTAACAAAGTCCGCGTTGTATTTGTTTTACAAAAATGTTGTAACGTTTTGTTTCTTCAATCACTTCTTTCTGCCAGTCAGTTTGAAACTGCGTAGTTCTTCACATGTAGATTAATATTTAGTGTGTTACATTTTAAACAGGATAATCAACTAAAATAATGTAATACGTGCATATTGAAATGTTAACCCACTTTTTCACTTTTTGCTTAAGTGGACACCAAAGGATGACTTGGCAACTTTGAAGATAAGTGGTAAGTTGCCAAAATGTCAATACAGTGAAAGTTTATTTATTACCAGACATTTAGGCAACCAGCTCTAACTAGCCTGTTAAATATTTATATTATGAAAGCAGTAGTACTTATTTAAACTATGCATCCATCCTTTTTTATAGCAGACAGCGATCCATGTACCTGTATAGTGGTCAACCTTAAACGTGTGTGTTTCTATATGTACGTATTGCTGAAGAGGTCCACATCACCTTTCAAGCTGCCCTGTTTACAGAACCTTTTTGATATATGAAAAAAAGTTTGATATTGATAATGAAATGGTGATTTCTTTGGCTTGTGCAATTTCATATTATTTGAAGACAGCCTTTAATAGCATCACTGTATCATTAAATCACAATTTTCACTCAAGTTGTCCCCAGTGCCCTTATGTCTAGAAATATCTGATTAGTCTATCAGTCTGGACAGGAAATAAATCCTGTCGTTTTTTATGTCAAAAGGTCTATGTACTTACTGTAATTCATTTTCCCAAGACTTGTAATACTAGCACAAAAAACTACGTTTTCTTGCTTTGTGTTGTAGCTGTTGCTTTCTGATTACTAACAGCTTATTTTCTTGTATATTCATTGTAGGTCGTTGTGATGACGTAATGAAAAGAGTAATGGATAAACTGAGCTTATTTGTTCCACAATACGAAAGGTCAGTCAAACCTTACTTTTTTGTCCTTGTTCAGTCCTACATCATTAAGCATTCTTGATCTATAAATGGACACTTCACCTATGAGCTACTCCCAGGACGTCAATTGATCGGCAACAGTGATAAAGAAAGGCACCTTAAAGGTAGTTCAGTAAAAAGTACGACATGAGACACCTTGTTAAAAGTTTCTTCCACTTCTACTTCCAAAAATAAGACGCCACTAAGTTATATAGAAAGTTGGGAGGATGTTTGCGTATGTTTTAAAGATAAGGGCAGGTGGGAGTCTGTACGGTAACTCCTCTCTTCAATCTTCACTGCGGGCTCTAACTGATCTTTCTAGAATCAAAGCTCACAAACGAGGCTGCCAACGAGAATAGGAACTGGCCAATCAAAACCTTAACAAAAACGGGTGCAAATATGCCCTTGTTCTAAAATTGTCATGTGGTGGTTGGTTTGCTGAGAAGCTGCTCAAACGATGCCATTCATAGCTTTTAAAAAACCTATATCCAAACATTATCATCGCGAAAAGCAGGAAAAGTGGTTATGAGAACAAAAATCCGGCAATTTTGGTGAACTCAAGTAGATACTAAAACACATTTACTGGTAACAATTTAATAAAACCAAATCGTTGGCGATTATTGAAGTAATTAATTATTAACTCCATAACAAACGGCTTAATTGCAGCTGTTGTTCATGCACTAAGTCCATAAGTAATGGTGCAAACGAGAGTATTTTTCTCCTTATCTTTTGTAGGTGCAGGGATTCTCTTTTCACACTAGCTACACCTCTGAGGCCTCATGAACTAAACTCATTTAATACTAAAGGCCTGAACATGTTTGAATCGGATCAGTTTGAGACGCCTGTTTGCCTCAAAACTGAATCTAAAACTAAAGAGGACAGTTACAATGACCTGAATGCGGAAAATGACGGCAATGCGGTGGAAACAGGGACTGACAGTGTTGCAGCATCGGGACCTCAAATGCAGCCAGGATGGTTTGGCAAAGGTTATGCAAAGAACAAAAAATCACGAAAAAGACGGAGAGTAAGATGATCTGAGCTTCAATTAACAACAGAACAGGAATAAAAACGCTAGTGAAGAAATTACAGCCATGATAAAGAGAGTTTGTTGTGAGAGGAGATTAAAGAAGAAAGGTTGACTGATTGACACACGCAGCAACAAATCTTTTACAAACACTTGAAATTACGTAAAAATTATGAACGTTTAACCTTGGTTTTTTAATTAAAGGTTTTGTTTATTGTCGGTAACTAAAGTCTGTTGGTTCTAAACTAATTCGTTTAATTTTCATTATCATTCATTAAAAATATTTCCCCGATTCTGATTGGGTAAAAGCACACGCATAATTCACCATAAACAGTTACTGATGACCAAATCTGGAAGAATTTTGCGATTAATCAACCGATAACGTCAAAAGTGCAGCTTCCTTGCAGGTTAATGCACCGCTAACCGAGAAGACCTGGGAACGTGGTTGAGTTGTTTTGGTTGTGAAAACAACAATGGTGGACATTTCACTCGTTCCAAGAGTAAGAACTAGGCGAAATTATAGCTAAAAACATAACAAGAACAGCAAGAAGACAACTCGAAGGGCGACATCTGCTATTTGGAGAATATTTGCGGAGCTGAACAACCCTAAACGTGTACTATCGAAGACGAACTCAATCGATGGAGGTAAGCATGTTTTAGCTAAGTATTTAAACTAGGAATTATTTTGAATGAATATTAAAACAATTATTGAATTCTGCTTTCGTATTATATGAAGAATTATAATGGAAATCTCGGGGGGTGTTATCGGCCTCGGCCTACGGCCTCGACGGATAACACTCTCCTCGATCTCCATAATTCTTCATATGATACTCAGCGTCATTCATTAATTGTTAAGTATTCCTTTTCAGCTTGTTATCGCAGACGTGGTCGAATTCTCGATACTTTCGTAAGATAAGTTGTATTCCAGCTATTGTTCTTCAACAATAACCTTTTGCTATTACACAATAGTTGAGATATATTTTACCAAGTTACGCAAAGGAGATCCGACCTCTGCTTAACAAAGTTTTTTGCTTGCACAGGAGTGCTTGATCAGCTTTGACACTTACAAATGACGTCTTGCTACAAATATCAGCTCAACAACGAATCCAACCACCTTTGTCTTGCTGAGACAAGTTTGTTACCAGACAAGAGACAAAATAAAAATTGTTATATTTTTATTTATTTATTTATTTATTGTATTTCATTTTATTAGCCACACAACAATTACAAAAAAGTAAAGGAAAAGAGCGCAAAAAAGAAGTGGCGAGGAGACCTAACAGAAACTATAGGAGCTTATGAGAGGTTAGGCCTCTTCGAACTACGGGTTAGAGCTGGTTAACATCAATTGAAGAAAAGATGGCGAAAAGTCGAATGAACTGTTTTCATATTTACTCAATAACTTAATCCTCCGTTTTTTCTTAAAAGAGGAAAGGGATTGAGAGTTGATGACCTCGTTGTCAAGTGAATTAAAAAACTTAGGCCCTTGAAAAAAGGGCAAGAACTTCTTAGTGTTTGCACGACAATACGGTAGACGGTAGGCATGGGAATTTTTCGTGTTGTAAGAGTGGAATTGATTGCTTTGGGAGAAATTGTTATTAAACCTTGGAGGTAAGAATGGATTTTTCCAAGAATACATAAATTGGCCCAGTTGAAGCAAATGGATATCATTAAATTTTAGTATACCGAGGTCCTTAAAAATGGGGTCTGCATGAGCATTGAAATGTGATTTATTAATAATTCTAATAATGCGCTTTTGCAGGATAACAAGGCGGCGGAGAAATTGGTAGGAGGACTTGGGACAAACATATTTTGATGGAGAATGGTAGGGAGGCTGCTAATTACTTTCGACGTAACAAGCTTCTAGAATTATCAAGGAACAAAACCCCTCTCTCCTGGTACTGAGTATCGCATAAACCAGCCACATTGTTTTGTGAAACATATATTTATATCTCAAAATACAAAGATCTTGAATTCTGATAAGTTACACTTTTTACTCTATACTTTGTAACATCAATCAGCCTAACCTTAAAAAAATGATAATTATATGATAATTCCGTTCGTATTTTTAAACCTATTGGATGCAAGTTACTTGTTCTGTTTCACGACGCGTTCAATATCACGTTGAAATATGTTTGGAAATGGTCGCATATATATTTCAGCATGGTGACCGAGCTTTTAAAACGGAATTTATTTAATCTAAAAAAGGTCCTAGTGGGTTTGCTCCGGAAAGCTTGTAGGGCACTTTACTGCTAAATAAGAGGTGACTCCCTGATGATAAAAAATGAACAACAAAAAAGAATCAATAACTTTTGAAATTAACTCTTAAATATAACACAGACTTGTCTATGACATCTCTAAGAACCAGTCATTCGTCACCGTGTCATCTTGGAAAAAAAGTAATTTTCATGGTTTATTAACGGAACTGCACTCGTCTAACAGGCTGAAAATTTTTCAGCGGTCTTCGAACTTTTTTGCGCTTTTCTTCAAAGTCTTAGTTCAGTTCCTGGCCCCAGCCACAGGGGTTAGCAACTTCTAGCGTCTGTAATCTGTAGTTTACCTAACGTTATCCACTCTTCCTGGGGTAGCTTTGTTTGTTCCACAAACAGGGCTTGGATTTGAACTGAAAAAAAAATTTGCTGGGTTAATTCTTTAAAAAGCTTTGGAGATAAACTTGAACGTGCACTACAAGGCCACAAATTAACAAGAGTAGAGTGAGCGTCCGCTCTCTTCAGCTCCTACTTTGAGTTTGTCGAAATAGAATGATCGAAATGATTGATTATCCCGCCGGAAAACATTTGAAAGGACGCGTCGCCTTTTAAGTAGCGTTAACGTCTCTGTTTTGCATTACCTTCACTGTATCGCAAAAAGCGGTATCATCATTAAAAACGCCGGAACTATTGTAAAGGTTGTACCTAAAGTAACGCAGTAGGGAGTTTCGTTTTAAAATATTTTTCATCATATTCTTATTGGGGCCGTTTTGAACTTTTTGAGCGGCAGCGTGAAGTGAGCCAGCCGTGAGTCAAACGCTTGTTTACCTGTTTAAGCCTGGGTTCTGGTAGCTTGTAGGAAGATCAGTTTCCTCCGTTGTTACTTCATTTGAAGTTTGGTCTTTTGTGCGACTGTATGGCAGAAGTAACACAAACAAGAAGGAGAAAGGGCAGTATACAGATCATAGATAAACTGATGGAATATCAGTAACACCACTAAATGCCTTTGGGGTGAAAAGAGGAGGGGAGCAAGTGAGTGGGTGTGGTGGGCTAAAAATGTCCGTTATAGAGTGATTTTACTTGAACCGTAAAACAGATACTAACAAATCTGAGTGCAAAATAGAAAGACAATGGGATTAGTGCGGCATAATAGTGCGTAGTATCCTTCTACCTGTTTCACGGGTTGAGTAAAATCTTTCTATAAGATTAAGTGGGGCACGTAACAAATTACATGAAATTAATTGCATATAAATTGCTGGTACAAATACCCTTGTGGTTGTTGGTAACACATGGAAAATTTATTCCGTTCTTCATTTGGTTTACCTAGGATAAATAGAGGTGAAAACCTCAAAGCTAAAGTCGGTAACGTTTAAAACCTATAATTTTAACCTAGAAAAAAAAGATACGAAAATGGCACAGATGGACACTTCTTGCGCATAATTTATTTTTAAACAGCTCCTGTCTTACTTCCCCGTTGCACTACGCGATGAAAACAATAAATGATCGCAGTCTAACGATTATGGATATGCATACCTCCATGGCTTTAATTTGACTTGAATGTGTGGTGCTTGAGGGCTGAAGGAAAAGCATGCCAGTAGATCAAATACTCGGTTGCTTTAAGACCCTTGTTGAGGAAATACAATTTAGGGGACAACCTGTAAAACTAATTTTAAACAAATTCAAAATCCGTGATTGTGGCGAGAAGAAGATTAAGGTTACGTTCAAACGGCACGGGACGAAAAATTTGACCGGACACTTATTTTCGGAACGGAACAGTTATTTTCGCTTTGTTCACACGGAACTGACGAATCGGGTTGAATTTCAACTTTTTTTGGGAACGAGAACGGTTTTAGTGGTGTTAGTCCGCGTTGCTTTGTCCAGCGGAACGGGCAGGTAACGCGGACTCGGGGAACGAGATTGTGGTGTTACCATCTGCCCATGCACAGAGCGCTACTTCAGCAACTCCAAAATGGCACATCCCAGCTGAAGTACCCCTCATCCGTGCAACCACGCCTTCGTACTGCAAAAATTTAGACGGTCATGCTGTTAACATTGTGCCGGTCAAAACTTTGAAATTCAAACTTTTGAACGGCTTGGCGTCTAAGTTTACGCACGGTTAACGCGGTACCGTGAACGGAAGACCTAACGTACGAACTTTTAACCGGGCGAAAATTCAGTGCAGTGTGAACGTACCCTAAGACCAGTTGGTATTTAGTATCATCATAGTTATTAGAGGAGACTGGTTATGAAAAGCGGCAAACATCAATGATAAAAACAACAGTGCTGCAGTTTATGTTGGAAGCACCCTGAAAGTGCACAATCCTTTGTTTTCTGTTGGCAAATTGTTGCGGAAGAAATTAATGCAACGTTTTTACTGGTCAATACAATCAAAATGATTGGAATTCTTTTGAACGTTGTGCACTTTCAGGTCCACAAAAACATATAACAAAGGAGTCTGACGGGTTTCATAACCATTCCACTCAATTAACTATGGTATCATGGGAATTTTGTTTTATTCAGGAAGTACGCATGTGTAAAAACACAGGTCACGTTCAGAAGAAAAAAATGATAGAAAAAAAAGGGGAAGAGGACAAACAAAGGGTGTAGATATTTAAAACCCACTAGCGTCTGCAGTAAAACATTATGCTCTCTTGGTTGTACATGGTAAAAAAAAAAAAAAAATTAGCTTCGTCTCTGTAATCGGTTTCAAATAATGGATGACAGGGATTAGTGAGCTTAATTCAGTGATACATGGTTGAGTTCATTAATTTTTTATCCACACCCAGATTTTTGCAGCTCTGCTATCGTTATAACCGACCTGTTAAGGGGGCGGACAAATATTTAATAGCGGGAAAAAAGACGTACGGTGCAGTTTCCAATTGAAAAACTTGCAACATTTCTTGCCGTGACAAATTTTGATCGACATCCGCATCATTGAATGTTTCAATTCTTCGTTTTGTTTTCCTTTACCCTCAAAAACGTGGCGAAACTGCTGCCAGTTGAAATGTTATAAGTCAGTATTCTTCTAAAGAAATAAATTGGCTTACCTTTTTTCTCTTCCACTACAGCATATCCACATCAGTGCAATAATCATAAATGCAACTAAAACACCACCGAATGTTACTAAAAATATCCCAAAGGATGTTAAATGTGTCATAGTTTGTGGCACATTTTTAGGTTGAGTACTGATACTAACGCTTGAAGGCAGTATTGAAGTGTCTGTAGATACTGTTAAAGGTGTGTATGACGAACTTTTGGCTACAGCAATACTTGTTCCATTCGGCAAAATGGCGGAGCTCATGTTACTGGTTAGAGTAGAAGAACTGTTCGAGGAAGAACATGGAAAACTTGAAGAAAAGCTGTTATTTCCAATGGGAAATGTTAATGAACAGCTTGTTTTGAGTGGCCCTACGGTAAAGTTGAAAACAGGTTAGACTATGGGTCGTGAAAACACGAATATTTAAATGGAATTTGACTTAAATCTCCTGCAACAGTGTTTTTTTGTCTGCAAAACAAATATTGACATACAGTGCATCCCTTGGGTACCAATAGCAACTAGTCTGGTTATATCAGGGGGTAAACTACACTCCACGTGCATCAACGTTTTGGTACATTTTCTTGAAAGAGTATTTTGTTCTCTACTTTTTAATTCTCTTTGGGACTTGCTGTCCTTAAAGGGGCTTGTCATTTATATCAGTCAGTGTCTGCTCAGTAATTATTTTTGCTCCGGATTTAGCTGCTGTCCGTATTATCGGGGCGTCCGTTATAGCGAGGTGTCCGCAAGGCGAGAATTGACTGTATTCTCAGTCATCTTTTCTCCTACTTGCAACTCTAAAACAAAGAGATCTACTGAGTCTAATAAAAGGAAAACAAATCGTGATCGTTTCTTGGAGATTTGACAACATTGGATTTTAAATTGAGAGCGCCTTTTGGCCCAATTTGTTCCGAAGTTGCAACACATTTCCATCCTGACCATCGAGAGCCAAACGGACTCCATACACTTATATAGTTGAGGCAGAAGAGAGTAGTAGCAGAGCAATTCTAAGTAAAACGGAATCGCCATTTTCAGGGTTTTCCTTGATTCCAATTTTTTTTAGGATTTGAAAGTAACACCAAAAAAGTGACATAGCGGTATAAATTGAATTTAGGAGGAATTTGTCCTTCACTAAACGTAATGAGCGAGTCGTAATCAGTAAGCTTTAATTATCTCTGTTATACGATGTTTTCTCTACCGTTGCTGCCGTCTTTGCAAAAGCTCGCTTTAATAGATACAGTGTTGTGAATATTTGCGTTTTTCACCGCATTAGTAAGAAGCAAAGCCTAGTGCAGAGACGAAAAGCAAACGAATACCTTATTTTAGATCGGACGGAATCCAATATTACACAGCGTAATCCCTCTTCCCGTCGGCCAAAAAAGTAACAAAAATAAAATATTGCACGCGACGCGCACGACTCCGTACATGCTCAAAACCCTGCCCGAAAGAAATGTCTCCACGGCTCGCAGAGTAATTTCATGCGGGCAATCGTTTATATTGTAAGTAGTAAACAATAAATTTCATGGTAATAAAATCAAACAAAGCAAAGTGAAAGGAACATTAAGGTAATAAGAAAAAGTTACTGGAGTCTTACAACACTTATCGATATTGGCAGTTCAGTAAGATAAACTGAATTAAGTTAAATGTAATAAACATGCCATGGCCTAGTCAGTGATAGACAAGACTTTCGCATGGGACTTAGCTGGAATGACAATCTCATGAATTTTCTGTTTAAACTTCCTGTCAGAAGCCTCATATCTGAGTTGCTAAATGGATGGGTAAGAGACAAAAATGTGGTTTTCAAACCAATACGAAAATTTATGAAAAAGTCATGTTTTAACTTTTTAAAATTTGTTTTCTTTCCGATGAAGCCTAGTCTTTCAAACGGTTAGATTTAGACAAAAAGGATGACATACAAACGTTTATACTGGAATGATATTTGGACATAAATATTCCTAAATCTTGTACTCAACCGCGCCTGACTATTGAAACAAAATGTCAGTAGAGAGATCCGACTAAAAACTTGTCACACAAAAGTTTTATGACTCAAGAACGCATCGTACAACTGAAAAGTTACATCCTACTGAATGAGAATGCATTAGAAACGTAACATTAAAAATAACCGTTTTTACCGTCACATCCAGAAAATATTCCATTCGACAACATCAGCAAAAGCAGTAGAAGAGCCATGGCCTTTCTCTCGTTGAATTGTTCAGTTTGAACAGAGATTCTTCTTCAGTACAGTCTTGTCGCAATTACAGTTCGACTAAGGTTGATGTATGAAGCTTCCTTCGTATCAATTAGATCATGTTGGAGAGTACCCTCACAAGATGCGCTTGTCAGTTTTTTTAGAGAAAGGTAAACAGAACAAAAATTAAAGAATCCTTATGCCAACAACATGACATCTTGAAATGTCATTAAACATGTGTATCCAGTACAAGTAATATCATTAACATTAAAATACATGTGAGTAGAGGGCTTTTCAATCTCTCCTCTGAATTGGCGCCGTTCATTTGTAACGACTGTTTATTTAGTTTTGTTGGCCTTAATAAGGACTCGAAACATCATGATTTCAAGTTAATTCCAGATTTATTATATTCCAAGCATTTTCTCAGGCCACTTCCTATAGCCCCAGTACTATTAAACTGCCAAAAAAAACTTATCTTGGTAGTAACATCTTTAAGTTCAGTCTGTCAGAACTGTGCCACGTTTTCTTAAGAAAGAATAACCTGCCATTCAAAGTGACCCAAAAAAATTTCCAAACACTCAAGTCATATCTAAACTCGGGATTTATCAGAAGAAAATGTCTCTAAAGGATTAAGCCACAAAGTGGCTAGTCATCAAATTTCGTTAAACCATTAGACTGAAACTGAGGATTTTTCATATCACACCTTCTCAACCAACTTATTTAGCTTTCAGTTCCTGAGTACAATTCTTCTCTCCTTCCCCAATTTCAAGATTCGCGCATATTTGTAAATGAGTGATAAGTGGATCAACATTAGGGAGGACGTAGCGTGACAAGTGGTTCAACAAATCATCGACGAATATCATAGCCTGTTAGGTTTCAAAAACTATATACTGAATTTTTTTAGGCAAAATGAAATGAATAACGGTCATGCAAAATGGTCTCTTGCCTTAAAAGGAAGCAAAGGGTTTGAAGACCGCAGCGGCACCCCCATCCCCCACCTCTCTTTCCTACTCCCCGGCAGCTCCCGCCTAACCGAGTTATTTTTTAATTATTTTGCTCTGTTCTCTTCTTTGCTCAGTCCCTTCTAGCCGATCCCCTGGAACAGTATAGAAAAATTCTTACCATGATTGCTTCTGTTCATTTTACCATCCTTTTTTCCTTTTTTCCATCTTCCCAGCAGGCTATATAAACAGGCCCCGTTTTACCTATTTCACACCAATCTCCTTCTCCTAGCGTACTGAACAGTTTGACAGTCCTAACTTATGAATTGCTTACGCCAGTGACAAAGCTAATCCTACAGAGAATTAATTTAGGTACATCGAGTAATCAGGAAATACATCATAACTAGTCTTTCATTAAACCAAAGTGCATTACTTCTTTTTTCAGAAACACATCAATTTGTGACTCGCTTTGAGATATTCAAAAAGACCATTTTACGAAGAAATCGGTTAAGTTTTACACAGAAATCCAGGCTAAATTGCTTACCTTATTTGTTGTTCGATGATACTTCTCGAAACGGGTAGTTCTGGGTCAACAAAAAGGTTGAAAGAATTACAAGAAATGCATTTATTTTTTGGTGTAAATTATAAAAGAAGCGTTAATTTTGAGACACCGTTCTTGTTTTTTGTTTGTTTGTTTCTAACAAGAATTCAGCTTAATCAATTTTTTCATGCAGTAATTCTAAATTGTGGCGCTTGTATCCTAGCCTATTGAAAACTGAACTTCATCCTCAAAGTCACATTGATAAAGCAAGCTAAAGTGATGCAAGTGCGCAAATCTTTACTTTTTCTCTATCGGTGCTGAAAACACTAAAAAGTGCACCGATCGAAAAAGCACCCGGATTACCAGAAAGCTGCACAGGGCAGATCTACCCCGCATCTTAAAATATGTGGAATGATTATTTCATTGTAATCTTTGAAATATCGAAGCAAAGTGACGCAAACAAGTTTGTCATGTGAACCTATGGTTGAGTAGCGCCTGTTTCAAACAAGTTACAGCATTAAACGATGAAGGTATAAGGTATTTCAAAAGGTGTTAAAACCTCTTGGATCAGATAGGTGACCCCTAAATCATGTTGGGGGAAATAACACACGTTGATATACACTCTCAAGATGGAAATACTGTAACTATTACAAAACGGGGAAACTGAGAAGAGCTACGTCTCTCTGCGGACTGAATATATTCATTATCCAGGTGGTATTGACAAAAGCATTCATACAGTCATATAAACCGGCGCAATAAAACATAGGGCACACATAAAAATGTGTTGCTGGACAACGACAAGCCAAATCACGAGTTTTGAAAGTAAAGTGTTCATTTCAATGCGTAAAAGCAATAAAATGTACAAAATTTCAACAGCGTCATCGAATGTCAGTTTTCTGACAAAACATTTAGCTTCCATTCTGGTGGAATTAGTAACCTTTTCAGTCCTTTAATTGAAAGGCTTCTTTCCATTACAACCAATCAGATTTGATTAAGGTTTCCCAGAGCTGTGTATACAATTAAACTATTGATTCACCTGTCATTTAGGTTACCTCCGCTGTTTTTGATCAGATGAAGGATATGTTTACACGCTGCACTATAAAGGCTTTATATTCCTATTCATTTTGAGGTACATTTTCTTGGACGGCCGTGGCAGATTAATTTTATGAGTCGACAGCACATTTGGTTTACCTCGAGAATCTTTTTTTCTCGCAGGTCACCGCAAGTTCCAAAATTCCTTTTCGCGACTGATCTGGTCAGATTCTTGTCGTAGGTAAACAAAAAAGAAATAGATGTAACACATAGGGTTTCAATTCTTGCTCTTTTCTTCTTAGTTAGCTTCAGTTTGCTATCATTAGCCTTGATCATTACTTACAATCCGCCGACCTCCTTTGCTTTATTTAAAACTGCATAGCAATATGAGATTTAGTTCGATCCCATAAAAAAGCCGAGTTAATAAGTATTGACATATGGTTGAGATGCCGACAGAAGAAGGATGATAGTTTATTGATATGAACAGAGAAAAAGGCAAAGTAGATTGTTTAGAGCTCGAGATTTCTTCCTTCCGTATCCATTATTTTTTATGCGATTTATTTTTTGTGATGAATCTTATTAAACTACTAGGAAACTGAGACATGCCGCGCCGACTTGTCATGATACTGCGGAAAAGTAACAAAAATATCCGGGTACAATGAGGAACTAGGAATTGCCTCCGTTTTAGGTGAACTTACTGATAATTACATTTTCCATTGTTTTCGTTTTGCTTTTCCCAGAATTGCATTAAGACGGAACTACTTATTCAATGACTTTACAAGAGGCTTGATGGAAACATTAAGAAAGACAAGAGAATCGTAATTGACGTCAGTTTGGTTAATATATATAATATTCATCTATCTCCGGCGTAAGGACGGTAAGACTTAAAGAAGTTCAAATGAGTGTATTTTTCCATGTGGAAATAAATTAAGGCAGACCATCAGACAGATTGGCTCCATGAAATGTATAAGATTTCTGATAATAAGAAACTATATATTGACTATACTCAACCTTAGGCAGCTTTTCAATAATCTTTAATGATGCTGCTTCAATTTCGATTCTGTTGCAACTAGAAACAAAAATCTTGAATCAAGTTGCCCATGTTTCAGTATTACTGTGTGAAAAAAAATAATTTGCAGGGAACTCTTTATTAAAAGATTACATATTAAGCTTTTTCTTGATTCTTTAAAGAAAGAACAAAAGTTCGCTGTTAATATAATAATATAAAGATAATCAAGATGGTAGGAAAAAAAAACATGGGTAGTGATGGTAGTGAAACTAGAACTGAATAGGATTACTGAACTGAGCAAACATGACGGCTACAATGCGTCAGCAGTAGTTACGATTTGATTTTACCCAATTGATGTTTAAGTTCCGAAACTTGTTCGGCGGATTTGCATGACAAATTCATTGACTACTAAAGCGAGGATTAAGAAAAAAATGCAGCTACTCATGACTTGCAGTACAGTGGTAACAGGTTGCGACTACTTTAACAATTAGACATGTGATAATTGAAAGACAGAATCACTGATGAGGCCGTGACAAACGCAGTGTCTGGATAAGTTAACGGATCGTCAATAGCTTTGGTTACATCTACTACAAAGCGTTTTTGAATTTAAGGATGTTTAAGGATAATAAGGCCTTTCAAAGGGCTAGTTGATGAGTGCCGGCATTACAGGTGGCATTCCTGTTTTTTAAAGGTAATATCTTGAGCTTGGGCCAAACATGCAAGGATATGGGGCCGCAACACTTCTGCTATATTAGTTCTTGTTGGTTAGTGAACACTCATTGCCTTAAGTGACAAATTAAATTTGCACTTTTGACGGGTGAAACCAACAAAATTGATCTTTGAAAGCATTTTGGAATTTCTCTTTTCTTCTAGACAAAGTCAAACTTAATCAACAGAAATTGGCACATGTGATGTAGAACCTTCCCTTTTTTCGCTTTCTTAAGTGACAAAAAAATCATTTAATTACCCTAAATTAACTCGGTCAGCTTATAACTCACAGCCTAAATCAGTTTGTTAACCCTGAGTAATTGGATTACAATATTCTTCCAATATTTTTTTGTTACTTTTTTCAGATAAATTATGTTTTTAATGTTTGATAGTGACAGACATCTAATAGACAAGAATCTTGCTAAAATCTAAATTTCCTTCATCACAGTCTTAAGGCTTAGTTTCAATAAAAAAGTGTTTAAAGATAGAAGTCTATGTAGCTGAGCAAATTAATTGCCACAGTGTAGGTAAGCCTATAACTGTCTTCTTAATACGGACCTTAGGTCGGTCCAGGGTACACCAGAATTTGTATTCAGTTCGGTCTTATACTAAGATGAAAACTGATCTGTCTAAATAACAGCTCTAAGGACCAGGAAACTGAAAAGAAATTGCCCAAACATACTGAACCTTATATGGAAAAGTTTTAAATTCAACTGCAAATCGATACCTCAGAATGATTGCTTTCCAACACATTTTTCTTTCCTTCTTCATAGAAAATGAATTAGGCGTCAATAGCGTTACAGGCCAAGCTTTCCGAAGTGCTGTTTAAAGTGAACCGCTTTCCGCCAATGAATCTTTGAGTGGTATATTTTGGCTTGTGGAATAGTTTCAAAAATTACACATGTGAGGAATCATTGGAATAAGGTAAATCCAAGTTCTCTTTTAGACTTTTGCCTTAAATTCGAGACTGTTGAGAATTAAGAGCTTTAATTCAATCTAAGCCGGAGACTGCGGACAGGCATCAGCTACGTTTGAGTTTTTTAAATAAATTGTTTTATATTTTGGTCCCAGAGTTCTTAGAATTAATGATCAGAGTAGACATAAAAACATTAGCTTTGTCGGTACAGCTCATTGTTGTCGACAAAAGTTATGCAAAAACAAAAATGAAGAACTTTTGAGGCATTGAACCTTGCTTATGTATCAGTCTTGGTATTCTTATTCTCGCTATCGATCTGACTTAGATACTCTGTTCCTTTCTTGCCGCAGGCAGTTCCGTAGCCATGTTGTCGTGGATGTACATTGGTTTTACAATACTCTTTGCTGTAATGGTCATATGTAACCTGGTTGGTAACACCTTAGTCATCCTTGTGGTTACACTCAACAGATCCATGAAGACACCCACTAATTATCTGCTTGTAAATCTCGCTAGTGCGGATATGGTGGTCGCAGTCTTCATCGGTTTACAATTTATAGCAACTCCAACCTTCACCCACCCTCAGGGGACTTTAGGGTCAGTGCTATGTAAAACGCTTACAGGTGGCACTCCTGGTTGGGTAGGTGCAGTTGCCTCTGTGTTTTCCCTTGTTGCAATAGCGATAGAGCGCTACTGGGCAGTCTTACATCCCCACAGCCAGAAAATCAAACTTACAAAGACAAAGATTGTTATACTTGCCCTCCTCTCATGGATCGTCTCTATCATATGGGCCATTCCAGGATTCTGGGCAACTACTTACATCAAAGAAATAAAGGGATGTGCACATAGCTTTTCCAAACCAATTTACGCCAAGCTATACACTGTTGGGTGGTCTGTGGTGGCAGGTGTCATACCTATTACTATCATGGGTGGCCTGTACTCTAAAGTAGTCTACCGCCTTTGGTTTGTAAACAGCGCTAACGCAGAATTAAGTCAACGAGCCTTACTTCGTTACCGCAAGCGCGTTACTAAGATGGTGATTTTTGTGACCGTCGTGTATGTGATGTGTTGGGTTCCTGAGCTGTTGATCTATTTCCTAGGTTTCACTGGTGCAATTTCATTACAGGCTATTCATCACGCTATTGCTTCAGCATTGGTGGTGTTTAATTCAAGTATCAATCCCGCAGTGTACAGTCTACAGAGCAGCAAATTTCGCAACCATATTGGGGACTTGATTTGCTGTAAAAAGAACATAGTCATTCCCTTAAACAACAGCGACTTAACCCATGAAGCCGGGCGATCAGATGATGAAGTCGAGAACGGGCAAGAGATGTTGCCATCTGCATCAGCTGCCAATCGTTACCACGAGTGATCTTTTGAAGCAATCAACAGCCAACCTTCTATAATGCATTCATATAAGTATAAGAAAATACATGCTCGTTTTTCTTTTAGAGTTGAAGACTCTGTATTCACAGGAATAACTTCCTCGACGTTGAAAAAAACATATTATTAATGAGGCGGTTTAAAAACCGTGGTATATGTAATAAAAATATATATATGAGATAAATGCGCTTGGAAAAAAGCTTTAGAGATGGTTTATACTTCTCTATGCGGCACTTGATGTGTGCGACTTATAGGTCTAAGGACGCCGCGTACAAAGGATTTTTTTTCGTCTTAATAAAGCTTTAAATTTTGTGCCTCCAGGACTAAATTAGGAGACATAACTTCAACTATATCCAGCATAGCAGAAGTAAGGGGAAAACTCTCTTACCATAAAGCAAGGCTGCCCACCTTTGGTACTTCCTCAACATCTAACGTTTTACTACTGTATCAATGAAAACTCTATGATTAGTGGGAGATCCAGGGATGCCTTTTATGTACGAGGACGTTTTCGCCGGCTACCTACCGGCGTACCAGTAGCCGGCATCCGAACCACTTATCTAAAAGTCGGCACTATCTTACGCCGGTCGCGTTCACCTTTTAAGTTGTTCCTGGTTTAACTGTTTTAAGGTAACTGATTTGGATAGATGAACTTTTACTACATCGTTACAATAAAACTGCTCAGTAGCATAGATGTTGATCATTCTGGATCCAACAGACTTAGTTAGCTATAGATGCTCAGGCTCCAAATAGGAAGCTTAAGCAACGACGACGGCGACGGCAACGAGGACATCAAAAAAGCAATAGGGCTACTGAGACTGGAAAAACAAAGACTCTACACATGCATCCTGCTCAGAGCGCGGGTTTTGTACATTTCTTAGCCGTCGTTGCACGTCTGCGATGTGAAACCTCCCGAATTTCACGTTTTATGGAGGAGAGGAACACTGAGACAACGATTTTGTTTTTCTTTTGTCAAGTTGGATAAAATTATTTAGAATTCAACTCCTGAAACAATCGCCGACCTATGACCTGCTAGAAGAGTTGGAATAAGAGCGATGAACCTTAAAAAAGCTCAAATCCTATTTCTGGGTGAGGTTTTTGCTGCCGTTGCCGGCGTCGTTCTCTAATGGTTCACCTGCTGCTGATTCCTAAAAATCCTCGCTGGCATATTTTGTGCCATTTTTATCCTTCCTGAACTTGTTGAAAGTAAATATAGGAAATGGAAAAAAACTTGGCTCATTGTGACTAAAAGAGATATAGTAAACTTACTAGTGCTATATCTTGTGTTTTTGTGTCTTTTTGGAACGATTCAGGTTTGTGTTGGGATCCCGTCTCGTTATCCTTCGGTGTTCATTAAAGGAACTAATGGAAGTTGTGACAGTTTGCTGTATAAAACCTAAACTGTTTGTAATTATCCTTTTTCTTTACATACATACATACATTTATTCAAAGCATTTAAAAACAAAGATAAATATATACAAAGAATGCATCGAAAAGAGAGTTTAAGCGGTTGGCCCTAGGTAAAAAACTCCCAAAAGAAATCTTAAAAATATTTTAATATTAAAATGTAATGTTAGAAATGTACGTCCAAAAAGGTAGCCAAAAAATGAAGCCAATAAGGAATAAAAAGAAAATACTACGAAATATCTCTGACCATGGAAGTTTAATACGAAGCACTGGTGGAAATAACACGCAAACTGCGGTGATATAATAGAAGTAACAACAAAATACGTAACTAATAAATTAAAAAAAATGATGCAAAAGGAACTAAATAGAGACACATGGCGAGAAAATCTACATGTAAATTAGACATGTAAACTTAAAAACTAATAAAGGTAGACTTTTCGCTACTAACATTTTCATTAAGGGTTGTAGGTTGTCAATCCCTAATTAGCAATGTCTCTTTAACTTTACAATGAATATCTGACCATTCTCCTGCCAATATGTCAAGGTGGTCACATTATAGGTTATGGCCAGTGGACGTGACTTGGTCTGCAGTATCATATGGATAGCTACTCGTATTAAAAAATCGCTTTGAAATCTTGGGTTTTTCTATCATGAAATCCCAACAACTGACCTTATACCGCTTATAAACAGAACGATTGACGCTTTGGAAAATAACCCAAGTAAAATCAATGAATACATAAGATTTATTAATGCAAGTGTTTTGTTGCTCGGTAATTCTCTTGTAACCATATAAAAAGGTAGAATTAAGAAAATTTCTTTTTTGGGGACTGTGGTGGTAGGGTGCTTAGGTCCGTTTTGTTGGCTGCGGTTTAGGACATCATTAATGCTGTAAATCACAACGCTACTGTGGTAACCTTTTTGTAACAACATGTTTTTTCTGGGTTCATCCAAAAAGAAAGGCAACAAAGAGCTCACCCCAACAACACAAAAGTATGATTGTACATTTGATAAGAATTTGTAGGAAAGGGATTGTAATTTTCTTCACGGTTGGTCACCCCTCCAGTTTTTATCCCCAATCGACAGGACTTAACTTGAGTGCCGTTACCAAACCGAGTTTCGCGAGGGTTATTGCGAGATACGTATTTCTAGTTTATTTTGTGACAATATTAAGGCCATGTCCGGGGGGGGGGGTTACTCCCTTATATTTGCCTTATAGGTATATGCCGCCCCAAAGGGTAGGGTTTTTGGCCGTTTTGGTCTGAAAACGGGTACAGACTTTGCTTATTTTGGTCTGAATTCAGGCGTGGTTTTAAGGGAAATGCAGGAGCGTATTTGTCGTTTCAATTCCAAATGAATAAGAAAGAAGAGTCATATGCGAATTCATGGAGGATTTTAAGAAATCTTTTTTCTTGGCGTTCTAATCTTCGTAATGGTGACATAATTTCTGCATACGCCAGGTCTGAGAACAGTGTTGAAAATGTCAATTTTTGGCACACCCCCACCACGAATTTCCGGAAATACCCTCCCCCCTCGGGGAGAGTAATGTAATCTAATATAGCAACTGATTTACAATGTTCAATGTTCTTTATTTTGAGAGGGTAGATAAATGATTAACCCAGTGAAGAGTTTTCTAACACATGGCCCTCTGGGCGTTGCGCGAAAGGCTTGGGATTCCTGCGTAGTATATTGCCATTTTAAGAAAAAATTATGAAATAGAAACTTTAAATCCGATGAATCGACTTAAAAGGAGGCTTTAACATGTCACTTAAACTGCGCTGTTCACTTTTTCTCGGCAAAAGATTAAACCATGGATAATAGAAAGACTGTTCTTTCCAGTCGTCGTCTTTCCATCATTTTATCCAAACCACTCCACCTCAACAAGTTTTGACCGAGTACAGCTTGGGTACCAGGAGGAGAAAACCAAGATGGCGCCTTAAGATTCGCCCTTGTTGAACTTCAACTTTGAAAAAGCAGCAGGTATTCTGCAAGAACGCGGCTTGATCTTTCACTGCAGTGGCCTATCAACTGACGGATCATTTAACTTGGGTAAAACGAGGAACTTTATGTCGAACAAGAGGTATCAAGTCTGTGTACAAACCCTGGCCTCAAGTTTCAAACCACTGAAATTGCACTGAATGGAGAATTTTGATCACAGTACAGGTAATTTGAAGCTTACGTTGCATTTTTAAAGCAGCTAAATAAACTATAGTAGAAGCTTAGATACAATCTTCAATTAACTAGGTCCTATGAGGGTCGCTTGTAACTGGAGGAGTGGGTGGTTGGGCTGGGGTAGTGACCAGAATCTAATTTCTCCTCTTCACGGTCGCACTGTGTAATTTAGTCAAATTCCACAATATAGATCCTTTCATGTATTTCTCAACTTTTGACATAGAACAGGCCTCTGGAACATATGAGAATGTGCATCTGTAAAGTTGCAAAACAGACTTTTGTATGGTTGGGGGCAAGTCTGTGCTAGCCTGCATTGCAGCCGGCCCATGCACTTGTCCAAACCATTTGTATAGTCCGTCTGCGAATTAGTGCACAAAAACTCGTTCTAATATCCTGTAGAGTCGCAAGGATATATGTGAGCATTTCTGATAGGAGAGTTTCGTACGGGTTTCTTATGTGCCTCAGGTTGGCCTAATTCTTACGTGTGTCTGATGGTTGGGTGCAGTGACATGTTAAAATTCACAGAAAGCAGTTGGCAAGGATCATTAACAGTAAACAACGAGATAGCAGTTCGAACTTCAAAGCCTTCTTATGAACAAAAAATGCTTTGAGAGAATTCCTTCAAGGCCAGAATTTCCTTGTAAATTTGCCGACTGGTTTTCCAGCATCTTCTAATCACTACAGATGCACTGCTGCATATTCTGCAATCTAGCCGACAGTTCTACAATACTCGTCACAAATCGTTGAAACAGGAGCCATTTATCTTAAATTTTCTCCAGTTTCTTACATTCACTCCTAACACCTTCGTTCTCACTCAGATTTGCCCCTCTCCTTCCCCAATGTTGAGCCAAGCGTATTTTGGAGCACTGAGACGACTGTAATACCCAAATGAACACTGGGGAAGGGGAAAATCACACAAGTGTTTCAAGATTTGTGACGAGTATTGTCTTTGCGTTGGGAGGGTGTGGACGGGTAACAAAACTTATGAAAGGTAACTATTTCCACCTTTAGTGTTAACAATGTCACAAGCATTCTTTTCTTTACTGTTCTAGATGTTAAGTTGGACAAATAATTATATAGCTGGTATGCATACTTTTGATTATGAACAATTTCAACATGCATTTCTCCAAAACCACTTCAGTGAAAAAGTTGTGCCTAAAAGTACATCGGGATTGGACAAGGGGTGCATATTTCAAGACCGAAGGGGAAGAAAAATTACTCAAACATATGGCAATGGAGGCGGTGTTTGGTGATTTTTACATAGCAGAAACAATTTTTTGGAGCCATTTTATCTCTTGAAACCGTTTCCTTCTTTTTCTATGACCTTAAAGGTTCTATGTACAAAAATGAGCTAACTATGTAGAGAAATACAATGAGATCATTCGTTTTTACGAGCTATCTATCTTTTAAGCGCAA